AGCAAGGTCACGGGGGTCAAAATATTTAAACGACTTCTTCTCAATAACCAAAATCACCATAGTGCTGAAATTGGGCCTGTAGCATGATGGGAGGAATAGCTTCCAATTTCGTCAAAATGAATTACCTTGTCTCACTTTCAAGGTCACAGGTATCAAATGTGTTAAAATATTTAAATTACTTCTTTGCAATCACCAAAATGCCCAGGGTGCTGAAAATGGACATTTGGCATGCTTGGATGAAGTGCTACCAAGTTTTTTTCATATTATTGACTTAAACCTACCTTCAAGGTCACAGGTGTCAAATAAGTTAAAATCTTAAACAATTTCTTCTCAATAAACAATTGTCCCATGGTGCTGATATTGCGCCTGTAGCATTATGAGATGAATGACTACCAAGTTTGTTCAAATGAATAATCTTGACCTATTATCAAAGTCATAGGGGACAAATTTGTAAAAACCTGTAAACAGCTTCTTCTCAATAACCAAAAGGCTTAAGGTGCTGAAATTGGGCATGTGACATGGTGGGATGACTTGTTACCAGTTTTGTTCATGTAATTGACCTTTTCTGTTCTTAAAGGTCACAGGGGTCAAATATGTTGAAATCTTCAAATGGCCTGTCAATAACAGAAAGGTCCAGACTGTTGCTTTTGGTTCTTTAATATAGGTGGATGAAGGACTACCAGTTAGTTCAAATAATAGGCCTTGATATTCAAGATTTCTTAAGTTAAGTGAGTTGAGATCTTAAAAATTCTTTTTCAACAAGGAATAGTTTTGGAGTAAGGGTATTGTTGTAGTAGCATATGGTTTCAAGCTTGCAGAAAATGTTTTTATGAACCAGCAATGTCTTCTCTTTAATTTGTAGAGTAGTTGAGTAATTTATTTTCGGCCTATTTGACCTCTTTTATATATAGGTATTTAGAGTCAGATGACTGTTTAGGCCTGTGAGCTTCTTGTTATTAAATCTGCTAGTCTTCATTGTTAACTCTTAGAAATATAAATGTGGGTAGTATATAAAACTCACTAGTCCTCAGTGACAGCTTCAAGGAATATTAACGTAGGTATTATATAAATTGCACTAATTTCCGGTGTCAGCTCCATGTAACATTAATTGGGTAGTATATGAAATCCATCACCTTGGAGGAATATTAACATGGATAGAAAATGCTCACTTGCTCAATAAGAAAGTTATATGCTGCTTTTTGTCTTTATGGTGTGTCAAAATTAGCCTAGAACCTACACTAGTATACCGTAATTGATGTAGTTATTCAAAACACTTAATTAACAACATTACAAATTTTCATCTTATTTAGTTGTTAATGTTGGTGGTTTCCCTCTATGCATGTAATTAGGCAGTAGGGTCTACATACCATGATACATGTATATCTAATGGTGTTCAAACCAGGATTATTAAACCTATATTCAGCTGCATATGATGTATACCTGTGGTGTCCCTTTATAGAAAGGGATTTTTATTAGTTAAGTATTCATGTGTACTGATACTTAATCGTATTTTATCAAATATCTTTGTTGTGCGTTAAAATAGTTCTTTAGAATGTACCGGTAAGTTATTTTGCAGGCCTCCATAACATTCTATGTATATTCAAGTATAGAAATTCTTGGTGTGAATGAATCTTTTTTATATAAAGTTCACAACTAAATTTGCATGTCACAGATCTATACCAGTATCAGGTAGACATATAATTTAGGTAAATATGCGTCTATTCAAAATGTGTATTTGAGATGGCTTTTTTTTTATATGATGCTTGTATGATTGTACTTCAGAAATGCTTGTTTTCCCCGTTGTTTTCAAATTACTTATATCTGTAAATTATTGAACAAATCTACATCTTATGTTTTTTTCTGAAAGTTGATTAATTTTGTAATTTTGATGTTATTTTGATCACCTATAACTACATCCAGGGTAATGGGGTATGTATATTTGATGTGCTTACATAGATACCTGTCTGCACCTGTATAGTACATTGAACTGCTATACATAGTCTGATCTATGGTTGATTTCTCATCATATTCTGATAAATTTCTTCTCTAATTTCAAAAGATTGGTGTGAATTACTAATGTTGTTACACATATGGATTGATCTATCCTCACACCTAACTATACACCATTTAGATTGTTTATTTAAGCTATCTCGTCTTAGGTCATAAATTAACTTGCATTCAGATTGCTGAATTTGTTTCCTGCAATATCATCTCTTACGATTCAATGAGACAATTTTCCTAATGTCACAGCTACAAAATGGTCCTATGCCAACTAATGAAACAAGATCTAAATTAGTAATTTTGATTTCTACAATCAACCCTTCATATTGATATACTACTCTCAAGATAATGCATTCATTATTGCTGAAAAAAATTGATCCTTATCATAATTCAGTAACTTTCTCCATGGCCTTGTTGCATGATTTCAAACAGAAACAAACATGAGGTGCTGTGTATTATCTCAGATCCCTTGTCTGTATCAATTATTATGCTTTTTTTGTATAACCCATTATGGTATTTTTCAATAGAAATGTTTTATATGATTAGTGTTTCAAACAATATATGTGAAAAATATTGATGTGTAGATTGATAATGAAAAATAGACACAATCACTAAAGTCCTTCTGCATTTCTTGACATAGGACCATTTAGTACCTGGACAAGCAGAGAAGGAGGCTGGGTAGCACTCTTGCTAAAAAGATGTAGTACTTGAAATAGTATGCTTAGCTTCACAAGCAAATCAAACATTCATGTGTTTCACTTCTTGGTAAATTATAAAAGATTTAATATGTGTGAAAAAGTTCTAAGTTAAAAGTCACATTTTACTTATTAAGTGATTTCATGTGACAATAGTTTAGTCTTCTTGAACCAATAGACATTTTACTGTTGATGAATTTGGAATGGAAAGATGACTGGATTCTTATCAATGCTTGACATGTACACTAAGTGTTCTTCCTCATCTGCAGTGAAATACACACTTATTGAATGAGAAAAAAACCTATAACAGAAAAAAAGGAAATTTATTAAGCATTTGAAATTGTATAACCATCACTAGCGGATTGAAACCGCTAACTGAAAAGTTCATGAAATTATAACACCAATACAATGCTGACCTTTCAGGTTTTTGTCATTTATTATGAGCATTCGTTTACAAGCTCCATATCTTTGGCTACACTTTTAATTCACCTGGTATGCAGATATCCATTTCCACTTAAGTGTGGCTTGGATGTGTGCTTATTATTTATGTTCTTTGTTTAAGCTCTGTCTGTGCATCTGTCTGCTCATGCATCCCTTCCGTCCGAGGGTTTTTTCGGGGCTGCAACATCAAAAGCCTTCAAATCAACTTCACAAAATTTAGTTTGTGCCCTAGTTGCACTTTTTGCTATTGATTATATAGATAGAAATATATTTTTGTTACCTTTGAAACACAGCCAAAAACACAAAATTAGTGTTTCTTTTCCGGGATACAACTGCAAATCATTCCTCAGAACTCCACAAAACTTTCTGTTTATATTGTATAAAAGCCTTAGTTGTGCCTTTTGCTATTGACAACATTTCCTTTTTTATATTTTTCTGTTACCATGGATACATAGCCAAAAAACACAAAATTAGTGTTTACTATCCTCTCTGGGCTACCACTTTGAAACCAATCCACTCAACTCCATAAAACTTTCTGCATATATTACATAAGTGCCCTAGTTGTGCATTTTGCTAAAGACGTTTCATTTATATTTTTTTCTGTTACCATGGAAACATAGTTAAAAAACACAAAAGTATTGTTAACTTTTCTTTTGGGGCTACAACTTCAAAACCATGTCACTCAACTCCACTAAACTTCTATATATTAAGTTAGTGCCCAAAGTTAGATTTTCTTTTCTTTTATTGTGAACCAGTGCTCTGAAACCGTTCAAGGTAATTGCTCAAAACTTTTTAAAGACACTTCTTAAGCTAGTAGTATATTTTGCTATTGGAAAGTTCATTTAAGTACTTTTTCTGTTACCATGAAAACAGATAGGCCAAATAAAAAAGTTCGTTTTTTTTTTCAAACCAATTCTCTCACATGTAACTACCCGATACTCAAAACTTTGTACAGGAATCAAGCTAGTACTGAGGAAGAAGTTCTCGATTTCAATACTTTGTATGAAACAAGTAAAAGTAACAAGTAGAGATTAAATTTGTTGTAATATTAACATATATATATGATTGTGTGTCCTTTTTTTAAACAGCGGTACGGGGATGATAATATCACACTTTCTGTTATCTTGTTGCAAAGTGATTACATATTGATTATACATTAACATTACTAAACATTACATTTATTACTGGATGTAGATTCTCTTAGCAATATCTCCCTTTCTTCATCACTAAATAAAGTTAGTGTGAACCGACTTTGTTATACCAATCTTTACTGTAAATATGCAAAAATTTTTATGTAAATGTATGTTGTTTATATACAAACTATATCAAGCGAAAACTATTACAAAATATATTGCATCTACATATACATACATGTGTATGAAGTGTTAAAAAACAAAAAAGGAAATACATGTAGATTATATAAAAAGATATGTCATTCACATATTGACAGAAATTCTGGTTAGTAAGGATCAGAATTTGAATGAGTCAGTACATATATTTGTATATTTGCTAGTTTGTATGGAGAGTGAAATTCACGTGTTGAGTACTTTTAATGACTGGTAATACTTAAATTTGTAACAGTTTTACAAAATGTAAGAGTCATAATACATTGAGATAATCTAAGCAGTGTATCTTTTTATTCTAAAGTGATGCTTGGACATTCGCTTACTTTTCAAATATATATAAAATTCTGCTAGTAATGAATTAAATTGTTATTATGAAGCAATGCTAGTATGTACATGCATACTATTACAATTGCAAGTACCTTGTAAGCTAGTCACATGGAGTATAATATTTCTAGGTACAATGCATGCATATTGAATAGTACATTGTACAAGATTTATACATTCTGTTACATTACAGGCCAGCAATGCTGAATCCTGGAAATCTGCTAGCTCTATATATGACTTCACTTGTAAAGACATAGATGGAAATGATGTATCTCTTGAAAAATACAGGTAAGAAGTGATGTATCTCTTGGAAAATACAGGTAGGAAGTGATGTATCTCTTGGAAAATACAGGTAGGAAGTGATGTATCTCTTGGAAAATACAGGTAGGAAGTGATGTATCTCTTGGAAAATACAGGTAAGAAGTGATGTATCTCTTGGAAAATACAGGTAAGAAGTGATGTATCTCTTGGAAAATACAGGTAAGAAGTGATGTATCTCTTGGAAAATACAGGTAAGAAGTGATGTATCTCTTGGAAAATACAGGTAAGAAGTGATGTATCTCTTGGAAAATACAGGTAGGAAGTGATGTATCTCTTGGAAAATACAGGTAAGAAGTGATGTATCTCTTGGAAAATACAGGTAAGAAGTGATGTATCTCTTGGAAAATACAGGTAGGAAGTGATGTATCTCTTGGAAAATACAGGTAGGAAGCAGTGATCATGTACTAAGATTCTTTTTGAATGTTATAAGATACAGCTTTTCTATCAACAACATTTCAGACATTGACACAAAAACATAAAACTAATAGATAAAAGATGTGAATTATTGTAGATTTCAAATGTAAATACACAAAGTAAACATTCATAATGGTATGAGATGAATCCAGTTACATTTATTCATAAAATTTTATCGTACCTTGAAAACATAGGAAAAATCCAATGTTGGCCAGTCCCATCATCATCATTATCATCCTGTCTTAGATGTTTTGGCACTTTCCAGTGTCCTCTAGAGGTTTGCTAGCAGTATTTGATTATGGAATGCATTAATTGTTTAAGTTGGTCTTTTTTTTCCATTGACAGAGGCCATGTTGTTCTCATCGTAAATGTAGCCAGTAAATGAGGGTTTACAGACAAGAACTACACTCAGCTACAAGAATTGCACGCTAAGTATGCTGAGAGTAAGGGCTTGAGGATTCTTGGATTTCCGTGTAACCAATTCGGTGGACAGGTAAGTTAATTACAGGTTCATCATTGCAAGGCATTGTCCCGTTGAGGGGTGTTTGTATTGTGTCAATGTTGCCGACAGTCTCTCACATACTTAACCTACATTTGTGATATAACAAGACAAGAATTTATACTTTTTTCTTCATTTCAAGATGATGTAAACAAATGCCTAATAGGCTGAAACTGACTTTGTCTCAGGATGACCTACTGCGATCCCTTTTTGTCCGGCTTCATGCATCATAAGCTTTAAACATTTTTGGATTCTTCTGGAAAACTGCTGAACTGATTTCAAAGAAATTTTACAAACACCTTCCATGGCTAAAGGCACACCAGATACCCCAACACCCAGGGGCCTAAGGGGCAGGCCCAAAAAGGGCCAAATTGATTGAAACTTCAATAATATTCTTCTCAAATCCCAGGAATGGTAGAATCAAGTACTCTTCATAAAATAGATAAATAAGATTAGTCAAAACTTCCTTTCTGTTCTTGACATCATCATGCATTTAAATTTGCTGAAAGATATCAAGGCAGTTTGCCTGTACAGTTTTTTTAACCAGGTAACATTTATTTATTCTAGGAACCAGGAACAAATGAAGAGATAAAAGAATTTGCTACAAAGAATTATGGAGTCCAGTTTGATATGTTTGCCAAGATTGATGTAAATGGCAGCAAAGCTGACCCTCTGTTTAGCTACCTGAAGAAGAAGCAAAGTGGAACTTTTGGAAAGTAAGTTGTTTGTTGTATAGGAGAAAAAATTGTTGTAATACTCGATTATCTAGGTTTATAGTGTATAAAGGGTAACATTGCACATATGGTAGTTCAAATAAATGAACATGACCCTGCACTTTCAGTTTTTAAAAGGCAATCACTTGTATTGAGATAATTCAACTTAACAAGATGTTTCTCTAGGTCTAGGAGCTGTAGTGTAGATTCAAAAGACCACTGCATTGAGAATATTATGAACAGGTGCCATAATTTTTGGATAGACCAAAAGAACAGGATCAAACAACCAATTTGCTTTTTTAAAGGTTGTATTGCATCATATATCTCTATGATTATATTGTGACTATGTGGTGTATACATAACTCACAGCAGTGCCAATGACTTTTTTCTCCTTTTGCTTCCAGTTTTATCAAATGGAATTTTTCTAAGTTCCTTGTGAACAAAGAAGGAATCCCGGTAAAGAGGTATGCCCCAAATGATGAACCCAATGTAAGTATAACACAGGGACTGATGTACACTAAAGCTATTGTAATATCTGTAACCCAAATACTGCTTACAATATACCTTCTGGTCCATACAAGGCCTTTTATTAACTGCCCACCTGTCTGAATGCTGTGGTGCAGCAGTTGTCTGTCTATCTTGTACACGCCTGGTATCATTTATCTTCTTTAAATTTGTATTTCTTGTGATAAATAACAAAGAGACCTACACATAAGATACTGTATTTGACAAGTAGATGCTTAAAATCAGTTATAATAATCCCTGTATTTAATTGAAAAAATCTAAATATGACCTCTTCAGGCACTTCTGACCTCGGGATTCTGCAATGAAAAAAGAAATGTGCTATTCTTTGTTGCTTATACAATTTCTTTGAAGATGTCATATTCTATTACTGGTAACGCTAGGTAAGCATGGGTTCTAGGGATGGGATTGCTATTTAACTGAGAATAGCCATTCTACATATCTTACTCAATTTTACCCCTCTGTAGAAAAGATTTGACGCTGGAAAGCAATGTTTGACTGGTTTCTTTTTTACTTTTCAGAAAGTTGCATTGGATTTTGACAAGTATTGGTAGAAATGATGCAAAAATCAATTGATGGAAACTCAACTTAGACAGTCATTAAACAGTGGGAGTGGCAGGCAAAATATGCATTTCAATTATCCAATTACAGAAAAAATTGGTGGAGGACATCAGAAAAAAGTTGTCTCATTGTTGTGAAGTAGTATAGGAACCAAAATTCCTTCGTGAGACATGTTGTCATATTGTAACCTGACCTTAACCTTTCATTGTTTAGAATGATTCTATAGTAACACAGACTGTATGACGACTTATTCTGAAACTGTTCACAGTGGGAGAAGTCTGAGCTTTAACAAGCGTGCACCCTGTCTGATGTTACCATGGAGTTTTCTACCGCATTCGAAGGTCAAGGTCTTGTTATCTTATATCACCTGTTAAACATGCATTATAAGTTAGTTTTATGTTTAGTTGCTATTCAGTTACTTTGTGCTATTGATTTTGTGATTGATGTACTGCCTAGTCAGATGTATCGCTGAATATCCAACTAATTCGCAAGGCAATCCAATGTTAATATTGTATTATGTTTTGTTCTGTACTCTGTACAAGCCAAAGGTCTCTAGCAGTAGATGTTGTGCATTCCATGTCCTATCAGTTTGTTTGTAAAGCTTGAAGTATATTCCATAAAATTTTGTTGAAGTTATTTCTGTGAGACTTATCTCTTTAAATAAATATATATTTACCTACAATATATAAACCCTCATATATGTCATATATAAAGAAACATATCAAAGACGTTTTATACATTCTGTATTAGGATATTCATACCTGGTTAAAAAATGGCTAAAAGTATCAACAGATATCTCCCCCATTTGTTATATTATAGTAGTAAGTATTTCTCATCAGAAATAAACTTGACATATTTACCTAGTAATCATTTAACAATGTAACAGGTATGGAATAAAGTCTGCATTTAAATGGTAGATATCTCTTAACCTGGTACCTTGTACTCAGGTTATACCATACACACAAAGACAAATATTTTCTACAACAAACATACATGTTTACCGACTCACATCGAAAGAGTGAAGTGTTGAACTCTGGGTAATAATGATGTATTACTAATGTGACATCATTTTACTTTTGAAACGACCCTGAACTAAACATTATAAGTTTTCGTGGAATGTTTTTATTTGTAATAAATGGTACATTTGATATGAAACAATTTGTCCAGGATTGCCCGTAGCTTCTCTATTAATATACATCTTTCACTAACTGTGCTTCCTGGAGACCATCTTGATGGCCAATCCTGTTTTTGTTGTATGTTTAATGGTGCTTTGGTAGGTGTTCAAAGTAGTTTGTGCATATCTGTTCTTGTAGGAAAATTACTGATTTTTTTATCTCTCAGTTTTATTGTTTAATAGATTGTTTTAAAACGATTGACAATTAATGTTTGTTTATATAAAAATCTGTATTTTATATGAAACAATAGCCAACAATCGATTGTCAACAACCAACTTGTGAGCTTGCATAAGAAAATGTATAACACGTTTTAACAATTTGATTTTTCAAACATTTGAGAAATATATATTTGTAAATCATAAAATTTCAGTTATCTTCTGACAATGGTGAAATGTTTCAATATTAGGCTGCTTTTGTGTTAAAACAAACTGTACACATATTGATGATTGCTGTACAGAAATTTTACTTCCTGTATTATTTTTTTTTTTTTTTTTGTGCGAGACTGAAATTTTTTTCAAAAGAACATCAATTTGTTGGCATTTAATTTTATGGATTCAAATTTGATTTTGTGGATAAAGAGCACTCACATAATCCACTTGTACGAAAAGTCCATGTTAGTTTTTGACGATCATTTCATGGTCAGATGAATTCATGAAGATAACGTGGAATCATCAGAAGTTAAAATCCCCAAGAAAATTAATTATCATTCTGTATTTTTTTTCTCAGCAACTCAAAGGCCTTTCTGAAAATTTAAGTAGAAGACTTTTTCATTATAAATGGTTAATGATTTGATGTATAAATGACTAATTTGTGTATTTGACAGAGACATCGGTAATTCTCCAGTGAGGTGATATCCTGACTAGGAACATGTATGTCATCTCATATTTGCATTCCTTTGTAAATCACATCCAAACAAATTGATTGGGCTTAGTTACATTTACTCTCATATTAGCACATCACTATTGAGATCTTATTGCCTGCTTTCTCCAGTAAATCATGGATGTCTTTTTCAATCAGTCTGGATTTTTAGATTCCAAAGAGACCAATGTTCTTGCAGCAATTTAATATCAGGAGAAAAAATACTCAAATACAAGTGATGATATACTTTTATTGGGCCATGCAACATAGCATTTTTATGTTGCTTGTTACAATGTGAGACTTTCTGACAAAAGATATCTACGAGGCATTGAGAAATCTGTTCAGTTTACTATAAAATTCTATATATGTTTACCTCATAAGATATGTGTACTGATACTCTAGAAATTATAAGTGGTTGTGAGGACTGAAGACTGCAACTTGAAATTAATGATTTTAATGTTTGAATAGAAAACTTTAGTGAAAGAAAATGAAAGAATATTACCAATTAGTGTCTCTTCGCTTTTTCAATTTTTTGATAAGGTACCAGTTATTTGTTTTTCAGATTTTTCTGTTTTTGTTATGAATGATTAGATTCTTTTACACCAGTTACTCCATGTATGTGATGCAGATCAACTAACCAGAATAAAACACCTATTAAAAGCTGTATTTTTAGCTTCATTGTTACCTTGTCTTACATAAACATTTTGCTGTTATCGGATCCTAATTATGTTGACTTGTATAAGGCAATATTACTAACATAAACTACAATGAAGTGACACATGTAGAAGTAAGTGTATCCAAGAGGGTTGATTTTAATAATCAGTATGTGTTTTTTGAAAATTAACTTGACAATTGAAATTGACCAATCAATGACAGGATAAACAGTAATGATACTAGTAACTGGTTACCATGGTAGCACTTCTGATATGGTATGTGACTTTGTTAGCTTTGGTGTCATGGCAGGACATTATAAACTTCAGTAGAGCCTTTTATTTAAAAAACCAGGTAAGATAATGACTTTGAGAACAGAGCAAAATAACAAGACAATCAATGTGTTACCTATTTTTTTTTTCTTAATCATGTATCAGACCTACTCTCACCATGGCATGTAGCCATATCAGACTGGTGATCAAGTTGAAAAGTGAGATGAGTCCGTCCCTTATCTGACCTTTGACCTGGACAAAGAGTGTCTGAGGGTTGAGTGATGTCAGTCATTTCATGCAGTATTCTATAGCCATGTAGTTGTTGAATGTAATAAGCACTAATTTTAGATACAGATAGAAGTGATGTTATAATGAATAAATTGAGAAATTTATTTAAAGATTTGTTGTTATTTTTTTTTGAGAACACAATGATGCATGGTTACAATTATCATTCATATATAAAGTGGTGATCTTATTAAACTATTTTTGACCCTTGAACCTTACTTCTAATTTATGATTGCACTTGATGAACAACCGTGGTGGTAAGTAAGCTGAATATAATAACCACAAATTTTAGATCGCATTCTATGAGAAGTCTAAACTGTTTATTATCAAGCCTGAGCAGTTCATACTAAATCCATATAGACAACATACTTATGTTATGTATCTTAACAGAAAGTCATAAACACAACTTCAAAATGTCAAGAGAAAAGTTTTAAATGTAAGTTAGACCTAGTCAAAAACTAGCTTCATTTTGAAAAGAATAAACGCAGAATATTTCCAGCTGAAAAATAAGAAGTTAAGACTTGTTTTAGTCTTTTCCAGGAGAAAGTGCAAGTAAGAATGAACTGGGTGTATATTGAAAGCCACACTGTAATTTTTTTTTAAACATGAATCATGATGTCATATTTCATTGTGTATGACTGGTGTGAAGGTATAATGAATTGATCCAGTGAATTACCTTGACCAAACTTTCTAAACAACAGTCCAGTGGATGTCATTGGTCAACTTTGAAATTAATTAGTGCTAATCTTCAATGAATCATAAGTTATATATAGACATTTTTTTTGGATTTTGAGCAATTGTCTAATTGATTATAGGCTTAAATTTATTCTAATATTTCAACTTGAATCAACTGGCATTAGCCTTGGAGAACACTTGCCATCAAATCTCGATGGGAAAATTTTTCCTATAACTGCATTTCTTGAAAGACTAGGAATCATTTGTCTTAATATTGAATTGCAAATGTTATGTTAATAAGTCTTACCTATGCACCCCCCAAACCCCTCTCCTTCCACCTCGCGAGACCTCACTATACATACTAAGTACTGTAAAAACAATGCTTGTATCATTTAGTAAAATGATTGCTGAACACCGATGAAAATGTTTACAATCTTTTCTTGAAAAGATAACATGTACCAACCATAGTGTAGTAAGCACCAGCAAACTAACAAATCAAATGTTATATGGCACATTTAATATCTTTCAATTCTACAATGTCATTCACTAAAATAAATATCTTTAATGTCATACATTCATGTCCACAGCATCGTTGATATCATTCAAAACAAACATAATTAATTGAGTAGGTATGTCACATGTTTGATCTGAATTCAGGCCTGTATAGATTTATCTCCTTCTTCCTCCTTAGAGTCAGTAGGTGGAGCAGCCGATGTTTGGCTCTTTGACCTGTTCTCTCTGAATGTAGCGATTTCCTGCCAGGTCCTGAAACACACAATGCCCTTGTCCTGGATTTCCTTGCGACCTTTCAAGGTTATTACATCACCAGCAATGTTTACAATGATTAACTTTGGCACAGCTGTGATGTTGAACCTTGATTTTAGATCACTGGAAAAACAAATGGTTGTGAGATTAATTTGACATATTCTGGTGAAATTGGTATGTGAAAAAGAGTGAAAGCACAAAGTACATTTTGCCTGGCTACATATATGAACATTTGTTGTGTAAAAACTTGATTGCTTTTTCATCACACATTTCAACCTACTATCTAATGAATGAACTAATGTAATATTTTTATGTAAATGTCACCAATATTATATACCCTGAAGTGTTTTTCATTGGCTGTTCGATCAGAAATTAATTGTGATGTCATGAATTGAAAATGTTGCAACAAAATGGCTGCTTTCATCTGATTTTGTCCTTCATATTTTTACTTTGAAACCTGTGAAAATGTTACTCTTCTGAGTTTAAGTTAGTTTTATTTCATATGAGAATTTATGAAAATTGTCTTAAAGTTTCAATTTGTACATGCAAAATTAAAATCTAATAATTGTTTCATTAAATCTCATATGAAATGAAAACTCATTTAAGATCCTATATATATAACATCAGGCTAACAATTTTTTGTTTCATTTTCCACTAACTTACAACATTAGCTAAATTCCACATAATTCCCTGTCTGGTCTCTTTTTACAGCCTATACAATCACTTCCCTATCCTTGCCAATTTACAACATAAAAATCTGCTTACTCCTGTAGTTGGTCTGCAAATGGGACAACCAGCCATTCACCATGACTTTCTCTGTAGTAGGACTTCATGTCTTCCTCCTTCTTATCACAGCTGATAAACACCACCTCAAAAGGAGCATTGCGTCGTTGTGTTTCCTCATAGAAGTCCTTCAGTAAAGGCGTAAACTGGCGACAAGGTGGACACCAACCTGCTGAAAAATAAAGGCCCACTAGTTTCTTATCCAAGGCCTTCAAAGCCTCTACACGCCCACTATTTACAGCTTTATTACTGTCAGCATTTGTGTCTTTTGTTTCACTTTCTTTGTCAGAAATTTGTTCTGATGGTTCTTCCTTTACATATTTTTCTTCCTCTACATCTGTTTCTTTCTTATAATCAATGTCATCTTTGGCTTCTTGATCTTCCTCCTTTGTGATGATTTTTTCCTCTGGTATTATGAAAAAATCACTTGTAAGAAACTCTTTGTCGACAAGGAGCTCTTCAAAAGTTTTGATAACCTCTTCTTCATTTGAATCATCCCTTTTTGAAATAAATAAAGAAACGTAGTTTCAATTTTCATATTGCAAAAAGCAATCATTAAAGGTAACATTTAAGGAAACAAGACTAAAGTTCATCTTTAATATTGGATCAATATTTTGACTGCTGTAATCTACATATACACATGTAAAAGCATTTCTTACTGTTTTTTTTATACACGCCACTATAAATATTCCCTCCTAATGTCTGTGAAAAATATTACGTAAATGTAAAGAATGATCCTGTTGAGACAGCTCTTTACCAAGCTGTATGATAAGCTTGATGATTTCAATTTCCATTTTTTTCTGTTCTTTCCTCTGTTTTTGCTCTGAATTAAGAGAAACTGAAAATTCCTTTTACGAAAGAGCGATAATAACTTGAAACAGTTATGTCTAAGTTGATCACCTGTCGGCAATTTCTTTCTTCTGAACAGTCCGAAAATCAGAAGCGCACAACTATATATGCACCAAAGGAACCTACATGGGAAATTTGAGAAAAAAATCTATCCAGTGCCCCATAAGATAAAGCGATAACGAACTAACGAACTTTTATTGTAAAAAATCAAGATGTCTGTCTGTCATCCATTTTGTTTTTATGATCAGTCTCCAAATTCAAAGGGCACAACCTGGGAAAATGGGGCTTTCGGACTGGTCAGAAAGGCGATCATCTTGGACTGAGCAGTAAAAGATAACTGCAAGAAGTGAAAATAAGGGAAAAGACACGGCTTTTACATAACAAAGATCAAACGATGGTAGGCACAAAGACCCATCTGGGATTTCTTATAGTAGTATTGTAATTTTCATTGACTTGATACAAACGTCTCATTCTTGCAGATACGTGCGACTCCATGAGTCTTTGTTTACCTACTGACGCACGTGTCAGGTGCGAGTGACAGAGAAGTCGGGCGGGTGCATTAGGCCTGCCAGTACGTGTTTGTATCGCTATGACCAAACTAATTGGAAATAAGTGATACGAACAAAACGTTTTCAATCTAGACAGTAACAGGTACTAAATACAGATCACAATAAAACTGCATCTTACATTCTTGGTGAGTTCACTCTGCATCTAGGTGTTCTTCTTGTTTACATTTGGGAAGACATCTACTTCCGACTGAGTAAATTAGAGTTATCTCTCTTGTCACTAATGTAAACATACCACGTTCATGAGCGAAGATGGTCACACTACGTTATAAAAGCAAATAGTAAGCAATAAAAGTATACCCGAGGAAAAAAACCCCAGAAAAATATCAATCTCTGATTTTCATTTACATAGAAATAATAAATGAATTTAAAAGTCATTAATTTTTGCAACAACCTCATGTCTTACAACAATTGCGAAACAAGTTATTTAAACTTATACTAATCACTCTTGTTGGCCCGGATGTAAGTGCCGAGGGGCCTTTTGGGATCGGAGTACCCGGGGAAAACCCACGCGGTGGGACTTATTTGTATCGGACGTTTAACGAGGGACATTGTCAAACGTCCAATATAAATGTGTCCCAAGGAGGGATCCCAAAAGGGATTACCCAACCTTCAACCTTCCATAACCCAACCATATCGAGTTTGCCTTTGTCATGTTGGCATTCACATGCCTAGATACATTCCAACTAAAAGTCATGCATGGACAAAGTTAAAGTAAAGAAAACACAATAAGGTTGACAAAAAAAGTGACAAATCTCAAAACATTGAGTGTAACGATATGGTACTGACTGAAGGGTTTAGTAGCTCTAGAGAAATTTGGTGATGTCCTACAAGTGCTAGTTTCAAGTTTGGCTGGGCGATGTCAGATGAAAAAAAAAACAAACAAACGTATTGCATTGGTTGGTGGAAGTGCTTATTTGGGGCAGTTTTTGGACTCCACTAGTTCTTCTGTCACACAAGTAAAATATTTGTATGTTACTCTTGTACACCAGTGTTAGCCCAGCCTTCTCTGTGCTAAGGATTCTCGGTTTAGAACTTGGTCCATGACAGAGATTCGATGCTGTTCCTGGGGCACGCCATATAGAAAAGCGGCCATGACCCTATAAGATTGTACGTCCTTCATTTACGTCATTAAGAAGCGTCAATTGTTTGCGTGGATGAACCCGGGGCGGGTGTTGTTACTAGTGAATCTTATTTTCCAAGTTTCTGTAAAGATCGTCATTGGTTAGAGGTTATGATTAATTGAGTTTCTGCAAAACGTTTGAATCTAAATCCAGTTGAAACTAGTTAGAATAATGAATTTATCTAGAATTGTCAAGGTGATTTTTTGTTCTTGTTTCTCTGTTGATTTTTTTTCTGAATTTATTTTTATTTTATTTATTTATTTATCTATTTTTGCTATGAATCTCAAATTGGTCTTGTGTATTTTGCACCAACTGTCAACATCAACTTCAAGTAACAACGTTAATACTTAACAAATGTTTAAGGATGATCGATTTATGTACTCAAGACAATAATAGGCAATACACAAAACGTATAATTTAGTGATATCTTTCATCGCTGCAAAAGCCTCGGGAAGAAACAAAAATATCTTGTGTTTTTTACGTTACGCTTTCCCGTAAAATATCATTATGACGTCACACAATATGACGTTATTTCCGCCTCTAGAATCAGCTGTGCATTGTTTACATTTAACTTGATCACGTGTGTTGGAAGTCTTTGACCAAGAAACTTAAACCAAGACTACTGATGTTCAACAAAGATAACAGAGACACTGGTTCTGAAAATGGCGAACGTCAGTATAATAACTTAGGGCCCTTTTGCAAACTCTCCAATACTACTTGGAGACATATGTTTTTAATCGAAAGAGATGTCCGTTTTGCTGGATGCAGTGTGCAGTGAAACTAAACCTCGACTGTGTACTACACATAATAACAACCATCTTGAAATAAAGCAGTCAATTATAGGGTAAGTATACTTATATACATGTACAATGTATACAATATTACATATAAATTTTAATATCAAATGTTATATGGCTTAATTTGTGAAAATGTCAAGGTAACTCATTTGGATGTGCCGTATATTTTTCTACAACATGGTAGGGTAATTCTTTGCATCTAAAGATTCCGTTTATTTTTTATTTTTTGATAAACAGCATGATAGTTTTGAGTTTTTTTTTTTTTTTTTTTTTTGCATTTCCATAATTTAACTTAAAATGCGTAACAATTATATTGTAAACTTATTCGAGTTGCCAAAGATCTACCTTGAAATGTTTTCTCCATGAAGTTTACGTCAGTGAAAATGTCTTCGCACTTGGGAGATAAGTCGCTATATTTTTATCTTCTTTGGAACATGATTAAGGTATTATTGTGTATGACCAAAGCTAACAAATTTCTTTGAATATATTTGTATTATTTTTACATGTAACATGCTATGTATCAAAATTCTATTTACAACGTTTTACATAATATAGTTTATTTTGGTGATAATTTTAAATAACAGTACTAATAATTATTTGAAAAGGTATTACAACAATCAACACTTGTTTCCAAGTGTAAAATTTTAGTCCTCTGGTGTGCAATTTGGGCCGTTGTTGTACAGAATAACCAGGCATTGTTGTATTACTGACGCATATGAGTAGGTTTTGTTGCATAAAGGAAAGTTTTCAAAAGACATACACATTTTCCCGAGTTTCATTTTCGAATATATTTTCGAAGTATTTAGCCTCCACTAAATAGACATTTCTTCAGGTATGTTTCGTGGCATATTTACATTGGTAAACTCTACAAAATTGAAACAAAGTATTTCCGGTGTCGATCATGCTATCTTCGCTTGTTTTCTCCTCATTAGGTTTCTGTCTGGAATCGTCCCAGTTGGCTTACAGCATGCTCCCTACCCTGGTACAGGCGAAAGTGAAAACAAGGTATACAAGACCCGTTTATCCACCCACTATATCTATAAACTTATTCAATTTTTAAAGAAATATCATTCTTCACTCTCTCAGAGTCAAAGGAAAAGACCGTTAGCTAGCTCTTGCCCATTGCTACACCCATTGTATGTTTTACAAAAAAAGAGAGAAAGAGGTAACCGGAAATTGACACATATGGGTGTCAAAGATTAAAGCTAGATGCTATCTATCCTATAAATTATTATCATTGAAAAATAAGCTATTATTTTATTTGTGTGTGTGTGTATGTAGTCTCAGTATGCTGTGATTTTCCCTTTGTACACCATGAACATTCACATATCCATTTTAGAGCTTGAAAAAAATATACTGGCCGACTTTGTCTTCTTCTCCAGATAACCAGCGCGTATGACGAGGCCCTGAAGACTGTAGGATACGGTCGACTGGAGAAACCATGCACCATCTACTATAACAATCCTTTTGATCCAAGACTGTAAGCGCATGATTGGGAAAAACCTCAAAAATTCAGTGAGGCTCAATCCCTAACCCTTCATCCTTCAGGGATGATCCCACGCCCCAGTTACCACTGAACAAACAAGAGTGTTAAATGCAAAATTAACACTCAAAATATATCAATCTTACCTGTCCTACAGCTGTAGAATTATCAAGAATGTTTCTAATCTTGTTTTATTCATGTTTGGAAATTTTCGCTAACAACAAGTTATCTCTAATCAGCCTTTGAACAATCGGTGCCAGTTTGTGACCGCGTTTAGAGCTTCGTGTTAAGCGTTCACTGTTGGTGGCTGGTATAAACTATGGCATTATTTCATCCAACACAGATTTTGCCCCGCTAATCATTGTTGTGTCATTCAGCGGGGAGAAACAGTTAAACTTATAGTCTTGTGTAGCTGCGTTCTGTCACCTGTTGGAGCGATATACGTAACTACAATATGCGTTCTGCAAAACGACATTTTTCGTAACGCGTTACATCATTGAGAAGAATGTCGTTATCGGCGTTGCGACCGTACGCTAAACTTCGTTAGTTGGTTTTGTTAATATGAAAAGACGATATTTTGCAGGGAGAAAAGACGATCGTTAATTTATGGCTCATATACGTTTCATATGAACTTCATATGTCACAAGATAAATGCACGAGATATCTTAATCTTAGCTAAAACACATTACAAATCGATTTCAGGGGCGCAGCTTCAATAGAAAGAAAAAGCCCGGGCTTACACATTAAAAAATCCGTGCATAGAGTATGTTGGACAAAATTACAACACTAAGGTTGAAAATAAATACCAGGGATTGAAGTTTGTTGTTAAATAAATAAAAAAAACTGTCTCAAAAAACGATTCAAAACATCTTTGAAATCATGAAATTCAGACCTCTCGCAAGGGCTTACACATTTCTGCTAGGCTTGCTACACCCCTGGATTTCGTGTGGTTTGATTTATGATGAGGAGAAACCGGACCTGTAAAGTGTCTATAGGGATAGTTTGAGTTACTCGCTAACTTCAATATACTTTAACAGTTGCAAAACAAATTTTATCAATCGAAAAGAAATGCGATCATTTAGGTTTCTATTCATGTCATCGGGTAATCGAAGCTCGGTCGCCTGTATGAAAGGTACCTACTCTCCATTACGTCGCGCGACATCTAACATTGACTTCAACATAACACTTCATTGGAAGAGCGCAGTCTGGTTGTATCCACGCGAAAGAAAATCAATACACATTTATGATGGTTGGGATGATTAGGATTTAGTTGTCGGTGAATCACTTTGATAGATATAATCGGAACTGATGCAGACTGACGTTAACCGCGAATATTCCACGTTCGATCTTTCTGTGTTAAGGCACTAAATTACGCCACCAAGTGGTATCAGGAAACTATTGTTCCCAAAATATACAACATCACAATGCTGATGTCGGTTATGGGTATTTAAACATATGTAAAAGAAATACTAGGTTTTTATCAGAATAAGATAGAAACGCTTCATTGACACGTGCAAGTTACAAGACCGAAGTACCGGTATGACTCGATGGATAACAGATTAATTGTAGAACTTAACTTAACTTAACTTCTGACTTTTCAGGTGTTCCTTCCCTATGTTTCTTTATGTGTAAACTAACTATTGTTTAAGCCTCTTTTTGGAAAAAGAGAAATTTTGGAAGCAAATAGGCCCGAAATGTCCTTATAGTCGCTCATCCTTTCTTGACATAATATTACTAGTACTTGATGCAATATTGCTACAGCTTGGTTTTTCTAGGGACACCGCGATGTGGGTAGAACGCTATATCGTACGATTGTCACAAAATGTCAAATTCTAATGGCTATGTTTTAGTACGTTCGATGGACTCGGTCATCTCCTGGCTGATGCTAACAAAGACGCGAACTGCTTGACAAAGGAACAACTAACACAGAACGTATTCCTCGCTTTAGAAAACTCGGATTTAGTCATGAATGACTATTTAAATCAAAGTCGAAACCTGTACCAGTCTCTGTGCAATTCTGACGAGCTTGACATCCATGTAGACCCGAACAGGTACAAACTATTTCCGGAAATAGACGGAAATGTTTCAGACGATGGATCTGAAGATTGCAAACGTATGTTCAACAAAATAGCCAGCCTCCCAATCAAAAACATTTGGATGAGCACACAGAAGACTACAGAGACTGATACGTGCTCGATATACCGGAAGTCTGATGCGCTCGTCCAGGCAACTGAAGTTATCGACACAGTAAAGGCGGAATGTCATTTGGGTGCAGGTCTGACTCCGCCGAAGACAGTCGATGTCCATGGAGAGGATCTACCCCATATAAGCAAAATACGTTATTCCTACAGAAAACTTGAAGGTAAGAACAAGCGGGGCGTCGAGCCAGCTCAGAAGTCACCGACAGAATCTGAGGTACCGACATATGAACGTATTGAGCGCGACATAGAACAGGTTGTGTCCGAAGAGTCGGAGGCAGAGGACCAAGGAAAGATAGCAGATTCCAAGGATACCCCGATACAAATGATGACAGAAGACCCGAATGACGAAGTTTTAACAGTCAAACTGGATGAAACCCTGTCTTCACCAATATGTCCGTCACAGTAGGTGTTTAAGCTTTTTAAAAGGTATTGTATTCAAATCTTGCCAGAACCCAGTAGGGACAATAAAAACAATAGTAAGAAATCTCAACATATTTAAAGGAAAAACAATTTAGTATACTTTATCTAACACAGGCTTCAAATACAATCGATAATTGTTCTTCAAGGAAAGTCTGATCTACATTTTTAATCATGATGGTGCTTAAACTTGTGTGACTTTTGTATAATCTTCGAGATTGCAGGTGGTAGACAGTAGACGTTTTAGTTCCCGAGATGTGCATGTCACGTTTCATTTCATACACATGTACTTGACATTTACTGATATCAGATATGTAACAGCTAATAAAGGTTATTGGATTATGTGGCTAATGCACCTCCCGATCTGGATTTCCCCCCATTCAGTTATCGGTCTTCAGTTGCCTCTTTGGTTTGAAAATTTGAAGACATGTACCTAGCATCACTGACGAGACCTAAAAGGACGAAATAACTGTATAATGCAGTTTGATTCACCATTTGCCTCAATTGTGTATATAGTTTTTAACTCTAAATATTTTATTTGAAGGTGCTATTCACATGTCTGTTTTTTCTAAATGTTTTCCATTTTCCTTGAAGTGTCTCTCAAGAAGAAGAGGACGTAACGGAGATAGAACCTACGCTGCCTATCGACAATTCTGGAAATGGACAAATGGATGTCACTGCCGAGTCGAGACACGGACGATGTCGGGTATCCCCTGATCAGTGTCACAATGATGACACTCCAGTAACTACAACGACTGAAACTGGACCTGTACACGACGATGCAGTGGCAGCAAAGATCCGTGAATTTAAGGAAGGGATGGAAAGACTGATTGCAAGGACAGATGTTCCAAAATTCAACAACACTTCGGGTGCGCCGAAAATGACCCAAAATTGCACTCCTTTACAGGCGGAAGTCGCAAATGCTGTTTTTGCTGTGGATTCGATTGTAGCAAAGTCTGTCCTCAGACCAAGCGTGCCCTCCTTCTACCCCGGCTTCAACAAGGGAGGTACAGCCGAGCATGGTAATGAGAACATAATAGATGGAAAGACTCAGGCGCCCGCGAACACAGGAAACAATCGTGTAGTTCATCCCCCACTTGCGACAAATCAGCTCCATACTTGTGGAGACAACACTGGCGGGAATGGCGTTCAGGTATTGTTTGTTGATGTTGTTTGGATTCTTCCGTTTTGAATGAAATCAATCGATATTTGAAGTAACGTTAAAGTCGCATAAGATTACATAATATAAAATGTACCAGTATCATAATTCACAATCGTATTTATCAGAAATGGACAATGGCATGACTTTATGAATTAGTACGAACTTTTCTGTTGTGTAGGGACAGCTGAATTGGGGAAATATACCAGCAATGCCAAAAACACAGACTGTAGGGCATATGACAGCAGGAAACTTCCAAACTCACAATGCAGCCCGTGTGAGAGACGACACACAAAAACCGTTTGACTTCCGCCCGACATTGGCCAACCCGCGACCATGCAACCAACCTCCCGGTGTGAATAAGATACAAATGCAGCCGACTCAGGCTGCGGCTGCCGCACTGTTTGTGGCAAACTGCCTACATCAGTCCTCTAGAAGGGAGGTAACGTGTAATCCGCCATTGCCACCTCCTCCAAACAAGACTTACACCGATTTGCAGCCACCTCCTAGGTTTCAGCAGTACCAACAGCAGTGCGGTCACCATGGTATACAGAATCCACATGCAGCAAGGAATCCACCACCCGGATTCAACGACGCTTCCCAGGCTCCCATCCGCAACCGAGATCCCCCTAATGTACTTTACCGTTCGGAACAAGTCCACCAACAACACCCCTTACCTATACATCAGCAACTACCATTCAGGTTTTCAGCAGAACAAAGTTTCCAACATCAGCCACAGCAGCACGTCATTGGAAGTAGATTTCCACACCCACCAGTCCAGAATATGCATCAGCAAGTTCAGCAACAACATCATATTCAGCAACAACAATTTCAACAACAACAACAACAACAACACATTCAACAGCATCAGCAACAACAGAACCAAAACCATCCCCAACAACATCCCCAAAATCACCGTCCCCAAGTACAGCAGCAGCTGCAGCCTCATCAGCAACCTCCTCACGCGCATCCGCCTCTCCATCCCCTCCAACCACAGCAACACTTCCTCAATCCAGAGGTTCCTCCATTCCAGTACTTCAATAAGATACAGAACGGATCACAACAGACCAACGCTAATGTACATACCAGCTGGCATCTCAATATACAAGGGGAAAATACCAACTGCAACAACGGAAACGTTGATTTGGGCGAAGAAAGTTCGAAGCCGTTGATAAAGTACAGCACTTCTAGACTCACCGATGACCCTATACAAATCGACACGGTAGAAGAAGATCCCGGAGTGAAAGCTGATGCTTGGTCAACTGACGGAGCAACTGATGGTGTTCGGATGAAACGGTTATCCGTGAGTGCAGAGTGTATACCCAGCCTTGTGAAGGGCGACTGCAATCGGGATAAGGAGAAACACAGGATCTCCAAGTTTCGGTCACGGCGTACTAACCTTGTACGTATCTATCCTTCTAAAGACTGTTCATAGTGAATTAGATATGGCAACCTTTCTACGGCTGTCGGTTGTTCTGAACTTTTAGCAATTCTTTTATATCTACGAATGTTGACATGTCTTGTTTATCTGTTTTACACATGTATGTAAGTGTGTTTTATTAAAGAGTTCAAGTTAGTACATTGAAGAAGATCCTCTGTTTTTCTTTCAATTACAATGTTTTTCTATTCCTTAGTGATACGGAACGCATTTACCAATATATAATAGCATATTCTTCAACACGTACAAATAAGAATACGTCAGGTATCATCACACCTGAAGGCAAAACGGTTGGTGACTATTGATATAGAAACAATCTCCTGTTTTTGTTAACAATATCATGCGGGGTTAAACACGGCAAATATTGAATATCATTGTATATCAACAGGAAGATATCTTATTGGACCCTTCATTTCACCGTCTTCCACGGAGCAGGATAGTTTCTTCAAATGTGTTGCGTAGTGTTCACATGCAAATTAAACGTGTATATAACACTAATGCCAATCTGTTTTGATGTAATTTTGCAAAAAGTGGCCAAACTTGTATTTTAATATTTACATATTTTATCTTTTATCGTACATTGAAGAAAAATGTACTGTCGTCCACTATGAAACAATACATCAGGAAAATGAAATTTAAAATCAACATACAATTTAAATAGCATGGGGATGACGATACCTTTTGCACATCATGGGGATGACGATACCTTTTGCACATCATGGGGATGACGATACCTTTTGCACATCATGGGGATGACGATACCTTTCGCACATCATGGGGATGACGATACCTTTTGCACATCATGGGGATGACGATACCTTTTGCACATCATGGGGATGACGATACCTTTCGCACATCATGGGGATGACGATACCTTTTGCACATCATGGGGATGACGATGCCTTTCGCACATCATGGGGATGACGATACCTTTCGCACATCATGGGGATGACGATACCTTTCGCACATCATGGGGATGACGATTCCTTTCGCACATCATGGGGATGACGATTCCTTTCGCACATCATGGGGATGACGATTCCTTTCGCACATCATGGGGATGACGATACCTTTCGCACATCATGGGGATGGCGTTACCTTTCGCACATCATGGGGATGGCGTTACCTTTCGCACATCATGGGGATGACGATACCTTTCGCACATCATGGGGATGATGATACCTTTCGCACATCATGGGGATGACGATACCTTTCGCACATCATGGGGATGACGATACCTTTCGCACATCATGGGGATGACGATACCGTTTGCACATCATGGGGATGGCGTTACTTTTGCAACTGATATGTTCAAGAAAACGTGAATTTCTACAAAATAAAAATGAGCAGACACATATTAACAAAGCGGACAGAAGACAAGTAAATGCAGATATAACAACATGGTCTTAAATCTTGCGCAAAATTGATAAACGTCTGACGAAAAATGAACGTACGAAAGAGATTTGAAATGTTAAGTCTGGGCCATGCCCACTCACTATGATGCCACCAAATATTTATACAGTTATAAAGATGACGTGTCTTTGAATTTAATTGTTCAGTAGAAAAATTGTTACTGACGTGAAAAAGGCGTAGACGTGTGGACTATTGTATGTCAAAACAGTCATTGTACAAAGCTGAGAAAATCTGCTTTCAACGTGAATTAAAGTAAAAAAGACAAGAGATCCAAAGGGCTTGTATCGCTCGTCTGTTCATATGCTTAAGATAGAAAAAAAAACTGTCGGTAAAATCAATTTTGGCTTGTTCGAAAGCCATTTATCCAAGCATAGTTTGGGATTTCAACACCGTTTTACTCATGTGTCATTGAGACTTTGTCAAGTTAATTAATATGAATGGACTTACTCGCCCTGTACCTTATCGAGGTAATACCCAAATACCACGACTCTTGATGTTTTGATTTCACTAAGAGAAAGGTTTAAAGATTTCAAGAACATTTAACCCCTGTAATATTGAAAGTAGGCTAAAGTTCCCCATCTCATCATGCTACAGGCTGAATACCACGTGTACATGGCTGTTCTGGTTAATGAGAAAGTGTCTAAAGATTTTAACACATCTGACATCTGTGATTTTAAATGTAGGTAGCAATTAACGAGTTACATACGAAATACCACTACACCGGACTTTGTTGGTAAGACTTAGCGTTTTAAGATTGGGCACTTTTGACTTCTGTTACCCTGAAAGTTATATAAAAAACAGGACTATTCCTAACCTACAAGTCTAATATCGCTACCCTTGGCCTCTTGGTTCGTGAGAAGAAGTTGTTTGAAGGGAAATTTTTGATGCCGGACAGATGACAAAACTTGTACGAATGTCGTTTTCCCTCGTGATTTCAGATTACAATGCCATGGTATGTTACTGACAAATTACAGTAACTGTTTTCGTCCTGTGCGTATCGATTACATTATCTACTGAATTGGAAGAATGAAGTCAGACCACTGGGATATACAGTACGGTATTTAAACGACTAAGCAAAGGGCAATCCCTCGAAAAAAGGTAAGAAAATCCTCGATAGTATTATATGTATGCATCGTAGATTTTTGATTAGCATTTAGGGTTTCAACTTCTTAAAACAAATACACTTCAATGTGCACATGTTACTCCGTTCATAACAGCCTATAAAATAGCACATGCATTTATTTAAATGTCTAATTCCAACGAAAAATGAATTTTGACACGTTGTCTGAAATACGAAGTTAAGGGGGAAACAATACAGATGATTGTTATGATAAAAGATATCTCTTCCTGCCTGGCGTCGAACCCGTAGTATGTTCATAACGAAAATCGAACTCTTCAATGCGGAGGTAATAAAGTTGATTGTTTACAGTCGGCGGATTTATCAGTGATAATGCTGAGTGTTACATTTTGTGACGGTGTAAATGGTTCAGTAGAAAAGATCTTACTGGTTTGAAGTAATTTTAATATATTATCTAAAGACAGAAACTTAAAGCAATGGCAGACGGTAACGACGATGACAAACCATCTGTAACTGTCGCATCCAAGGTATCATTTGCGGAACTATGTGGGCTACTGGAGAAAATATCCAAAACTCAAGGCAATGACAAGAAGAAGCGAACTTTAACAGATTTTGTTGATAAATGGAGAAACTTTCATAACACCCTGCATGAAGATGATAAAGACACGGTAAGTTTTTTTTATCCTATAAGTAACTCTTTTACTGCAGGGCCATTTAACAGAAGACGTCGGGGGGTATTGTTCCGCACTTCATTTCTGGTAACACAGGAATCTGCAATGCACAGTACATGCATTACAGTTACATATTACATAAGACAGTTACTTATAATTAACCTACAACGCAATATTACATATTGGACCAATATTCACCAGGGGAGAATGTGCATGTGCACACGGTGCTGGCCAGGTGCGGAATGACGTGACTGGAATCCGAGGACAGGTGCTTCGCGACACCCGCCTCATTGCCTTTAGACGAAGAAATCTAACCATTTCGAATCTCCACGGAGTGATGTCAGTGTACACAATGTACAAAGAATAGAGCAAATGTGTAGCATAAATAGATAGTCTCAGATAATCCAGGAAGTTCCTCATCTCTTTTATATATATGAACTTAATTCATATCAACAATTGCCAAACAAGCTATATTAACTTGTTGGCCCAGATGGAAATGACCTTAATATGTGATGTCCAATTTTGGAATTGAACTTTAATGGCCTTAATATATAAGCGAAAGGCGAGTATGTTACCACTGCACCATACCTTTGATTTTTTTATCCCAATATATCAATATATTATTTTGCCCATTCTTATTTCAGTGTAGCTACTGTGCAGTATATAGATTTGTTTTTGTTCTGTTGTTAGCATATCACTTACTTCATCAATGTTAGAGGTATACATGGCACAATACATGTACTTATGACTGCTAGCACCTTGTCAACATGAGATTTAATGATTTTATTTCAGACTGACTCGTTCTATCCTGCCATGCGGTTATTACTTCCTCATCATGAGAAGGAGAGAGTGGCATATGGAATTAAAGAGGTACAATACATTCTGTATAAATTGTATAGCATATTGTTATTGGGATTATAACCCCTAATTTATTGTCATAATGCATTTTGATAAAGATCACATGTAACATTAGAATTTGATTTACTTTGAAATAAAATCAAGAAAGTAAAATGAAATCATTATCCTCAATTACATGTATCACCATTTTAATTTTTCATTGCAAAAGAAGACCTACCAGTATTAATGTTCAACTATCGGTATGTTACAGCACATGTTAGCCAAGTTGCTGATTGAAGTGTTGTGTTTAGGGAAGGATAGTGCTGATGCCAACCGGCTGCTCAACTACAAAGCTCCAAAAACAGCAAGAGCTGTAAGTGTTTATTATGAAAATAGTGTTAATTTTAAAGAGTCCACCACAGCTGTCTAAATTGCTATCAGTTCTGTAGCTGTTGTTACATTGTGACATAACAATGGGAGATCTTAGATATAGAGCCAAAAGGATTTCAAGTGATACATGGAAATGTCTGTTTCTTCAGACATTTGCTTGAATGATCAATTATGTGGTAAAAATGGTCTTAAATTTGTTTTCAGTTGATTTGTGATGTATGAAAGTCATCAAAAAAATTTTCACTAAAGTCTGACTAATATGAAATAAATCAAAGATTCATTTCATTAAATCACATACCAAATGGAAACTTAAGATCCTATAACTATATATCATGAATAAAGGAATTGTTTGAGAAGGACATTAGTGTGGCCATAAGGAGTTTGGTGTCATGTTGATAATGGCCTGACAACTACACAGAATGCAGAAGGTCATATGTTTTACATTTAATTTGTTGTATGTGGTCTCTAAATTCAGGATGCTGGAGATTTTGCTGGGGTGACCTACTTTGTGTTGAAGAACCGTTGTCCAGAGAGAGGAACACTAACCATTCAGGAAGTTAATGATTGTTTAGATGGCATCGCCCAGAACAACGCAGCAAAGAAGAAGGATCTGGTGAGGAAGAATGTGCTACGACTGTTGACTAACATGTCAGCCCTAGAGCTTAAATGGCTCATCAGAATGATAGTGAAGGAGCTAAAGGTTGGACTGAGTCAGGCATCTGTCCTTTCAGTGTATCATCCCGATGCTGAGGACTTCTTCAATGTCAACAACAACCTGGAAAAGGTATTCATTGATATTGTTATGGTAAAACTGCAGACAGATCAAATAGGTACAGGTATATAGATTCAAAGAGAGGAAATTTTAAAATAGAACCAATAATTCTATGTTGGACAACAGTTTAAAACTCTGCTTAACCCAGATCTACTACATTTTGTACACATTGAGTTTTAGTCTGTAACAAGGCCTAATCACATGTATTGAGATTTTGACCTGGCAAAAACTACTTCATTTTGCTAATATTTACATTGCCAATAAAACTCTCTGTAGTCTTATTTGGAAAAGGGCATGTTGAAATGGCAGATTGTTAAATTGGAAAAGTAGACCCGATTGAGCTCTTACTGAAACAAAATGTTCATGCGTATATGACCAGTTACAAGTTAAGTCATGGCTAATCTCTTTTTACTGAAGGTGTGTCGAATGCTGAGAGAGCGGAGTGTACGGGTACATGAGATTGGTATCAGCATCTTCTCACCTTTTTCCCCAATGCTGGGGGAGAGAGCTTCACCTGATGAGGTACGCGTGTTTTCAACTTTTGATTATCTTACTGATATTATCTGTAAATATTGACAGTAACTTATTGTACTACATTTACATACAGCTGTTTCCAAAAAAAGACTGAATGTGAAACTAGTAGATGGTTGATGGTGTAATATGTCACTGTACATTTCATAATGGATATTGTTTAGAAAAAATTATAATCATTAATGTTACCTTGGTCTTCAGTGTTTTAAAGTACTAAAGAGCAATGAATAAGATGAGAAAAAATCTGAAACAGAAACATTATCTTGTTACGTTTAGAGATAGATACTGTAATTTGTGATAGTTGTGGTAATTAGGGTAACATTGTTCATAAATGACCAAACATTTTTATTTAGAATTGCAATATATTACATGATTTCACAGGTGGAAAAACTAATGGAGGGCAAGACCTACTTCATAGAGACAAAGTTTGATGGCGAGCGTATGTTGTTACACAGACGAGATGATGAGTACAAATATTTCTCTAGGAGGTATGACATCTGACCAAGAGACATAACAATCTAAAATGAGAACTGTTGTTTTTTTTAACCAGTATTTATATGTTGTCAGTAATATCTTAAAAACCAAATTTTATTATGGTTCTGATAATACATCATTTGCAACACAAATTAGTTTGATTTTTCATAAGACAATTTGAATTCACTATTTAAGATTTATTTTGCATATATTTTTTGTAATTCATCAAAATGTTTGCCACTATGTATATTGTTGGTAGCTGATGTTTATTGTTTCTGAGTACGTTTTGCATTGATATCATGTTTATTGTTGTTATGAATCTTATGTATAAATTGTCTGTAATGTTCATATTTTTTTGCTATTAGTGCTAATGAATATACAGCCACATTTGGGTCCAACAGTTTTGAAGGAAATTTCACACCATTTATTCACGACTTGTTCAAGCCTGGGATCAAGTCATGTATATTGGATGGAGAAATGTTGGGATACCATGCTGAAACCAAAACTTATGGTTTGTGTTTTATTTCACTTTATACTTAGTGTTTGTGCAGTGTGATAACACCAAAACTTAAAATTTCAGTGTGTATGTGTATAATTTCATTGTCAATTTACAAGGAAGAACTAGATAATGTAACAAATTTATGGCAAATACAGTTAGTGTTATAGATTTGTTTTATTAATCCATGTGTTAGAAAAATATGTCACAACTAATAATACTGTATATTCACTCTGCCCATACATCTTTGCACTGAGTTTCATTCAGTTTTCTTAATGATTACAATGTTGTTTGCCTGAGAGAATTCAGTAGATTCATGGCAGAATTTCAAAATACATGTATACCTTGACTTGTCTATATGCTGACTTCTCTCATTGCTATCTCTCTAGATAGAAAGTCTTAGGTGGAATTTGGTTTGGGTATTGTCTTTAACCATGCTCTGAGTTTAGTAAACTGTAAAGCTGAATATTTAGACATATTATCAACTGAGAAACTCTTTACATATACATATAATGTACAGGTAATAAAAATTTTGTTAAATGTCAACTCATAGATAAAATATTTCAAAAGAAAGTGTTTACAAGGGAATTTTTTTTTCTAAATTTCAGCAACAAAGGCAATGAACACAGACATCAAACGACAACAACAGGAAGGTTATCAACCGTGTTATAACATATTTGACATTGTGGTACTTAATGACAAAATACTCACCAATAAACCAATTAGGGAAAGATTACAGCTGCTGAAAACTGTGATAGAGCCAGAGGAGGGCCGTGTACAGATCAGTCAGCACACAGAGGCCAACACAAAGTAAGAATGATATATGATAGGAGACAGTTATAGCTGTAGAGACTGTGATAGAGCCAGAGGAGGGCCGTGTACAGATCAGTCAGCACACAGAGGCCAACACAAAGTAAGTACGATATATGATAGGAGACAGTTATAGCTGTAGAGACTGTGATAGAGCCAGAGGAGGGTCGTGTACAGATCAGTCAGCACACAGAGGCCAACACTAAGTAAGTACGATATATGATAGGGAACAGTTATAGCTGTAGAGACTATGATTGAGCCAGAGGAGGGCCGTGTACAGATCAGTCAGCATACAGAGGCCAACACAAAGTAAGTACGATATATGATAGGGAACAGTTATAGCTGTAGAGACTGTGATAGAGCCAGAGGAGGGTCGTGTACAGATCAGTCAGCACACAGAGGCCAACACAAAGTAAGTATGATATATGATAGGGAACAGTTATAGCTGTAGAGACTGTGATAGAGCCAGAGGAGGGCTGTGTATAGATCAGTCAGCATACAGAGGCCAACACAAAGTAAGTACGATATATGATAGGGAACAGTTATAGCTGTAGAGACTGTGATAGGGCCGTGTACAGATCAGTCAGCACACAGAGTCCAACACAAAGTAAGTACGATATATGATAGGGAACAGTTATAGCTGTAGAGACTGTGATAGAGCCAGAGGAGGGCCGTGTACAGATCAGTCAGCACACAGAGGCCAACACAAAGTAAGTACGATATATGATACGGAACAGTTATAGCTGTAGAGACTGATAGAGCCAGAGGAGGGCCGTGTACAGATCAGTCAGCACACAGAGGCCAACACAAAGTAAGTATGATATATGATAGGGAACAGTTATAGCTGTAGAGACTGTGATAGAGACAGAGGAGGGCTATGTATAGATCAATCAGCATACAGAGGCCAACACAAAGTAAGTACGATATATGATAGGGAACAGTTATAGCTGTAGAGACTGTGATAGAGCCAGAGGAGGGTCGTGTACAGATCAGTCAGCACACAGAGGCCAACACAAAGTAAGTATGATATATGATAGGGAACAGTTATAGCTGTAGAGACTGTGATAGAGCCAGCTGATCAGTAGCACACAGAGAACACAAAGTAAGTACGATATATGATAGGGAACAGTTATAGCTGTAGAGACTGTGATAGAGCCAGAGGAGGGCCGTGTACAGATCAGTCAGCACACAGAGGCCAACACAAAGTAAGTATGATATATGATAGGGAACAGTTATAGCTGTAGAGACTGTGATAGAGCCAGAGGAGGGCTGTGTATAGATCAATCAGCATACAGAGGCCAACACAAAGTAAGTACGATATATGATAGGGAACAGTTATAGCTGTTGAGACTGTGATAGGGCCGTGTACAGATCAGTCAGCACACAGAGTCCAACACAAAGTAAGTACGATATATGATAGGGAACAGTTATAGCTGTAGAGGCTGTGATAGAGCCAAAGGAGGGCCGTGTACAGATCAGTCAGCACACAGAGGCCAACACAAAGTAAGTACGATATATGATAGGGAACAGTTATAGCTGTAGAGACTGTGATAGAGCCAGAGGAGGGCCGTGTACAGATCAGTCAGCACACAGAGGCCAACACAAAGTAAGTACAATATATGATAAGGAGACGGTTATAGCTGTAGAGACTGTGATAGAGCCAGAGGAGGGCCGTGTACAGATCAGTCAGCACACAGAGGCCAACACTAAGTAAGTACGATATATGATAGGGAACAGTTATAGCTGTAGAGACTGTGATAGAGCCAGAGGAGGGCCGTGTACAGATCAGTCAGCACACAGAGGCCAACACAAAGTAAGTACGATATATGATAGGAGACAGTTATAGCTGTAGAGACTGTGATAGAGTCAGAGGAGGGTCGTGTACAGATCAGTCAGCACACAGAGGCCAACACTAAGTAAGTACGATATATGATGGGGAACATTTACAGCTGCTGGAGACTGTTTTCATGTAAGAGTTTTGGAGGAGGGGTGTGTACACATAAGTTGGTACACTGATCCCCCACAGAAAATAAGAAGATAATAGATGGTAGGGAGAGACAGGTATAAATTACTCTCAGATTTCGACTATTCTTTCTCTTTTATTTAAATTTTGGTAAGATTCATTCATGCACATGAATTATGAATGTACACATTATTGATATGTAGTAGAAATAGCCATTACATATATGATATGAAAGACATTAGTCTATCTGATGATTATCAAATTGATAAACATAGTAAAGGTGATAGTAAAGGTGGCTTATGGGTACAGCTCCCCCTTCCTCCCCTTGTATTTCGACTGAGCAATGTACTCCCTTAGTCCAGATATATAAGGTTTGTCCAAAACAAAAACTTTTGTAAGGGCAAATGTATTGAAATTGCTGTGAAGTAATCATAACAATAAGTCTTTGAGTTTGCGTTTTGTTCATAATCAAAGTTCTTCCCTACCTGTGTTAAGTTTGAACAGCTTAAGATTTCCTGATATAAATACATGCAGACGTGTTTTTATTGCCAGCGTGCAGTAAATGCCAGTGTAAGTCTGAACCTCATCATTTTATTACTATAGCCAGGAGTGTGCGGATGCCCTGAACAAAGCTATTGATGGTAGAGAAGAAGGCATCATGGTGAAGAACCCGGACTCAGTCTACAGACCCAATACTAGGAAGGGTGGCTGGATCAAGATAAAACCAGAGTATGTGGGGGGTCTCATGGATGAGCTCGATGTCCTGGTGGTTGGAGGGTACCTTGGAGTTGGCCACCGTGGTGGGATGATGTCACACTTTCTATGTGCTGTAGCAGTTCCCACAGATGATGGGGAGAAGCCAGAAGTATTCCATTCCTTCTGTAAGGTAAAATATACCACTAAGGTTGTCAGTAGAAGACTATTTCACCCTTCTGTAAGGTAAAATTGACCAATAAGGTTGTCAGTAGAAGACTATTTCACCCTTCTGTAAGGTAAAATATACCAATGAGGTTGTCAGTAGAAGACTATTTCACCATTCTGTAAGGTAAAATTGACCAATAAGGTTGTCAGTAGAAGACTATTTCACCCTTCTGTAAGGTAAAATATACCAATGAGGTTGTCAGTAGAAGACTATTTCACCATTCTGTAAGGTAAAATTGACCAATAAGGTTGTCAGTAGAAGACTATTTCACCCTTCTGTAAGGTAAAATATACCAATTAGGTTGTCAGTAGAAGACTATTTCACCCTTCTGTAAGGTAAAATCTACGAATGAGGTTGTCAGTAGAAGACTATTTCACCCTTCTGTAAGTAAAATCGTAAGATTGTCAATAAAAGACTCTATGTCACCCTTCTGTAAGGTAAAATTGACCAATGAGGTTGTTAGTAGAAGACTATTTCACCCTTCTGTAAGGTAAAATCTACCAATGAGGTTGTCAGTAGAAGACTATTTCACCCTTCTGTAAGGTAAAATATACCAATTAGGTTGTCAGTAGAAGACTATTTCACCCTTCTGTAAGGTAAAATATACCAATGAGGTTGTCAGTAGAAGACTATTTCACCATTCTGTAAGGTAAAATATACCAATTAGGTTGTCAGTAGAAGACTATTTCACCCTTCTGTAAGGTAAAATCTACGAATGAGGTTGTCAGTAGAAGACTATTTCACCCTTCTGTAAGGTAAAATTGACCAATAAGGTTGTCAGTAGAAGACTATTTCACCCTTCTGTAAGGTAAAATATACCAATTAGGTTGTCAGTAGAAGACTATTTCACCCTTCTGTAAGGTAAAATATACCAATTAGGTTGTCAGTAGAAGACTATTTCACCCTTCTGTAAGGTAAAATCTACGAATGAGGTTGTCAGTAGAAGACTATTTCACCCTTCTGTACAGTAAAATCGACCAATAAGATTGTCAATAAAAGACTCTATGTCACCCTTCTGTAAGGTAAAATTGACCAATGAGGTTGTTAGTAGAAGACTATTTCACCCTTCTGTAAGGTAAAATATACCAATTAGGTTGTCAGTAGAAGACTATTTCACCCTTCTGTAAGGTAAAATATACCAATTAGGTTGTCAGTAGAAGACTATTTCACCCTTCTGTAAGGTAAAATATACCAATGAGGTTGTCAGTAGAAGACTATTTCACCCTTCTGTAAGGTAAAATATACCAATAAGGTTGTCAATAGAAGACTATTTCATCCTTCTGTAAGGTAAAATATACCAATAAGGTTGTCAGTAGAAGACTATTTCACCATTCTGTAAGGTAAAATATACCAATAAGGTTGTCAATTGAAGACTCTATTTCATCCTTCTGTAAGACGTCACGATTACAAATTCAAACATATCAATGTTATCTAATAGATTGATCAAGTATAGTAATGCTTTTAGATATTTCATATTTTTGGTTCTAATTAGAGAAAAGGTGAAGGGTGATGTGTCATGCAAACCTTCTCTATGTTTAAATGGAAGATTTAAGTACCTTATTTGTTGATCCTGTTAACTTCACACTGATGGTGAATTCTTTACGTCTATTTGAGGTAGTAAATTGTGTTATTTCAGTTCCTTTTCTTGTTATTACAATAAATAAAACGTTTCATTTACTGGGTTCATAGGTTGGATCAGGATACTCTAAAAAGGAACTTGGAGAATTTAACGAGAAGTTGAAGGATCATTGGAAAGTATTTGACAAGAGGAATCCTCCGTCTTCTGTTGTACTGGCTTCTGGCTTCAAGGAGAAACCAGACGCTTGGATAGAGCCATGTAACTCCTGTATAGTCCAGGTAAACAAATGATATTCAGGGGTGGGGAAAATTATGACAAACTGTGGTTGGTGTATATGTTCTGTTTGGTTGTTCATTTCATAATGGTGTCTGGAGAGTTTCTCTAGAGCTGTTACATGTAGGATCATCGATATAGTACAATGTGTGGGAACGCATAAAAAGGAACTGTACCAATGTACTATGTAATGATAATCAACAATATGTGTTATATAATTATACAGGTGAAGTGTCCTAATTGCTCTTGACTGTTGCTATCAACACTTATGATTAATCGTAGAAAAGATTAGCCCAGACAACACTGTGATGTCATGTCTGCTTCATGATAAGGAATCAAATAAAAATTTCCCTCCACTCTCTAGAATGAAATGATGAGAATGAGATTATTGATAGGTTTCTTCATTATCAGAATGCCAAAAAAACCCCAAGCTTTCTGGTATCTACAAATGAAATTTCATCATTTAAGGGAAAACATAAAATTGTGAAAAAATGTGGAAAAACTTGAAATCCAAGAGATCGGCATCTTTTAGTGTTTTTTCTGTCCCAGATAAGAGCAGCAGAAATTATCGACAGTGACCGGTTTAAGACAGGTTGTACACTTAGGTTCCCCCGTGTTGAGTGTTTCCGTGAAGACAAAGCCTGGCATGAAAGCATGACTCTTGCAGACATTTTGGAACTAAAGGAGGTTTGTGACATATCAATTTTCATTGATCATATCTGAATGTAGGAAATATATTCTGGTTGTCTCCCGTAATCCATTTTATGAAGGTTATTCCATTTGTATTCAAGTGTTCTAGTAATCAAGTTGTTGTAGCGATGGATCAACTCAAGAAAAACTGGTAACATGGCATCACATATGTCTCAGATTTATTCGGTAATTAATAATGACAACGATGATGATGATGATGTTGACGATGACGACGACGATGAGGAGTTAACTACATAGTGATTTGTTGATTTTGAATGGTTCTGATGATGATGATGATGATGATGATGATGATGATGATGATGATGATGAGTTGATTTTGAATGGTTCTCTGGTAATACAGTGACTCTATATATTAAATAGTTTTGTATCTCCCTAATCACATTTCTTTATACACATTTGCAGAAGTCTGGAGGTAAATTAGCAGGTGGTAAGGTGGAACTTGCTGATGGAGAAGAACCTGTAAAGAAAAAGAGAAAGATTGTCAGTCGAGTAGTCCGTCCCACTCTTGGAGCTCAGTTTAAGGGCGCTGATGTCACATCTGTTACTCAGGTAAATTATCAAATTATAGTGAACATGGAGAGCTTCTTAAATCTATACTCAGCATCACATACCTTTATACTCTGTGTGAACATTTCCATAACATATTTACAAGAAGGGAAGGAGTGACAAAAATTTAATGCAAATTTTCAAATTTTTCTTTCAAAACAAAGATTATTTAATGTTGTTAGATGATCAAGCTGTGTTTGGTGTTGTGAATTTTGAATTTCATGAAAAATGAAGCACAGATCTGTATAAACTTTATAAAAGTGTAGAATACATACTACTATATACAAATGACAATTGTGGTAAGCCCTTATTTCCTTTTATTTACATGCAGTAAAGCATGGGTGTCAACTTATTACTTCTTACTCAAAGTCAGCTGTCGGGCTTTACAATGAAATTTGGTTTATTATGTCAATAGACAGCAGTATATAAAGGGTATATTACTGGGCATGGGCGTGTTGATGGATAATTATGGTATCTTTAAAACAAAGTATGTTTATGATTTTGTTGTGCTCATTTGGTAACATTGGTAAGATATTTGGCCACTTGCCATGCAGGTATGAAAGTCATGCTAGGTGTAGTATTTAATTTTTCAGGTATCAAAGATGCTGGAAGGAAAAGAGTTTTGTGTGATAAATGGTCCGTCATCTTTTCCAAAGCATGCCATAGAGACAAAAATTGTAGAATTTGGTGGTAGAATTGTTCAAAATCCAGGTAAAATTTCCTGTTAATATTTTATTGCAGAATGAGGATAAGATAATGTTATCATTCTATAGATTAATGATCTATTGATTTATTTAATCTTAATGATAAAATACAACTTCACTTCAAGTCTTGGTGAATATATATAGTAAATCTTTTTTATTGTTTAATTCAAAATCATTTATTATCCAGTTTTGTCAACATTATTTACTCGATGAAAACCGTATTAAATACTTGATTAATGTAATATATAGCATACATAATATAACTGGTAGGGATCATAATATTTTTTTTTTAAACAAAGAATGTTTAATGTTATTACATGATCAAGCTGTCTGGTGTTATGAAATAAAACTTTTTTTTTTTTTTTTTTTTGCGCTTTTAGATAAATAAAACAACACTATATTTACTATTGAAAGATAAAGTCAAGTTTCCCTTTTTAGACGAAACTTTGTGAGATAAAGATTTGTTTGTAATTGTTAGACAAAACATTATTCAGTTTTATGAGATAAATCTTTATTCAGTGTTATAAGATGAAGCTATGTTTGGTATTGTGAGACAAAGCTTTATTCAGTGTTTTAAGGTAACACTTATGTTTGGTATTAATAAAGCTATATTTGGTATTGTTTGACCAAACTTTATTCAGTGTTGTAAAATAAAGCTTTATTAGGTATTGCTAGACAAAGCTTTATTTAATGTTGTAAGATAAACCTATGTTTGGTTTGTTAAATAAAGATTTATTTAATGTTGTTAGATAAAGTTGTTCAGTATTAATAGACAAAGCTTTATTTAATGTTGTAAGATAAAGCTATGTTTGGTATTGATAGATAATCTTGCTAGATATACCTTTGTTAGTTGTTATCAACCTTAATCAGAGTTGATTGTTGTATGTTTTCTGCTTCAGGTCCATCTACCTTCTGTGTCCTGGCAGACAAGGTAGCTGTCCGTGTCACCAACCTTATTAAACGTGATATGTATGATATTGTCAAGGTAACTTGGTTCCAGCGCTGTGTGGAGGCCAGCCGATGGATACCATGGTAATTACACAGTAGACTTGTGATACAAACTACGATATATCAGGAATTTTTAGTGGGTATCTAATTTTGGAGAATTTTGCGACCCTGTCAAAATCCCCCCCCCCCCCCCCCCCCCCCCCCCAAAAAAAAAAAAAATCACAAAAAGTCAAAATCGCTGAATTTGCATGTTTTCTTTCTTTTTATTGTTGAGGCATGAATAATGCACCTATAGAGCTGATGTACCTACATACACCTGGACACTTTCTAGTCGTGAACATTTCTGTAATAAATAAATACTTGTCAGCATGTAAATCTCAAGCAGAAATTGCTCCCATGTTTCTAAGTAACATGATAGGTGTAGTATTACAGTCATTATTCATTTTTGTACTAATACACAATGTTACCTGAAAACTGTCCAGGTGTACCATTTACATTCAAATCCACAATCTAGTCTCGTTTTTGTGAAATCATGACTTAAACAATTATATGCTTATATATGGATGTCAGAGAAGTGATCTGTTGTACTTGAAGTCATCAATGCCCTTTTCTGAAATTGTATTCCATTGTTGGCTACAAATCCAAAAACTATTCTTAACTGTGATATTTACTACACAATATTCTTTTAAGACTTGCAATTCTCAAAACATGTTCCTGGTGTTTTATTATTGTAAGTATTGGATAGATTTTAACTTCTTTTCACTGATTAGATTCACCATGAATTATCTTTTGTATGAGTCTGTATATTCACACATTGATAGAATTGGAACAAATATCCTTTTTTATTGGTCTGCTCATTTGTACATTGTAAAATATTCAGCTGAAAGGAGGTCCTGCTGCTTTCTGTAACTAAATATTCGGTGATTAATAGTAGTAATGTTTTCTTTAAATTTTTGAGGTCCCCAGCAGACATGATCCACACATCACCTAAGACCCAATTGGATTTCAAGCAGCAATATGATGAGTTTGGTGACAGTTATGTGGACCCAACAAGTCCTGACCAGCTACAGACAGTGTTTGGAAGAATAACTAAGGTAATGTTAACTACAAATCCCAGACCAACTACAGACAGTGTTTGTTAGAATAACTGAGGTTATGTCCACTTCAAAAGTCCTGACCAGCTATAGACAGTGTTTGGTAGAATAACTAAGGTAATGTTAACTACAAATCCCAGACCAACTACAGACAGTGTTTGTTAGAATAACTGAGGTTATGTCCACTTCAAAAGTCCTGACCAGCTATAGACAGTGTTTGGTAGAATAACTAAGGTAATGTTAACTACAAATCCCAGACCAACTACAGACAGTTTGGTAGAATAACTAAGTTAATGTTAACTACAAATCCCAGACCAGCTACAGACAGTTTGGTAGAATAACTAAGGTAATGTTATCTACAAATCCCAGACCAGCTACAGACAGTGTTTGGTAGAATAACTAAGGTAATGTTAACTACAAAAGTCCAGACCAGCTACAGACAGTGTTTGGTAGAATAACTAAGGTAATGTTACCTACAAATCCCAGACCAACTACAGACAGTTTGGTAGAATAACTAAGTTAATGTTAACTACAAATCCCAGACCAGCTACAGACAGTTTGGTAGAATAACTAAGGTAATGTTATCTACAAATCCCAGACCAGCTACAGACAGTGTTTGGTAGAATAACTAAGGTAATGTTAACTACAAATCCCAGACCAGCTACAGACAGTTTGGTAGAATAACTAAGGTAATGTTAACTACAAATCCCAGACCAGCTACAGACAGTGTTTGGTAGAATAACTAAGGTAATGTCTCCTACTGAAGTCCAGACCAACCACAGACAGTGTTTGGTAGAATAAATTAGGTAATGTCCACTACAAAAGTCCAGACCAGCTACAGACAGTGTTTGGTAGAATAACTAAGTTAATGTTAACTACAAATCCCAGACCAGCTACAGACAGTGTTTGGTAGAATAAATAAGGTAATGTCCACTACAAAAGTCCAGACCAACTACAGACAGTGTTTGGTAGAATAAATAAGGTAATGTTAACTACAAAAGTCCAGACCAGCTACAGACAGTGTTTGGTAGAATAACTAAGGTAATGTTAACTTCAAATCCCAGACCAACTACAGACAGTGTTTGGTAGAATAACTAAGGTAATGTTAACTACAAAAGTCCAGACCAACTACAGACAGTGTTTGGTAGAATAACTAAGGTAATGTTAACTTCAAATCCCAGACCAACTACAGACAGTGTTTGGTAGAATAACTAAGGTAATGTTAACTTCAAATCCCAGACCAACTACAGACAGTGTTTGGTAGAATAACTAAGGTAATGTTAACTACAAAAGTCCAGACCAACTACAGACAGTGTTTGGTAGAATAAATAAGGTAATGTCCCATACAAAAGTCCAGACCAGCTACAGACAGTGTTTGGTAGAATAAATAAGGTAATGTCCCATACAAAAGTCCAGACCAGCTACAGACAGTGTTTGGTAGAATAACTAAGGTAATGTTAACTTCAAATCCAAGACCAACCACAGACAGTGTTTGGTAGAATAACTAAGGTAATGTTAACTACAAAAGTCCAGACCAACTACAGACAGTGTTTGGTAGAATAACTAAGGTAATGTTAACTACAAAAGTCCAGACCAACTACAGACAGTGTTTGGTAGAATAAATAAGGTAATGTCCCATACAAAAGTCCAGACCAACTACAGACAGTGTTTGGTAGAATAACTAAGGTAATGTTAACTACAAATCCCAGACCAGCTACAGTCAGTGTTTGGTAGAATAACTAAGGTAATGTCCACTACAAAAGTCCTGACTAACCACAGACAGTGTTTGGTAGAATAACTAAGGCAATGTCCACTACAAAAGTCCAGACCAACCACAGATAGTGTTTGGTAGAATAACTAAAGTAATGTCCACTACAAAAGTTCAGACCAACGACAGATAGTGTTTGGTAGAATAACTAAAGTAATGTCCACTACAAAAGTCCTGACTAACCACAGACAGTGTTTGGTAGAATAACTAAGGTAATGTCCACTACAAAAGTCCTGACTAACCACAGACAGTGTTTGGTAGAATAAATAAGGTAATGTCCACTACAAAAGTCCTGACTAACCACAGATAGTGTTTGGTAGAATACGGTAACTAAGGTAACATCCACTACCGAAGTCCAGACTGACTACAGATAGTGTTTGATGGAATGACAAAGTCAAAGTACCAATGTCAAGAAGAAGGTCTGTAAAATAGAAGAGCTGGGATATAGTGTTTGGTATTGGAGATGTTGATAGTAAGGTACAACGTTGGACCCTTACTGACCCATCAGAGTTCTAGTCAAATATAATCTATACTAAAACTGCTTACTCTGTAAGTGTTAAATATATATCTACATAGCTGTGTCTTGAAAGGCTAATCTGTTACCAGTGTGTGTTTACAATCAATTTATGTCGGTGGATGGCTGGCATTTTAAAACAAAATTTCATATTATCAGCCCATGACTGAGATAAGTCAATATGAAATAGTTACAAGTAATAAAATTATTTTCCTCGTACATTACAGGGGTAAAATTGCATAAACCTTTCTCAACTAGTTTCATTTCCATATTCTTTGAATTGATTAGATTACCTCCCTTTGTAGTTAAGCATGGAAAGACTATTGAAGATCATATTATTTTAATTGTGACATCACCAGGCACTAAATATCAGATAAAGGTATCAGATATACAAGGCAAAAAATGAAGCACAGGGTAGTGAAGTGAGATTTCTGCATCTCACAAAGTCAGATTTGTCTTAAAGGTTGTAAATTGAACTTTTTCAGGTTGAAAATGATATGACAGATCCTCTGGAGGTAGCTGAGATTGAGGAGGCCTACTTCCCTGATGATTCTCCATATGGATTGTTCCGAACCTGCAGGTAGCAATTATATTGGTTATCAATCTAAACAAATATACCTTTAAATCATGGACACTAAACTATTTGTTAATGACAAAGTAAAGGGACAAAAATTATCTGTTGTATTTATCCAAATATAGGAGCAGGTTGATTAAGCTCAAAGTTTAAATCAATATCATTGATTTGGACGGACTCACTTCTCCTGAAGTGCTTGCTGGTTGTTAATCAAATCAATACTTTGCGCATGAATCCCTCATTGATAAAGCCAAGTATTTCTACATCATGTGAAAATTTTTCATATGCAAATATTTTATTCAAAAGAATCTGAGTTATGTTTTCTCAATAAATGGGGTAAAAGTGGGAGAATCAGTTGAAATCTTTCATTCACCTTTTTCCTTATACATACAGGTGTTGAAAAGGTTGGAAAGAAACATTTAATGTGTGGTCTTATTTTAGGTTTTACATGGATGACAGCCTAGTAATTGATGACAAAACAACAAAATTAAAGAACTCCACACTGGACTTCCTTGCCCTGGAGTTACGGTTCTTTGGGGGAAGCATTGCTGAAGAAATGGACTCTTTGGTTTCTCACGTCATGGTGGACAAAAGGTAGGAAAATGGACTTCTGTGTGCTTTAAAGAGCCTGCTATCAATAGATAACTTAGAATACTGTCAGGTCATGTAGTAAACTGAATAAGTGTATTTTGTTATTTTTATTGGCCCGTTGGGTATATTACATTGGGTGCTGCCTTATTATAACCTGGTAGATGTTACATAGTAGAAGTACATACAGTGTGGTGGCTTAGACTGCTTTTGTTTAGGTATGACCTTTGACATAGAAACAATATATCATCAGGAAGGGCACTTGTATCAAAAGGATATTCACTTGTAGACACAGCTGAGAAAAGCAGTCACAGAGTGATCTATGAACTGTGATCCAAAACTTCATTGTGTTTCTTCCTCCTTACTGAATACCAGAAATATCTATCTAAATCAATTCTGTTGTCTTTATAGGTCACTAGACATTGTCATCCATAAATTTCCTTCATGGATCTACTTTACCCTTCCAAACGATCATACCAAATTTGTACTGCTACGTTAGTCCTGATCTAAGCCTGTCACTTTGTTTGAATCCAGCCTATTTAGTCAGTTGAACCAGATCTACATAAGTGGCCATGATTGTCATAGACGATGGTGAAACAAATACTATCTCAAATATAGAGGAACGATCATGGGAAAGTGTGAAGGTTGTTTCATGATTTTTAAAATGAAGGCTAATTTAACAGTTCACACAGTAAATAATCATTTAGTGATGTATGGCATGTTACTCTATACAAATGTTTGTTTTTGGTATGACTGATCTTTTTATACAATTGATGACATTCTTTTCTTCTGTCGGCATTAACACTTTCTGAAAAGATGTTTGCCCTCCAACTTGAGACCCAGTTGGATGGAATTTTTACTGTGTATTAAAATGTCAAACTTAATTAGATATTGGCTGTGAGGCTATCAGAAATCAATACGCACAAATCTGTATAATTAGAGAGTGATTCCCTGCTCGGCTGATAGATGCCAAGGATTATCTTATAAGGTATAATCTGTTTTTTTTTCTGCAGTGACCTCAGTCGACTGGAGAAAATAAAGGGAATAAGGAGAGAGAGGAGGAAGAAGTTTCACATCGTCACAAGAGACTGGGTCCGACAATGTATGGAAGAGGGAACTTTAGTGTCAGCACGCAGCTTTGAGCCATGAAGTTTCTTATCACCACAAAAGACAGGGTTAAACAATTTATTGAGGAGGGAACATAAGTGTTAGCACATAGCTTAGAACCAACTGAATGGAACTTATTATAATGTAAACACTCACATCAGTCTGAAAAAACAAACTCATCATTCACAGAAGTGTTGAAAATTTCTTAGGTCATCATCATATGTTATTTACTTTAGCCAGGAAAGTTCTACTGTTGAATCAGAACTGATGCAATATGTTATTTTTAAAAAATCTCAGGGTGAAGCAAAACTATATTGTGTGACTTCTATTGCAGACTTGAGAAAAACAAATAGAACTTTTCACAAATGATCCTTGTCTAGGTTCCTGTTTACAATATGTTATTGACAGAAAATATGCCAATAGTGAATTACTAAAAGATGTGAAGTATTGCAGTGTATTTCTCATTGTATTGACAAGGGGAATAACTCTTTGTGAAAAGTTTAGGCAGCAATTTTATAATACATCTGTAGAAAATAAAATCTAAAATAAAAACCTTTAATATCCTTGTGTTATTTGTGCAAAAAATTAATTCTCAGGGATATTTTGATATAGTTGACTAATGCGGGTGTGCAATCCCTTCCCAAAGCATCTGACTCTAAAAAGGTATCAAAATGGTAGGTATTGACATAAATAAACCCCCAAACCTTCAATCAGTAAAAATTAATTAAAGTTCAAAGTGTAAAGTTTGACCATTTAATCTTTTAAACTTGTTAACATGAAATATTCGTTGGATGAGAACCAAGTTACATACTAATTCTGTCACTCGATATTGGTGACATCAGTATTTTTTTCATATTTTTAGCCTACCATTATCAAATAGTTCGTCAGTCTGTCTGTCTGTACTCAATGGATCTCTCTCAAATTTCATTTGTACTTTGTTATATGCATTTGATTTTTGGACTGATCAGAAAATCAAAATGACCCACAGGTGGCCATCTTGGATTTTGACTTTGAAAGATTGTTATCGCTCTTTCCTGAGAACTACTGCATAGATCTTTCTTAAATATCATGTGTAGGTTCCCCTTGATCCAATTTTGTGCCTGTTTGGGTCTGTTCGGAAAAGCAAAATGGCCATCTTGGATTTCGTCTAATAAAGTTTATTATCACTATTTTTTTTAAGAAGTTCTGAAGGGATCTCTCTCAAATTTCATATGTAGATTCTGCTTGGTTTCCAGTTGTGTCTGTTTGATTTTGGAACTAATCAGAATAACAAAATAGCTTTCAGGTGGCAATCTTCGATTTGGCAGATAAAGATTATTGTTGCTGTTTCTGCAAAGCAATGTTTAAATTTCTTATCATTAAGAGCAAAACCAGAGAAGGGAAGTGAAAAGAAAGGAAAGGATCCAACTTTTGTTGAAGAAATAAAAATCAAACAATGGTGGACGCCAAGATCCCTCTTGGATCTCTTGTCTTAAAATAGATGTTTGTATGTACACTAAACCTCTTAGTTCTTAACCTTAACAGTTAAGAGGACACCCCATATCAATTTGTAATCAATCAGTTGTCAATCAGTTGTCAATCAGTTGTCAATCAGATAGAATCTGATACAATTGTTATGTATAATCTATGTATTTCACATGAATGCTAAAAACAACTTTGTGGTATTTACAATGACATGTAGACATTCACTCACATTAATTGACAGTCAGTGAAAAAGGTATGGAATATACAACACCAAGTTTAAATGACACACTTTATTTCTGAAATTTTGTACCTGTATCACAGCTGTATCATACATAATGGAAATGATTTTGTCATAATTTTACATCCTTTAACAACATGATTGCACATATAATAATAAAACACCACACTTACTGTATGTTATCAGGAGAAATGAAATCAGCATCTCTGATCTCTGGTGTGTTGTGTCAATTCTCAACAGATCGGCCCTCCCATGGTACTTTGTCTACATAATGTCAAGATTAAGGGTGGGGGCTGGGTTATCGTTTTGGTCATTATGTCCAAAGTAACAACAAGCTGAGGGGTTTGGATTGGGACATCCTATGGTTGTTATTAAACAAAGACAAGTCAGGGGTGGCAGCTTGGTCATCCCATGGTCATTATGTCTGCATAATGACAAGCTATGGGGTGGGGCATCTGTCGCACACATTCTTTGTTTTTTTTTTTTTCTTAATATAAACACTCTCTACAATCATATTCACTTAATAAACATAAAATTTACCAATCAATGCCTTACAGGTTTCAATTGACATGGAGGGGTGTCAGTGAGACATGTATAATGTGATATGATAATACTGATAAAGTTAAAAAACAATTATCAGTGTTTATTTGAAATCATGAAAAAGTGTCCCCCCAATCTATATGTGTTACTTAAGTGACCATATAAAGAGTAAGATAATGGTATTTTGGTGAAAAAGTAAAGTATTTATGTAAAATTTTACTTGTATTTTCTAACATAATATCACCAATAATCAAGTAATGATACAGTAAATAACCAATCAAAAGTTTGAAATCACATCATTTCATTGACAGTGTTTAAGATGGATTGTTTTTACCTCAGGTTTGATCTTTAGACGAGTCGTGGTCTACACACAAGGTAAAAATAAATATGACAGATAAACTCTTAACAATAACATTACATATATTAAATCTTGTCACTCTCGTCACTCTCCTCACATCCTCATTCATGTCCACACATAGCTGCTCCAAGGTTTTTATTACAACATGTACACTGTGCAACCCTTCATGCAGTCAGTTGATATGGAGTGTCATGATATTTACTATTTCTAGGAAGAATTCTTTCCAGTTAATGCTGGTATAGGGGTTAATGTGTTGGTTAGAAAGGCCGGTAATGATATGTAAATACAGTAGACTGTAAAACAGATAAAAAGTGAACTGTTTCTAAAAAAGATAATTGAAGTGTGAGCAATTTTTTTAATAAACTCCAGTGTAGAGCATGACCTAATTCACCAAATATGGATATACAGTCTAATGAAAATGTTCGTGGACTTTTTTCTGCAAGCCATATGTCAATGTTTACAAAATGGCAGCATGTAAACTACATTATCTATTTCATAAGAAACAAAATAAAAAAGCTGAGATTGTTGTAATGAATAAAACATTTGATTCAAATTTCTAAATTATTAAAATGGAAGAAGTTTTTTCCTTTTTTTTTTTGGTCACAGAGAAAGTGAGTGGGCAGAAATTTGCAAATGGCTGTTGAGCACGGGTGAATATTGCGTCAAAATAATTTCGTATGTAGATTACAAAAAGTAAATATTTGTTTCTGACTTGATAAATTCTGTAAAAAGAAAATATTGTAAATATAAGCATTAACCTTTCATTTGGTTATAAGGTTATATATCCAGTGGAGCACGAAGTAAATTATGCGTAAATGCTGTTTACCTCATGATCGATTGGATTTAGGATCTCATTAATTAAACTAAATAAAAGGTTAATGCTCAATTATTTATTAAGTTCCATGTTGTAGAGTAAATCATTGTGGCTGATGTATGCCAGGGTTTAACACCAAGAGAACACTGGTTATCATTGTGGAGACTTTGTAACAGGCAGAAGACACAGAGTTGCATAGGGGAACTTCATAATCTAACACACTTGAGTAGTTCCGTGATAAAACATGATCAACAATTTATAGGTCAATGTTGAAATTCTTCAAAAGAAATTACATGCTGGCTGTAAGATCTACTTCTTTTTTGAACATGAGTTTGAAGTAAGAACACAAATAACTTCTATCTACCAAAGTATACACTGCATTCTACAAAGTTTTGCCATGGAATACTGTAACACTGGAAGCATTCCTTGTTTTCTGCATATCACAAAGATACAAAAATAAATATCAAATTTTCATCCTGAAATGTATTTTTAGTCACTACAGCATCACTGGATTCAAGGAAGTCAAGAAATAAGAGAAGGCTGACCATGGTACATTTCATCCCTACACCGGGGAACTATTTCTGTGTTATTATCCTGCCTGAGCTTGTAACCTTTGGTACCAAGGCTAAGTTTTGTCCTGCTTTCCGAGCAATAACCACATTATCTACCTTCTTCTGGATCGCTTTGACACGAATACGAGGGTCAAGGTCAGGCAGCTTTGGACAATTGCAGGCGTCTCGTATAGCAATAGTCTATAAGATATATAAACAAAAATATTAAATGGTTGATAAAATGATGTCATAAGTATGATAGTGTCAGTGTCCATGTTAAACAAGGCTAAATATCTCCAAACATCATAAGTATACTCCATGTACTGAGAACCCTGTTTCTACTTCCAGCACTATTAACTCAGTTTTTCTCTCTAGAACTGATAACACTGATTTTTACTCCAGTTATCCAAAACCCTGTTTCAACTTCCAGTGCTGATAACCACTCAAAGTTCTGATAAACCTGATCCTACTGATAGTACTGATAACCCTAATCCTACTGATAGTACCGATAACCCTGTTCCTACTGATAGTACTGATAACCCTGTTTCTCTCTTAGTTACTGATAACCCTGTACCTTCCTGAAGTACTGATAACCCTATACCTTCCTTAAATACTGATAACCCTATACCTTCCTTAAGTACTGATAACCCTGTACCTTCCTTAAGTACTGATAACCCTGTACCTTCCTGAAGTACTGATTACCCTATACCTTCCTGAAGTACTGATAACATTATACCTTCCTTAAGTACTGATAACCCTGTACCTTCCTGAAGTACTGATAACCCTATACCTTCCTTAAGTACTGATAACCCTATACCTTCCTTAAATACTGATAACCCTGTACCTTCCTTAAGTACTGATAACCCTGTACCTTCCTTAAGCACTGATAACCCTATACCTTCCTGAAGTACTGATAACATTATACCTTCCTTAAGTACTGATAACCCTGTACCTTCCTGAAGTACTGATAACCCTTTACCTTCCTTAGTTACTGATAACCCTATACCTTCCTTAAGTACTGATAACCCTGTACCTTCCTTAAAAACTGATAACCCTATACCTTCCTTAAGTACTGATAACCCTGTACTTTCCTTAAGTACTGATAACCCTGTACCTTCCTGAAGTACTGATAACCCTGTTCCTTCCTGAAGTACTGATAACCCTATACCTTCCTTATGTACTGATAACATTATACCTTCCTTAAGTACTGATAACCCTGTACCTTCCTGAAGTACTGATAACCCTATACCTTCCTTAAGTACTAATAACCCTATACCTTCCTTAAATACTGATAACCCTATACCTTCCTTAAGTACTGATAACCCTATACCTTCCTGAAGTACTGATAACCCTGTACCTTCCTTAGTTATTGATAACCCTATACCTTCCTTAAGTACTGATAACCCTGTACCTTCCTTAAATACTGATAACCCTATACCTTCCTTAAGTACTGATAACCCTGTACCTTCCTTAAGTACTGATAACCCAGTACTGTCCTTAAGTACTGATAACCCTATACCTTGCTTAAGTACTGATAACCCTGTACCTTCCTTAAGTACTGATAACCCTATACCTTCTTTAAGTACTGATAACCCTGTACCTTCCTTAAGTACTGATAACCCTATACCTTCCTTAAGTACTGATAACCCTATAACTTCCTTAAGTACTGATAACCCTGTACCTTCCTTAAGTACTGATAACCCTGTACCTTCCTTAAGTACTGATAACCCTATACCTTCCTTAAGTACTGATAACCCTGTACCTTCCTTAAGTACTGATAACCCTATACCTTCCTTAAGTACTGATAACCCTGTACCTTATTGAAGTACTGATAACTTTTGTGACATGTTTATTGAGACACTCTAGTACTCGTTACTTCAGTATGATGTAAATAATCCATTTATTAGGTTTTCAATATCACTCTTATAAGATAAATTAACTTTTTTTCCCCATTTGATATGAACAAATTCTATGTTACCTTTGACAATAACTTCTCCATTGTGGTTATCCGATTTTCATTGGAAGGATGTGTTGATGTGAATTCCAGACCCTTTGTTCCTGTTAAATCTCTAATCATCATCATCCTTCTCCATAGCACGCTGCCTTCTCGTACATCAAAACAGGCCTGAAAATATCATAAGTAAACATCAAAGAAGTTGTTCAAAGTTCATTATTGGTGGTACACTATGTATTGTAATGTTGGAAATTCATGAAATTGCAACAGAATTTCTATTTTTTTTTTTGAAAATCAAGTGATTGTTTTGTTCAGTTGTAATGGATTTCAGCAGTGACAGCGCACTTTCTGTAGATGGAAATGATGACCTGGACTTTGTAACCTTGAAACACAAATTCATCAGAGAAATTGTGGTATCTGACCTTACCAAGATTTTTAAAATACATTCTACATGTATTAACACACTGTAATGAGACATGTTATATAAGTCCCCCAAACTATCTCGTCAATCATGATTAATGCTGAATATTACAGTAATTCAACATAGGAATGAAAGTCTGTGAAACATGGTGGCCTGTACCTTAAATTATTTAAACAATAATGAGAACTTGACTTGATAAACTTTTGACTAACCTAATGGTTGGTCAAATGGCCCAATTAGACAACAGATGTTACCATAGTGTTTCAGGTGTCATAATACACCTACATACCCACTGAAATCCAAATTTTGACTAAACAATAGCATCCATTTGGCAGTCATTTTGGTGACAGTGTCACTTTTAACCACACCATCTTAGAAAGTGTTCTATAGTTATCATTTCCACTAATTCTTATCTCAATGTGCTTGATAGAACAAAAGTTATAGGTAAAAGGTTACTATCAATCAGAGGCCAGAAAATGGTGACCATCTTCCAAAACCAGAAAACAAAGTTGTTTCTACAACTAGAGGCCATCAATCCCTCAAAATTAAGGGAAGATTCAACTCACAGTTTTAGATAAAAAGTGTCAGAAACCTTCACGGCAGAAAGTGGGAGAAGAAGAAAGAATAATGATAATGGGAATTAGAATAATAATGGGAATTAGAGTACAATCACTAAGTTCCCAATTTTTTTTGTTGGACTTTAGATCAAAGATGATGGTGATACGTAACACTAAATGCTCCAATGACATGGGCATCAACATTTTAAAATTGACACAATTTGATTTTTTACCTTTATATTGATTTCCCTATACAACATGCACAATGAAGGTACCCTATCATATTACCTTGGCTGCCATTTCCAGGCCAACAACATCAGCCTCTTCTTCTAGCTCCCTACTGAAGGTCAAGGTAAAGGTGTACTGGAAAAAAGGCACATGGTTTAATAGGCAATTATAAAGGTCAAGGTGAAGGCATACTGGGAAAAAGGCATAAAGATTAATAGGCAATTATAAAGGTCAAGGTGAAGGTGTATTGGGAAAAAAATCACACAGTTTAATAGGTAATTATAAAGGTCAAGGTGAAGGTGTATTGGGAAAAAAATCACACAGTTTAATAGGTAATTATAAAGGTCAAGGTGAAGGTGTATTGGGAAAAAAGGCACACAGTTTAATAGGTAATTATAAAGGTCAAGATGAAGGTTTACTGGGGAAAAAGGCATACAGATTAATAGGCAATGGTAAAGGTCAAAGTGAAGATGTACTGAAAAAAGGCACAAAGATTAATAGGTAATTGTAAAGGTGAAGGTGAAGGTGAACTGGGAAAAAAGGCACATGGTTTAATAGGTAATTATAAAGGTCAAGATGAAGGTTTACTGGGGAAAAAGGCATACAGATTAATAGGCAATAGTAAAGGTCAAAGTGAAGATGTACTGAAAAAAGGCACAAAGATTAATAGGTAATTATAAAGGTGAAGGTGAACTGGGGAAAAAAGGCACTTGGTTTAATAGGTAATTATAAAGGTCAAGATGAGATGTACTGGAAAAAGACAAGGCACACATTTTAACTGGTTATGATGATGATTATTTTCAATCAAGTTTTACATATACATGTACATATCAATATCTCAAGGGAAATAATTTGATAAAATAAGTTTCTGTAAAGTGTATTTAAATAGGCTGAACAAAAAAGCTGAACAAATGAAATATAATTTTTCCGAGATAACTGAACATAGGGTTTAGATTATACCAGAACAATCAGCAGCCATTGTTTAAAATTTGTGTCTCTTTACTCACATGCATGATTTTTTCCATAAAGTATTGAGTTATTATGGCGATTCCATCTGATGGTATTATGGTCCAAATGGCTGTCATAAAAAAGATGATACAGTAGTCCATAAACTGGCTCTTAGACAATGCTTCAATCTGTAATACACAAGGTCAGTGTCAATTTTAATGCTGGCTAAAATATTCACATATTTCTGAAAATAAACTGCTTTTTCTAAAGATTAACAGCAAGCACAACAAGCACTTTATGGTATTGTGTGGAGAAATTCAAAGTCATTGATAATGAACCCAACAAAACCAACAAACTGTAAATGTGATCAGTCTTGGATAGCTGGTTCGTAGAAACTTTCTGCAGCATGGACGAGTGAACTTCCAACCTACTGACTGAGTAAAAAGTATCCTTACACACAAATATTCCTAAAAGCATTCATGTGGAAATAAAAACGTAACAAAAGGTTTGAATAATTCAAAGTAAGTTAACAAATACATACATTAACAATTTGAAACACAAATACCAGGTTATGTGAAACACTTGTTCGAAAAAGTATGTTTCAATCCATCAGGATCAAAACACATTCCATTTCTTATGGATCAAGTTTCTGGTTTGAAGCACAAGACATACTGAAACATGGAACAACACAACACAGCCATACTAAAATATGGAATAGAGAAAAGTTGTATTAAAACTGGCAGAGTAATAAATACAGCCGGCGTATAGAGCTGGCAGCACCAGTACTAGTCCTTGTTAATATAACTAAGTGTGTCTTGCATCCAATTTGGCACAAAAATGATGCATGTTGATGTGTCATCAAATACACTGACTTAAGGACTTAACTTTTACCTTTTTACATCTCATTGTACTTAACACATTGTGCTCATCCTTAGGGAGTACCTAATTCATATTTGTGCTCTAAAATCATTTCGAATTTTTGCAATTATTTTTCTTCAGATCCTCATCATGATGGCAAAATGGATGTTTAATTACCTGAAAACTCTGCTTGGTGTTATCTGTTTGTTATACTAGAGCAATACTTACAGAATGAGAACAAACAGCATGTGCCATCTCATGACCAAAAACAACAGCTAGCTGGTCCTCATTTTCCATCATTTCTAAAATTGCTGTTGTGAAGAAGACATGTCCACTCTGTAATTAAATCAGACGCATTCTTATTGTCTACCAAACACAAGTCACAGTAAGATGCCAGTTACTCTACAATGAAGTAAAGTACACAGCATGGTCCGGGCAGGCTTACTAGAGTTTATACTATAGCCCTATTAGAATCATTCATGTCAGCTGGCTATATCACCATATCAATTCTCAGGGTCATTTTGAAGCACAGTTTCAATGTAGTAGCTGATGGATATCTCAGTGAACACCTTGCACAATGGTTATCGCATGCTATCTAAAGCAACTATGGTAAAATGCCCAAGGACACAACCGTGACAGCTGACAGCACAGGATGGTCCGTGATCTCAGCTTCCTGAGAAACACAAACCATCCAAGGTAGGTATTGAACCACACACCTCAAATCTTCACCTGAGAAACACAAACTATCCTACCACACACCTCAAATCTTCACCTGATAAACACAAACTATCCTACCACACACCTCAAATCTTCTCCTGATAAACACAAACTATCCTACCACACACCTCAAATCTTCTCCTGAGAAACAAACTATCCTACCACACACCTCAAATCTTCTCCTGATAAACACAAACACAAACACCTTTCTTCACCTGATAAACACAAACTATCCTACCACACACCTCAAATCTTCACCTGATAAACACAAACCACACACACCTCAAATCTTCACCTGATAAACACAAACACACAGAATCTTCACCTGATAAACAGAAACCATCATACCACACACCTCAAACCTTCTCCTGAGAAACACAAACTATCCTACCACACACCTCAAATCTTCACCTGATAAACACAAACTATCCTACCACACACCTCAAATCTTCTCCTGAGAAACACAAACTATCCTACCACACACCTCAAATCTTCTCCTGATAAACACAAACTATCCTACCACACACCTCAAATCTTCACCTGAGAAACACAAACTATCCTACCACACACCTCAAATCTTCTCCTGAGAAACACAAACTATCCTACCACACACCTCAAATCTTCTCCTGATAAACACAAACTATCCTACCACACACCTCAAATCTATCTTCATCTCAGAAACACAAACTATCCTACCACACACCTCAAATCTTCTCCTGATAAACACAAACTATCCTACCACACACCTCAAATCTTCTCCTGAGAAACACAAACTATCCTACCACACACCTCACACACCTTCTCCTGATAAACACAAACTATCCTACCACACACCTCAAATCTTCTCCTGATAAACACAAACTATCCTACCACACACCTCAAATCTTCTCCTGATAAACACAAACTATCCTACCACACACCTCAAATCTTCTCCTGATAAACACAAACTATCCTACCACACACCTCAAATCTTCTCCTGATAAACACAAACTATCCTACCACACACCTCAAATCTTCTCCTGAGAAACACAAACTATCCTACCACACACCTCAAACCTTCTCCTGAGAAACACAAACTATCCTACCACACACCTCTTCTCCTGAGAAACACAAACTATCCTACCACACACCTCAAATCTTCTCCTGATAAACACAAACTATCCTACCACACACCTCAAATCTTCTCCTGAGAAACACAAACTATCCTACCACACACCTCAAATCTTCTCCTGAGAAACACAAACTATCCTACCACACACCTCAAATCTTCTCCTGATAAACACAAACTATCCTACCACACACCTCAAATCTTCTCCTGATAAACACAAACTATCCTACCACACACCTCAAATCTTCACCTGATAAACACAAACTATCCTACCACACACCTCAAATCTTCTCCTGATAAACACAAACTATCCTACCACACACCTCAAATCTTCTCCTGATAAACACAAACTATCCTACCACACACCTCAAATCTTCTCCTGATAAACACAAACTATCCTACCACACACCTCAAATCTTCACCTAAGAAACACGAATTATCCTACCACACACCTCAAATCTTCTCCTGATAAACACAAACTATCCTACCACACACCTCAAATCTAACTTCATCTCAGAAACACACAAACTATCCTACCACACACCTCAAATCTTCTGATAAACACAAACTATCCTACCACACACCTCAAATCTTCTCCTGATAAACACAAACTCTACCACACACCTCAAATCTTCACCTGATAAACCTACACACACACCTCAAATCTTCACCTGATAAACACAAACTATCCTACCACACACCTCAAATCTTCTCCTGATAAACACAAACTATCCTACCACACACCTCAAATCTTCACCTGATAAACACAAACTATCCTACCACACACCTCAAATCTTCTCCTGATAAACACAAACTATCCTACCACACACCTCAAATCTTCTCCTGATAAACACAAACACCACACACCTCAAATCTTCTCCTGATAAACACAAACTATCCTACCACACACCTCAAATCTTCTCCTGATAAACACACCTCAAACTATCCTACCACACACACTCAAATCTTCACCTGATAAACACAAACTATCCTACCACACACACACCTCAAATCTTCTCCTGATAAACACAAACTATCCTACCACACACCTCAAATCTTCTCCTGATAAACAACACACAACTATCCTACCACACACACTCAAATCTTCACCTGACACACCCTACCACACACCTCTTACCACACACCTCAAATCTTCACCTGATAAACACAAACTATCCTACCACACACCTCAAATCATCTCCAGATAAACACAAACTATCCTACCACACACCTCAAATCTTCACCTGATAAACACAAACTATCCTACCACACACCTCAAATCTTCTCCTGATAAACACAAACTATCCTACCACACACCTCAAATCTTCACCTGATAAACACAAACTATCCTACCACACACCTCAAATCTTCACCTGATAAACACAAACTATCCTACCACACACCTCAAATCTTCACCTGATAAACACAAACTATCCTACCACACACCTCAAATCTTCTCCTGATAAACACAAACTATCCTACCACACACCTCAAATCTTCTCCTGATAAACACAAACTATCCTACCACACACCTCAAATCTTCTCCTGATAAACACAAACTATCCTACCACACACCTCAAATCTTCTCCTGATAAACACAAACTATCCTACCACACACCTCAAATCTTCTCCTGATAAACACAAACTATCCTACCACACACCTCAAATCTTCACCTGACACACCTCAAATCTTCACCTGTAAACACAAACTATCCTACCACACACCTCAAATCTTCTCCTGATAAACACAAACTATCCTACCACACACCTCAAATCTTCACCTGAGAAACACAAACTATCCTACCACACACCTCAAATCTTCTCCTGATAAACACAAACTATCCTACCACACACCTCAAATCTTCTCCTGATAAACACAAACTATCCTACCACACACCTCAAATCTTCTCCTGATAAACACAAACTATCCTACCACACACCTCAAATCTTCTCCTGAGAAACACAAACTATCCTACCACACACCTCAAATCTTCACCTGATAAACACAAACTATCCTACCACACACCTCAAATCTTCTCCTGATAAACACAAACTATCCTACCACACACCTCAAATCTTCTCCTGAGAAACACAAACTATCCTACCACACACCTCAAATCTTCACCTGATAAACACAAACGATCCTAGCTAAGGATCAAACCATGCATTTCAAATCTTCCTCTATCGCTGCAAAGTCTGATGATGCTTTACTGATTAAGAAATCCTTCTTCCTCCTGTTAGGATCATTCATAAAGTAATGGTTAGATTCTGAACAGTTTATCAAAATTTTTAAATGCTGTAAAACAAATGATAAAAAACACAACAGACTATATCTAGACTGTTGGAAACATTGGTATCTGCCACCATGTCTCATGATGTGTCTCCGTGTAAACCTACAGTTACTCATCAAATGCAATCTGAATTAATAATACAGAAACCAGTAAAGGCCAAAAATCGTAACCAATGTGGTCGTCAAGTAACAAATGAACATTATGTTCAGCATCTATAACAACATAAATTCTGTCTTCTCTCTTGATTAGTACTAAGAGATCCCATAAGCTGCGTGCACATTCTCAGCAGCGGTCATCACATACTTTGTTAATAGATTGACCAGAGGGACTCGGATTCTTTACATTATGATATAATAACTTAAACTTACAATCAAACCCATTTTATTAATCATTTACCAGATGCATAAAACAATCCTTAAAAAAGTAAGTTTGTTGACATAAAACTCACTGGAAGAACAAAAGCATTTAGAGCAGAATCTTCAACAATACACAGCTTCCACTTCAAATCCTTTAGTATAGGTAGGTCCTGATTGGCTTGTAACAGTCTCTGAGCAACCCATAATAGTGGCTGGTAGAATGGGTGTGTAGCTGGTAACATTTTGTCCTTGAACTGTGTTATGTGCTGAAAATATACATGTTTCAGGAGTAAAAACACTATTACATTATGATTTTTATGACAAGATAATAAATTATTTTACTAATTATTTTAGAACATTTTCTGTAGGCTGGTAATGTCAAAAATGTTACCCACATCTTGTGCACTACATATGTCAGTGTTAGAATGCTTCGCACTGGTCATTTGTCTGATGAAGGTGAATGTGTAGTCATCTAAACGTGAGCCTTGTATAGTAGAAGTTAAGCAGAGATGTCCGTTTTCAGCTGTACTTTTTCCTGACTATTTAAGGATGTGTACCAAAAAATTGGTGTCATTTGGTCAGTTTACATAGAAGAGGTAGCACTCTAAAGTAAACATTGCAAGTGACTTTTGCAAAATGGACAAAATCGCTGAAAGAGCAGTGGTTCAATATTTGCATAAGAAAGGTCTAGCACCTAAGGATATCCATACTGATATAATAGCAACACTAGGGAATGATGTCCCTTCATATGCTACAGTAAAAAGGTGGATGGCGTCTGTCCTGGAAGGCATTTTACTGTTGCAAACCCAAAAATGGTCAATAAAGTTCATGATATTGTTACGACGGACAGGAGAGTTACAGAGAAATATATAGTCAACTTTCAGCAGAGGTTTGTGACTATGGATGATATAGTGGTCCATCATTTCAGCCCAGAGGCCAAACAACATCTAAATAATGGAAGCACCCTGGTTCACCCCGCTAAAGCAGGCAAAGACTGTTCCATCAGCTGGAAAGGTTATAGCCTCGGTTTTCTAAGATGCTGATGGTTTTCTGATGGTAGATTATCTGTGAAAGGGACAAACAATCGATGGCACATATTATGCATCACTTCTTAGGCAGTTAAGAGAAAATATTAAACTCGCAGAAACATGTTGTTCCACCATGACAATGCCCCTGTTTACAAGTCTGTCATTGCCATGGCTGCCATTATAGACTGTGGGTTTGAATTGATTGAGCACCCACCTTATTCGCTTAATCTCACTCCATCAGAATTTCATCTATTTCCAAAATTAAAAAAGGCCATTTCACATACCCACTTTCAGTCAGAAAATGACGTCATACTTGCAGTGGAGGACTTTTTGAAAGGTCAAGAAAAGGGCTTCTTTAAAAGTAGAATTCAGGCCCTTAAACATCGCCAGCAAAATTGCATATATACTGAAGGAGATTAAGAGCTAGTTTGATAATAAGGATATAACAAACTTGTTCTGTCTCAAACTGATTAATCATTAGAACTAATTAGATAATGATAATATAAATGAACCTGTTCTGCTTCAAACTGACTGACTGTAAGAACTAATTTGATCATGAGGATATCACATACCTGTTCTGCTTCAAACTCGCTGACTATTAGAACTAATTTGATCATGAGGATATCACATACCTGTTCTGCTTCAAACTGACTGACTATAAGAACTAATTTGATCATGAGGATATCACATACCTGTTCTGCTTCAAACTCGCTGACTATTAGAACTAATTTGATCATGAGGATATCACATACCTGTTCTGCTTCAAACTGACTGACTATTAGAACTAATTTTATCATGAGGATATCACATACCTGTTCTGCCTCAAACTGACTGACTATTAGAACTAATTTTATCATGAGGATATCACATACCTGTTCTGCCTCAAACTGACTGACTATTAGAACTAATTTGATCATGAGGATATCACATACCTGTTCTGCCTCAAACTGACTGACTATTAGAACTAATTTGATCATGAGGATATCACATACCTGTTCTGCCTCAAACTTACTGACTATTAGAACTGTTCTGCCTCAAACTGACTGACTATTAGAACTAATTTGATCATGAGGATATCACATACCTGTTCTGCCTCAAACTGACTGACTATAAGAACTAATTTGATCATGAGGATATCACATACCTGTTCTGCCTCAAACTGACTGACTATTAGAACTAATTTGATCATGAGGATATCACATACCTGTTCTGCCTCAAACTGACTGACTATTAGAACTAATTTGATCATGAGGATATCACATACCTGTTCTGCCTCAAACTTACTGACTATTAGAACTGTTCTGCCTCAAACTGACTGACTATTAGAACTAATTTGATCATGAGGATATCACATACCTGTTCTGCCTCAAACTGACTGACTATTAGAACTAATTTGATCATGAGGATATCACATACCTGTTCTGCCTCAAACTGACTGACTATTAGAACTAATTTGATCATGAGGATATCACATACCTGTTCTGCCTCAAACTTACTGACTATTAGAACTGTTCTGCCTCAAACTGACTGACTATTAGAACTAATTTGATCATGAGGATATCACATACCTGTTCTGCCTCAAACTGACTGACTATTAGAACTAATTTGATCATGAGGATATCACATACCTGTTCTGCCTCAAACTGACTGACTATTAGAACTAATTTGATCATGAGGATATCACATACCTGTTCTGCCTCAAACTCGCTGACCTTTAAAACCTGTTCAGGAGTAAGGATGATAAACTGTTTCCTATTGGTGATGGGTGTTACTTGATTGGAGTTGTATAAATGGTACATCAGTATCAGTGGTAAACCCACTACTGACACATAAGTTAACACATACATTATCTTCTTCCATCTTGGTAGATCCTTGAACCATTGTCGATACACCCTGAATAAGACAGACCCAAGAAGACTTATCATTAACATTAAAACCTTTATGTTTTAGATTATTTGACAAGCACTTGCATTTTATGAAACAGTTTCAAATTTACTTGTGAAATGTTTTAGATATCAGTACAGAAGAATACCTGTATCTGCAAATGTTTTAAAATTAAATGATCTTTAGTACAGAAAATCAATATTTCTGTACTTCTTAAGATGAATTTGTATACATTGCACTAAATAAGAAACAGTAATACAGCATACTTCACAAACACTCTAACACTAATTTATGATCTATATAATAGTTCACAGCTGCTTGTTATATTAGTGGTATTCTTGACTGTTTACACCATAATTGATCTGAATCTCTTCAAACCACGACCAAAAATAGCCAACAAATATTACTTGTTGTTAAACAGTAATGACGTACCGGGAGGTAATCACAGTGACAATCTTTAAGGCTGGTTTTAACAGTACCCAAATCACAGGATGAAATGCCCTGTTCTGTTGACTGGTGCGAAACCCACATATATGCTGAATAGAAGGTGGATTTGTCTGATTCGCTCTGTACTTTCCACAGCTATTGATACGTGTTGTAAGAGGAGATTTACTCAAAGTGAACTGAGGATATCCAGCATATCTATTTGTCTGACCAAACCTGGTGGTAACCTTTACAGTTGTTGACAGCTTTGATGATAAACATCTGAAATTGAAGATACAAGTATGATGTAATTTAACTTAAAACACTGGCTTCATGAACAACAGCCTATATCTTGCTTTTAAGCATTCAACTTTCAGAGCAAACCTGTACCTATAAGCCTCATTCTGGTTGACCACAAAGAAATTTTAAGGGAACAAAACCAAATCAAAAACTACACTAACATGATTCCTCATTTCATGCATCGTCATCTTTGTCTGTCAAATGCCAAGTCATTACATAGTGATTGAATTTTAAATCTACATCAAATTTTGTATTTTCATATCAAGGTTTCATGTCTCAACACCTCTCATACTTCTATATTTTAAATAAAAGGGGTAACAATAACCTTTATTGGTATCCAATACATGTACCCATATATGATATGCTTCTATGACCTTTGACCTGCATTCGAGACAAAAGATGAAAGGAGGCTGAGAGGACCAAATATTCTCCTATGAAACAGACTTCTCATTATATATCTATGGCAGTTGTAAAGATATGAAACATGTCCTACAATACACCTTGTTAACATAACTGTTTTATCATATGTTGTAAAAACATGTCATGTCTACTGTTCACAACAATATGACCTTGTAAACTACATGTATTTTCTAATGGCCTTCTCTGTATTGATAGGAAACTAGAAATAATCATCTCCTTAATCTAATGTTGTACATTCATACAACATCTTATGATGCCTAAACAATGACCAACATGTTTCAACATCTGGGATCAAAAGGTCAAAGAGATCATAGTACCTTGCTGTGATCAGTGACATTACATATTTTTATCAAGTTTCTGCATTGTACTATAACTCATATGTAAAACAGCTAAATTGGAAATAATACCAAACAAAATGAACCGGAGATAAATTATTTGAAGTACCTTTATTTGCAAAATCCATGCAACTTCTCTTTTCTGTGTTATTTACAAGCTTAGCATTGAATGCTTGTTTATCTGTTGATCAATTTATCAATATATTTACCAATATTGATCATGTCTATGATGGTCATGTATATTTACAAGATACATGTACACAACATCTATATGCAATACACCTCAGGTTCAGATAAGTTATTATCAATTATTAATCCAGAGGTTCGAATATCCGTCAAGCTGATAAGGCCTATTTTATCTATAGTGTACATGTAACTAGGCACAGAAGAATGGACATTTCAAGGCTTGGTTTTTGTGATTTCTTTCGTGGTCCAGATCTTTAGATGTGCTGCATGTTTTACGTACAATAGTTTTACCTTATAAACACACACACACACACACACACACACATATTTATATCTATACATAAAAATGTACATATATATATCGATGAGTTATTGCCTTTCAACTACCTTAGTTACATATATATACATAAATATGTATACAGTATGTATATTGAAAATGAATATGAATTATATATCATACAGTAATAGAGAGACATTACCTTCCTCTTCCACACAGAGCCAGAAACATGTTTCAGTATGTTATGAGAAGAAGGTCTATCACATGGATACATTAGATGTCATCATCCAAAAATCTGTAAAAAGAGTTACCCAAGGGACGTAATTTTGTTGAAATCGAAAGTAGGGGAGAAGTAATTATTTTTCTAAACGGGTTACCCATTTAGTTATTTCATTTTGTGAATAGTTTACATACTCTTCTTTTGTCGCTATCTTAAATAACCCTTAATGTAGATGATCTGTTATTATTCCATGACGCTTTACACGAAAATTAGTTGATTTGATGGCAATTACTCAAAGCAGGTGCCCGTCTCTCCGGTAATTTTTTTCCTCGTTGTCATTGGCTACAACATAACATCATGGCTGCCACCAATTTGTAACGATTATTTTGACAACAATGATCGTATCCGGATTTTAACTAAACAAGGAAGTAAGGTGACATTAATTTAGTATTATCTGCTGTATATTCTGCTTTAAGTTTTGTTGATAACAGTTAATCATTGAACGCTAGTTCTAGAGACACATGTTACCTGCTTTTGTGTTTTAAACTTGTTGCTGTAACAGAAATACATACATGTAGTGTACATAAACATTATGTATTTTCATCGTTTAAAATGTGTTGATATATAATTGTAGCACTGATTCAAGATACAAAACGTCCATGTTTGCACATAGTGAGCTTGGAAATGAAAACTGATAACATTGGTGAATGAAAAACAACACAACGTGGATCCACAAATACGTCATACATAGGGGCTTGTTGTCTTGGTGAAAAAAGTATATATTGGCTATTATTTGTTGTGGGGGCCAGATTACACATACATATACGTGTAATTTTACCCGCAAATCATAGTTTATACATAATTAATTCACCTAAACTTGAAAGTTGTCTAAATTTTGTCTCCAATGCCAGAAGTAAGACATCGTGACAAATTATATCTGGTACATGTATTACCAGAGAGTATGTATATATATACATTATGTACTCTGGAAGAGTTTGGTGATGTTCTATGCTAAAAAGTTGCCAACAAAATGATTAGGATATTTTATGGCCCATTTTTTAAAAATTACATCTGTATATCAACATGTACATGTTGTTAATTAACTGCTGTTAATTTATATCTGTAAAACCAGTAAACGTTTTTGTATATTGTTAATTAGGATTCAGGTGACGGGATATGATTATTTATACAAGTTTATTGTTTGCCCATCATATGTACAAGAATATTCATTACGAAGTTAAAGTTGATAAAAGCAGGTTATTAGTCAAGAACATTTTGGATACTACTCTTCGAAAGTTTTCTATCTCATTTAAGATATGATGCAAACTGATATCTTTTTCAATTTTTGTAAGCTTCGATCACTAAAATGTCAAACATTAAAAGTATCATTTCCTTCTCAGCAAATTTTTTCAATTTATATTGATATCTTAATCTTGAAGAAAATATGGACAAAGAATCCAAAAAGCGTGGGAAGCGGTCTCAAGTTGGTCCATTAGATGGACATGAAGGAAATACATCTTTTGAGCTTGACATAGCCTCAGACAAAACTCCTCAGCATCATCATAACAGGTAATTCTTATATTTTAATCTCATTGTTTCTCTGATGTCTTTCTAATTTACAGATCATTCATTCAAGATCAATTATTCATAAATTTGTGATCAAGAAAATATTACTTCAGTGTTGATTGCTTCATATTCGTTCATTCATTGTGGACACAATAAAGTATGATTGAATTCCCCTCAATTGTTGACAGCAGTAAATCCTAATTATTTTGTATCATTATTGTCTGTATGCTATATGTTATGAGAAACATGGAATTAAGGCAGTTTTCCTGCTATCTTTATTCAGCATGATTAATTTCATGATGAATATCAAGAAAGTCCATGTAATATTAAGTGAAAATGTTTCACCCTCTTTTATTTCACTCTGGAGCAAGTCAAAACATCTTTACTTTAATTAACAGATATAGGTATAGATGATGGAACTTTTCCTACAGATTGATGTATGTTATTAAAAATAAGAAAAATCAGACCTTACCATGTATTAATAAAATCTAAACAGCAAAGTTTTGAGTATAATGTTCATAATGGTCACCCAATACACAGTTAGCTATAATTGTACACCTTCATTCCTCAGTGTGGAAGCCCCTGAAATGTTGTAAGTACATCGTACATGTAACTTTGCTATTTTTACATAATGATATGATGTTGTTTAATATTTTGAAAGTAGATAGACATTTAAGATTCACTTCCACTGGGTCTTTGATCAAAAGCCCTTGTTATAAAAAATATCTATTTTACATGTAGATAGTTTAAGCTAAATGTTATAGTACTGTATTTTCCATAATACACACATTTACTACAATACAATTTTGCTTTGAGACCTACACCTAGGTAGTATCATTTCATTTCAGTAATAAATACCATAACTTTAGTATGCATATCTTCCACTAATTTTGATTGTTTTGTATATATAATATGTATGAAAAAAAGATTCCAATAATACACACTCTACATTTACTACAATACAATTTTGCTTTGAGACCTACACCCATATAGTACTAGTTTGACAATGTTGTATCTCTCATAGTAGTATGTAACCATGGACTTCCCCATTATAATGACAAGTTAACAAGCACTTTGCCATCATAATGACACGATAGCAGGGACTTCCCCATCATAATGACAAGTTAACCAGGATTTCACCATCATGATAACAAGTTAACAAGCACTTCCCCATCATAATGACAGTTTTCAAGGACTTCCCCGTCATAATGACAAGCTAAAATGGACTTCCCCATCATAATGATTAACCAGGATTTTACCATCATGATAAAAAGTTTACAAGCACTTCCCCATCATAACGACAAGCTAACAGGGACTTCCCCATCATAATGACAAGCTAACAGGGACTTCCCCATCATAATGACAAGCTAACAGGGACTTCCCCATCATAATGACAAGCTAACAGGGACTTCCCCATCATAATGACAAGTTAACCAGGATTTCACCATCTTGTTAACAAGCACTCCCCGATCATAATGACAAGTTAACAAGCACTCCCCCATCATAATGACAATAAAGCAGGGACTTCCCCATCATAATGCCAAGCTAACAGGGACTTCCCCATCATATGACAAGCTAACAGGGACTTCCCCATCATAATGACAAGCTAACAGGGACTTCCCCATCATAATGACAAGTTAACCAGGATTTCACCATCATGATAACAAGTTAACAAGCACTTCCCCACCATAATGACAGTTTTCAAGGACTTCCCCGTCATAATGACAAGCTAAAATGGACTTCCCCATCATAATGATTAACCAGGATTTTACCATCATGATAAAAAGTTTACAAGCACTTCCCCACCATAATGACAAGCTAACAGGGACTTCCCCATCATATGACAAGCTAACAGGGACTTCCCCATCATAATGACAAGCTAACAGGGACTTCCCCATCATAATGACAAGCTAACAGGGACTTCCCCATCATAATACCAAGTAATCAAGGCACTTAGATAGTTTTACAGCAGTTTTACAGTAGTCCCATATAAAGATAAGTGGATGCAGGAGTTTTACATAAGATTGAGTACAAATAAAGAAGACATACCATCATCTGTGATGTTTGGTTATATAATCAAAGCAGGTTGTCAGTCTTGTCACTGATATGTCATTTTCTTGGTGATTTCTAAATGCATGTTTATTTTTGAGTTTGCTATCTACCTTCAGCTAGCTTTTATTACTTTATTTTGAGGTGGTTTGGGTTGATTTTTCTAATCAGTGTTTTGCTTAGCATAGCTTTCTGAAGTACATGCTTGGAATTGAATTTAGTTATGTTTGTTTACCTTTACGTGAATGATGATCCATTTCTGTTATTCATATGTAAATGTTTAATCTGTTTCACAAACTTTCATGCATTCTTGTCATTGCTCCATTTAATTACTTGGAAAGAATCACATCCATACCTACCCCATATATTTCAATGATAATCAGCGATATAAAGTTGAAAACAGTAGCAATACATGGAGTATCAATATCTATTGGTATTTTGATAAACAACAGACATGTAATCGTTTGTTTGTTGGTTTACATCTTCTAAACAGCTGATGATAGATGGATATAGTGACCACCAAGGATGTGATCTCTCTAGCACCATTTTAAAGTGTCATCACACTGAAATGTCATAACCTGTACATGTTATCATGAGACTCACCAGGTCATGCTATAATGACAACTGGCTAACCAGATATTTCCATGAACTCACCATAGCTTAATGTAACATGGTGAGCAGGTTGGTTGGTTACAATTTTCATCTCTTTCCTTTTGCTAGGCATTGTCTCACAGATGAACATCAGTATTCTAGTCATGTGACTTATGCTCAACCTGAATGCCATAAGTGAGACATTGTCAATGGCAATATTAGAAAGAGATGAGGTAAAGATCCCAAGTTTGACTGTCTAAATGTTGGCAGCAGATTCATCAGGACAGAGGTTTTGTAAAGGAACTTGATGGTACAAGCTGGCATCTTTAGGAGTAGTGTAAGGAAATTTGATAATAAATAGGTTATCTTGATTGTGCAAACAAGAAATATTAGAGTGCCATCATCAACTAAGGTCCAATGTAAGTTATATGTTCTGATAGAGTTAGGTGTCTGTGATAGCTTAGTTGGTAGAGACTTCAAAACCTCAAGTAAAGATCTGGGATGTGTAGTTTGTCATGCCCTACCAATGCCAGTGCAGTTACTATGGAAGTTATTAAAAGGACAGGACAAAATCTGCTGTTGTGTCCTTGGACAAGACACTTTAACCCAGTTGCTCTGGATGGCATGTGGTGGACCTCCCATATGTTGTTCAGTGATGTAGCCACCTCAAGTAGACAAAAAGATCATGCCCCAAAATGACCCTGACTCTGTTTAAGGGGGTCAATAAACCCAACAAGCAAACAAATCTTTAGGTTTATCAGTATAGTCAGTATGGAGAGGTTTTTCACATAAAATGTTTTTCTTTTCTTCTCCCCCTTCTCTTCCCCCACCCCCCACCCTTTTTTTTTTTTTTTTTTTTGCAATTTTCTGAGAAGGCATGTAAGTAAGGGTGCTCATTGAAAATTGATTTTTGATTTTAAAGTATGATTTATGTACCAAGTGGTACTCCTAAACATACTTATAGTAATATTTCATAACCCTATATATCAGTATAAACTTTATCTTAATGTTGGGTTTGAATTATTCAATCTACTTCTGTGTTGATATATTTATCTACATGTAATATCAATCGTATTGTACTTGTGTAGACGTAAAGATATACATTGTACTTTAAGTATATAGTTATTTTCTGAATGTTGTGTAAAAAATGCGGCTTTTCTTAGATGTGATTTTCTTTGTGTACAATTATGAAATGTAAGAAATTAAACTATAGACTATGTAATCTATTACTGGAGGTAACGATAACAGTAAAAGTACCCATATATCTATCTTTTTATCAATGAGGCTTTATACAAGTGCTGTTTGTGTCTATGTTATACTGATGTGATTAGTGCCACTCATATGTTGCCTATGTATGTACATATATAGCTAATGTGCAGATAGTAGAAATTTGAAAGCTAGCTGTTCTACCACATAAAAATGTACTACAAATTGAGAAATAAAGAGCAATCACAACAAGCTTGTGATATAAGATTCTTCTTATTCATTTATTTGTCCTGAAAGTTTTTAGCTCAAACTTTGGACTTCATTACGGCATTGGTCCTATTTTAGTATCTATGTTACTACAAATTGATATACAATGAACACATTAAATATTTGAAATGATTCATCTTTAGCAATGTACTTTTAATATGTCCCTCATTGTGGAGAAGCATCAAGTGCTTTACATAATAGGTGATATTTCATTATTGTGTTAACTGTAGGTCACAGTGACCTATATATCTAACTGATTTTAATTAATTAGCTTTCACATTGGTTAGTCTTAACATTATGATTTCTCTTGAACTGTGTATCATCCAGTCTTAACAATTCACATGAGTAATTATCTTTAGCATTACCATAAACTGTTGTGCTATCTGTTGGTCACTGTGACCTATTTTAAGCTTCACTAACCTTAGCATCTCAGATGTCATGTTTATATATTTTGATATTATTTCACAATAATTCTTTCTTTCCAAACATCATTCGAAGGCATTTTTTTGAATGTTTTAAAAAACATTTTCTAGTTTCTATACATACCCAGGTATATATTTATAAAAAAAAAAAAAAAAACACACACACCAAGAAGCTTTGAAATACTCTTGATCCTTCAGGATAAGGAATTCTTATTGACATTGATGAACATACTGAAATGTATAGAATGATTTAGGTTACTGTTAACACAAATATTGATGTTATTTACTTAGTGTTTTGACTACAAGGAACGATGTCTGTTTTTCAGTAAAGTCCTAGATACATTTAGAGACCATGTCAAGGAAACGAGCCGAAAAAGAAATGCTATTGTTGCCATAGTGGACGCCAAGAAGAGCCTGTCAAAATGGCGATCTTATGCTACATCGAAACGGGTCAGGGAACGCAAAAGTAAGTACATAAGATATCTGATATATCCATTTTCTAGGAGCACATTCACAAAATTTATAAAGTTATCACAGGTTAAGTAAGGATTTAACCTTAAAGCAATTAACACAAATTGTAAAAAATTAATGTGTAATTATTTTAACTGTGGGTACATATTCTGGTATATTTGTTGTCTAATGTTATTGTTTTATAATCTGTTTATAGATAATTTTTATGCAAAATTTGGTATCATATTTAAAAGAAAAACAAATAGTTAAGACCTTAAAACTTGCACATTTTAAAGCAACATTAATCTGGATTTGTTAAAATCTAACAACTTAAATATACGCTAATCATAGAAATGCTTCCTCCCAGAAAATAAAGATAATAAACTTATCATTTTTACTTATGATTCCTATATTCATTCTAAATTACAGAAACAGGTCAGTAGATTATTGTATATATAACATTAATTTTTAAAAAAAATAATTTTGTTTTGCTAATTTTATCATTAATATTTATACAAATAATCCTTGTGTGCTTTTATAATAAGCTATGACATTCTTATTACATATCATCTGACTTTCAGCCAGGAATTCTAAATTTGGTCGAAAAAAAAAGACTTTTTCTTAAAACTTCTGTAAATTATACAAAATTTTATCTTATACATCATGTTATCTGTAGATTAATTGTAAACATTTTATGTGTATTACACTGTGTATTGTTATAGCTTTGAGCTATACCACATAAGATGCAATTTTCAGAACATGGTTTGAACTTAATAATGATATTCCTTTAAAATTATTCATTCATTGAAAAAAGCCACAGAATTGCAATGTGATTTCTTTTTTGGAACCGGTATATACATTAAAAAAAACAAAATTCAATTTCATTCTGTAATTATTTGTAAATAGGATAAGGATAAATATGACTGTAAACAATAATATTGTGAGTGTAAATAAGTGGAACAATAAACATGTAATTACTGCTCAGGGAATAAAAGATAGGAAAGATATATCTGGTGAATTCAGTTTAATCTATGTTGTGAAAAGTATTTTCATGTCTACATCTATATACAATGTACTTACCATACTGAATTGACTTGTCTCTTATTTTCACCAATGTGTCACAAACGCTGTTGTTAAAAATGTTATGAACGCTGCAGCCAAATGTTCTGTTCCATTCTGTCAGAGTAACATGAAGTACAAAAATTATCAGACATGTACACATACTCTTTCTTAACCATATATAACCACCAGTGACAAGGACTAGCTCTGTCTTTTACATTTATATGTCTGTATATGTATAAATATAGTGTGTGTTGACAATAAGCTTTTGAATGCATATAGCACATTTGTTATGTGTTTTATCACTAAGCTTTTGCCATATTTGTTATGAGAAATACATCCTTATAGAAGTGTAATCATTTAAATGGCAACATATCAAGGTTTTTTACCTCAATTTTGCATAACAAACAGCAAAATGACTTTCTGGTTAGTGGATCAGAATTAATGTCATCACTTTCAACTAACAAAGCTTTGCTTTACTAGTTTCTACAGCAATGGCTTTGCTTAAGATTAACCATAGTGATTGTTTTTACTTACTTAGTAAACGTGGCAATTGTTTTACATGTTACACATAGCAACATTGGCATGGGGTTTAGGCCTAATTCTGTTTTAGTAAGCATGGCAATACTTTCACTTTCTGGTTACCATGACAATAGTTCTCCTTTTGGTTACCATTGTGATGGTCTGTTTTATCAGATACTTTGGCGTTTGATGTGTTTAGTGTTTACCGTGTCAGTGATGTAACTTATTATGCAGAAACCTTTATTTCTAATGTATATATATACTGCTTTATTTGTTGCTGGCAGATCATTTCTTAGGTATGTAATAATTATAACCATCACTTTCCTCTACAGTCAGTGTTGTACTTAGTTAGTGGTGAAACAAGGATGAGTGGCCAGGAGAGATGTTTGAGGAGCAATGTTTTTACACACAATCTGTGACCTACAATTTAAACATGAATTACTCCTCAATGTCCTCTAGATGTCTGCCTTTCCTTGTATTACCCCCAGCATAGCGTAGTCTCTATAGACCTTCTGTTTCTGCTGAAAAAGCTGGGCAAATCTCTTTCAAGTTTGTTTCAGTTATTATTTGATATCTTTCAATGAAAAAAAGGGTAAATTGTCTTAAAAGACAAATGCTGTGGAAGCCATTTTCAGCAGATTTCACTTTCTGATAGAAGACTCTATTGATATGTATGTGACACAGAAAAGAAATATTCCATCATGAATCGGACATTCAGTTTTGAAAAATCTTTTGTCTGTTTAGTTTACTGGATAACAAACACATTCTAGACTGGACACCTATTGACTGATATGTAAACTCCTATAATGCATATGACATCATTTGATTGGATAATATATTTACTTTGTGTATTTATTGGCACCAGTTGATTGGTTAAAACTGTCTTTCAATTAAATAACATGATCATTTGATTGGATGATATATTTACTTCATGTATTTATTGGCAATAGTTGATTGGTTAAAACTGGCATGATCATTTGATTGGTTACATATCTGTTGTGTATTTGATGGCCTTTTCTCTCAGTTTTTATTTTCTTTCTTTTAATTAAATGCGTTGGTCTCTAATTGTAATTGTAAAATGTTGTATTTCACATACAATGTAGATTTACCAGCTGACTCAGTATATACCTAAATACATTGTGTATATACGATGATCATACAATTGTATCGAGATTTCGGAAAACAATATTTTGTAATAGATATTGTCACATTACAGTGATCACAATCATGATTTAATTTGACAGTTTATACAAATATGTACCAGATTTTTTCTATAAGTCACTGAATCACAGTTCTTTACTGATGATGTGTGTTAATGGTTGGATCAGTCTCCATATCTCTTTCAAATGTTTTTGTGTATTTTGCTTTTTTTTCAACACTGAATATTAAATTTTTTAATTTTTTTTTAGAAAATCATGTTTGAGTATGATAAAATTTGGTTTGTGACATTTCTGTTGGAACTAGAAACTTTCTTTATTTGTACTTATGGCCATGCTTTTTCTGCTGCCTCAGAAAAAATCTGAAGTTTTATTCAATTCACACAGAAGATAAAAACTGCAGCATTTGTGTGTATGTTTATGATGCTGTAGGCTATAGGATTAGTTGTGTTGAGGAGGTACTAAAAATGGTACACTGTTTTGAGTTCTGTATAAAAATGTCATATCTTAAACTATTTAAATTTATATAAGAATTCTCCATCCTAACTTACTCTTGGAAAATACAGAGTCTATTTTATTTATTTATTTTTTTTTAATTCTAAAGGTTTTATACAATGTAACTATTGTAAGTTAAGAATTATTTCATTCTGTGTTACAGACAAGAAAACATCTTTCTTTTTCTGATACGATATTTATCATATCTTCTATTGGCCTTGTCTTATAAATAGATGATTATATGGCACACCTTCAGGGTAAGTTAGTTTCCTCCTAGTGACCAATCCTCTCACAATGATTATATATAGAACCATTAGGATGACCTGTTTCGTTGACCTCCATTCAGAACATCTTTATCACATCATTTCTCTCTATATAACCCATATAGTCCTTTATTCTGATATCTAATCCTTTAACAATGTATTGTTTGTTCCTCTCATGTTTTATGTCACATTAAACAATGTCACAAACCTCCTCTTCCAAGGAGTCTTATGATGTGGGGACAGCAAGTCTGAAAAACTCCAGTGGGAGGGAATTTATTTTGAGGAACTCCAAGGAAGGGGAGGATGGGATCGGTTTAGTAATACTTTAGACAAAAGGTAAAATAAGTCAAATTTCAAGGTACAGGAGGAGGGGTCATTCTAGAAAAAAAAGCCAGGAAGAGTTATTAATTGCTGACAATTGTGGTAAGAGAATATAATTGGAAGTAATTGTAGAAAATCTCAAAGTGAGGAAAAGAGGGAGTCATTCCAGAAAATGAATTAGGATACTAAGTGAGGAATATTCACAGGTTAAAGAACAAAAATGTCCTGGATGGCACAGAAGATATTTAAGGAAAACTTTTAGATTTTAAAAAGTAGGGAGCAACATGGCTTCTGTGCCTCCATGCAAAGATGACTGAGAGTTCCATGATGATGAGGATTTTATTCAAAATCTTTGTGAACTGTTGAAAATTCAATAGAAAATAATCAAAATATAATCCCACAATACAAAAAGGATATCCTGAATATTGCTCAGTAACAAGAGGGTAGATGTTATCTTTTGTTATATCGATTTACCTGTATTGATAAGGTACATGTGACAGGTCATTTTAAGGGTCTATATATAATCAGTTCCCTGTGTGGCTATTCCATGTATTACTGTACTGTATGTGTGTACACTTTGACTAGTGTCAGATTTATATCACTTCTCTACCTGTTGAGTTTTATAGAAACCTGGAAATTCATGACATCACAATGCATATAGTAATTTATTTATTACTATAGAGTGACAATTTAAAAAATAAAGTGTGAGAGAATATTTCGGCGAAGTTTTCACATGCATTTCAATAATGGCTGCTATAGCGGATTTTTTCTGGAACCATATTGGTAAAGGTTTTTATCATTTTTAATGATAATAATTAATGTTTCAGAAACTTTTGTTTGAAAGTATTGGTGAGGTGACTGGCAAGTTTGTCTTTCAGATACAGTCTTCACATGGTCATCAACAATTCTTCTGTTTGAGGCACAAGAGATGATAATACATGTACAGCATTCTTACGTTTCAGAAACTGCTGCTTTTGATGCCGAGTCTTCAGAATCAATAAGTCAGTAAAACGTTTTATCCCTACAGAGAAATAATATTGTCTGTGTCTCAAGTGATAACCATTTATTTTTCCTTTTATCTGCTGATCAGGACCTACGTTTAGTGGGGGTGGTGAGTACTGCGATCTGAATATTAGATTCACTTTACCAATCTATTGAAGAAAGCCAACCTTGGTACTGACCGAAGACTTTTCCATTTGTACCCTACATTGTGATTGGATGAATTGATTATGCTATTTAGATATTTAGAAAAAAATCAGGTTCTATGCTGTTACAGAGGTATTGAGTGAGGATTAGTGTATGGGACAATGAAGGGTACAATTGATTATTATATGAATTTATTTGTAGTAAATTCTACTTTATACAAATTACAACTATTACCAACTACAATTTTTGGTTCATACTGAAATTAATATTATGTGATTAATTCGATATAAGGTTTTATTTCTATTCTTGTCAGTTTTTTAACAAGCTAAGTTTTGATTCTTCTATTCTCGAGTTGAGACACAGGAAAATAGTGACGTGTGCAAATGATGATGTCAGATTATTAATGAGTTATAAATAGATCGTATTGAGTTAACTGACCAATGGTCATCAAGATTAGGGACGCCATGCTTCTTCTTTGGGGCTCTCTTTTCAATCATCAAGTTTACATGACTTGACTCTTTACAATCTATTTGGCCATTAATTCATTACACTGAATTTTCCCCAAATCAGACCTTCGTTTTTTACATAATTAATGTTTTTTATATCATCATACTAAGTTTTTATTATCATTATATGTTATTTAGATACTACATACCATGGTTGTTTTTACCGGGCACAATTACAAGATTATCTACAGGCTCCATTCAGGATACACTGAAATAACTTCAAATTGTCTGTTGTAATTAATCTATTTACGTACCTCTGACCATGCTAGCTCCGCTACATTCAGATCAGGCTGTCTCTGCTGGGCTCCCCCCATTGACAGCCTGGACTTGTAGACTAACTTAAGTGATTATCTACAGGCTCCTTTCTATACACAAATATTAATTACATTGCAAAATCTGCTATCAACTGCCTTACACATTCATACAGAGTAGCCCCTGAGAAGGCCATATGTTATAGAGGAATGTACATAAGTGTTCTACATATATAGTAGTAACAATAAATATTATTCATTTACTTCAATCTTTTGTTGTTTGTATAAAATATGAATTTATTTGTAGTAAATTCTACTTTATACAAATACAACTATTACCAACTACAATTTTTGGTTCATACTGAAATTAATATTATGTGATTAATTCGATATAAGGTTTTATTTCTATTCTTGTCAGTTTTTTAACAAGCTAAGTTTTGATTCTTCTATTCTCGAGTTGAGACACAGGAAAATAGTGACGTGTGCAAATGATGATGTCAGATTATTAATGAGTTATAAATAGATCGTATTGAGTTAACTGACCAATGATAAGATTAGGGACGCCATTTCAGAGCAGAAAAGGTTTGAGCGGGTACAAACAGACCTCGATTATCTGTGACACCAGTATTACTTCTGTGCATACTAAGTTTTGATTAAATTATAATATGAAAGAAGAAAGTACGATTTTACATTTGTACATTGTCTCTTATTGCTCGGGAGAATGACCTTGACATGTTCTATTGTACGTATGCGTTAATGTTGCATTTTAGCTGGCCACTGATGTCCATTGTTTTGTATACATCTGATGCGACACCTTAGCAAATTATCTTGTTTACTATTGATGTCTCTTATCTCGCTATGGGTTGCCTGTATGGCTGTCTGGCAGTAATTCAGTACACTTCAGGCCATTAATTCATTACACTGAATTTTCCCCAAATCAGACTTGTTTTTTATATCATCATAATATGTTATTTAGATACTACATATGGTGTATCCAGTGACCATGCAGTAGGTTGTTTTTACCGGGCACCCCCTAATTACAACCTCGGACTTGTAGACTAACACATTACGATTATCTACAGGCTCCATTCAGGATACACTGTTTAAATAACTTCAAATTGTCTGTTGTAATTAATCTATTTACGTATCCTCTGACCATGCTAGCTCCGCTACATTCAGATCAGGCTGTCTCTGCTGGGCTCCCCCCATTGACAGCCTCTGGACTTGTAGACTAACTTAAGTGATTATCTACAGGCTCCTTTCTAAGGATACACAAATATTAATTACATTGCAAAATCTGGCCTTACAATTCATACAGAAGCCCCTGGAAGGCCATATGTTATAGAGGAATGTACATAAGTGTTCTACATATATAGATTATATTAATTTACTTCAATTTAACCTTATCTGAAATGATGCTCACTTGTAATTTTCTAAAATTAATCATTGGTACCTTGATATTTTCTTGTGTTTTCGGAAAAAATCAGAATTATTTAATATGTAATTAAGATGTCAATTGCAGATAATATTCATTCTTATGTGAATTCTTGGTAAGAAAGGTCTTTTAGGTTAAAAGAAAATACTTCTGCCACAGAGAAAGCATGCATCTCTTTGAATATTGAACACGAGTCAGACAATTATGTAATACATTACAATAACTACATCCAGAAGCCTACTTGACCTTACTCAGTATTCAGCATGGATTTTAATTGATTCCCAATCACTATTGAGGATGCAAATGGAAAACTTACTATGCAACAAATGCACTCAAATACACAAAACATTGATCATCAATTAGCTTTGAAGAATTTTAATTTAACTGATTAAAATTTTGTCAATTGTGAGGTTGCTAAGCAACACAGCAGTGACCTTAATATACAAAACCTTAAGGGTTTATCTGTATCATTTTTGGATTGATCATTAGGAATATTTAGATGATCAGTTTCAGTACAGTAACCTTAATGAGTGCATTTGTTGATGTTATTATAGATGTAAGATAATGATGTTACAAAGTGTGCTGTAAACAGTTGTAAGGTGAATACTTGAATCTTGATAATAGATGTATTAGTTAAAAGAAGCATGTAGTTACAGAAATCACCTGTTATTTCATGTAATGCACCTGCGATTTAGTTGCATGCTTACCTTGTCCCCAATGTTAGTAAGTGGCCATTCTCCAATAGTGCATGTTTTATCTTCAAACCTCTCCCAAGTTTCAATAGTACATTTCAAAATTGAACAAAAATTTAGTGTTTTTCATCAAATGTTCTTATACTTTAATGTCATATGCTGTGTTAATGCTACCAAATACTTATATATCTTGTTTTATAAGTATTTTGTATGTAATTGTGTAGTCAAAGAAACAAGTCTCTTATCTCAGTAGACTTCTGAAGTTAAAGCTGGGATTTTGTGATTGTGGGATAGTATCTATTTCAGTCACTACTGATTTGACCGGTGGCATCAGAGATCCACAAACCAGTACAGGTAGCCTGAACACCCCAGTACAGACACTGGGCCATCTCACCTTGTATGGTCTGCATGTAGATGTTGTATATTGTATAACATAAAAAAAAATCCAGCTAATCATTGGAAAAAATTCAAGTTGAATAAATTAGATTTGTTTCAGCATGCATACTTTCAAATTTCTGCTAGTACCCAAGAGGTATATTCATCCTTCATATATTATATTTGTACATATGTTATTGAGAATCACAAAATAGTCCAATCTTTTAAGACTTACTACAACGTATAGTAATAGGGGTGCATCTATTGCTTGGCTTTACATTCTGAATCAATGTCATCTTTTTAGAACCTTTCAACAGACACTTTATATTCATTGGAACAGATCTTAAAGACATTTTTAAAAAAGATTTATCAGAATGTAATTCATACAACTTCCTATGTCTTGGCAGTTAAAAAAAAAATCAATATTTATCAGAGAAAAACTTTACCTTAATTTTTAGATTTGTCTTGAAGTGATTTCCACTTTTTTTACTGCACATTGTCAGTGTCTAGTTTCTTTTATAGCTACAACAGAGGAAGATTTACTGCTTAAGCTTTAGACAAAGATGAAATTTCTTATGTCATGACTTTTCATGGCTTTTAGAAACCAACAGTTTCTTCATATTAGATTTCAGGACAAGACCAACTATTTCTGCGACATTATAACAGAAATCCATGTTGTATCAATCAAAGTCAAAGGAGTAGTTCTACAGATCAATTGTGCCTTTTCTTCATCCACATGACCTTGACCTTGAGTATTTTAATACAGGTTTCTGGGTGATATCTTATAAAGAGAGTACATTGTAGGGAGATCATTCCCAAATTGTTTATGCTCTGTTAGCAATTTTTTTTGAAGAATATGGGGCAAGATAGTTTCTATAATTGAAGCCATCTTTTTAAGATTGAGTCCACTTTTGACAGTGTCACATTTATAAGATGTAAAGGGCAGATATCTCACTACATCATCAATATTTATGTATAATTCAATCACCTTCAAAAAAGATAGATACCAATGTTACCATCAAATCAACTGCAGTACTTCAGGTTCAGAGGTGAAACTCTATGCCACCTTATCAAATTTTGAGTTGCATGGTTGTGATCACATGATGTACAAGGAATGGACATATCAAGGCAACAGCATAAGTCAGAAGTGATCACTGACCTAGTTCTACAGTTAATAACTGGAAATCTTAAATAAACAATGTCCATTGTAAGGTTATTATCAATACAAAATAACGGCTGTAATTATTTTATGTGCTTATTTTCACAGTCAGTACTCTTGGTTAACTTTAAATGGGATAATTAACAACATATCTTGTTAGAGATGATTACAGTGTACAGCTGTTAGTAGACAGTAAAGGACAAAGTTTTGGGGACAGATTTTCAAATACATAGTGTTGACCCTGTTATCAATATGTGATCTTGATATATATATAAACAATATCACAGATATTACCTCTTTCAAACTTTCCACACATATTACTTATCAGCACCTCAGTTGACTATATATAGGGTGAAATCTGAACTTGTGATAAGACTACTAGGGCAGCAGTATTGATTTGGTTTGCCAGGATAATCGTTTTCATTTTTTCCACTCATAATTGGAGCACCCCAAGGGATGTTGTCCTGGTTATCCTGGAAACAATGAGACAGGTTTATGAGGGAAAATATTTTTTGATACTACATCTGATAGATCTGATAGGATTTTAGAATCTTGTGAAACATGGATTGTGTTTGTCTGCTAACTACTGTGAGATGATGAGTAGAATTTTCAAATAACAAGGTGTCAAGATTAGTGATGCTCACTGATGGAGGTTGCTATCCTTAATTGTCACCCCTTTCACTGTTGTAAGTACAAAGTAAGAATCTATTAGGTTATATCTGTCACCTGAACATAGTACTGAACACATTGTCTGCTTTGCCATAATTATATTATAAATATATAACCAGTTATATATTCTCTGTAGAAGTAAACATTTGTTACAGTTATTTCATCACCACTGCTATGTATTTAATATAGAGTTCTATATGAGTTATTACTGGAGAGAATTAGACTGTTAAAAAGGTCATAATTGTTTAACTACTGAGAGCACTTTGTGAATAAGTTTTGCTTGACCTGCAAACTCACAGTATGAATTTTCTTACATTTGACTTTTAAGATATTTTTTTCAGCTTTGAACACACCAGAATTCAACTTAAGGGGAGATTTCTTAGGGTTGATATTATGAAATAATGGCAGTTTTTTTCTTAACTTTGTCTGAATAGTTAAGTACCTAAATTTATAAATGGATATGTATGTGATTTCATATTTTTGTTCTGATTATGTTTATGTAAATTATTTCAAAAATTTGATATAAAATTGGTAGTTGTATATTATTTTGACATATCTCAACAATTTGTCAACATTTTACTTTTTTGTGTGTGTAGTGGGATCAGGGGAAGAAGAGAATGAGGAGCGCCACTCAGGAGGAATCGGATTGGACGATATCGAAGATCAATTTGTCAAGAATGACGATGTTGTTTCTTCTGTATTTGGTATCCAAAAGAATGGGGCCAAAAGAATGTCAACCGCGAGCAATAGGTCGCTCATAGATTACTTTGCTAAATTGGGAAGATCAACAAATCCAGCAGAAGTGATTGATCTAGATTTTGTAGAAACTTTGCTGAAAAGTGGTGCCCAGATTAATTGTACTGACAAACATGGACAATCCCTTCTTCACGAGGTAAGTATTCATGTTTCTAAATAAAGGTGTAGGGGCTACATGTACCTAAACTTTCATCACCATCTGACATTTAATATCATGGGCTTTAACTGTGTTGTAGAATTGTGTCTCTTTAGTTTTTCATTTTTGAATATTTGAATCCTAGCATTTCTTTATCAGATACTTCTGAATTCTAGTTTCTATTTATATACAAGTGATATGACACAAATCTTTATATCAAGGAGATGTTAGAATCTATTATCTGTAACAGGAGAATGTCATAGTACTGATTCTGTATTGATAAGTGAAATCTCTTTCTATGTTTGGTTTATTTCTAATATTAGGAGACAGGATGGAAATTTGAAATATAATATGCCTCATAATTGTGATATCAATGTCTATTTTAGGTGGCCCGAACTTGGCATGTAGATGTCGCCAAGTTTCTCTTAGAGCAGAAAGCTGATGTCAATTTGGCCGACAAATATGGACGCACTCCACTTCATGTGGCAGCAGCTGTAGATTACCCAGCCATGGTGAACTTACTCCTAGAAAATGATGGTATGTTCTGTTTTAATAAAAAAAATGTAGTATGTTCTGTTTTAAGAGAAAATGATGGTATGTTCTGTTTAATAGAAAATGATGGTATGATTTTTTATAATGGAAAATGATGGTATGTTCTGTTGTAATAGAAACAGAATGTAGACTTTCTGAATATCAACATTAGATTTTTTTAATGTATCTCTCAGAAAGCGTTGTTCCTCTTAATGATAAACATGATCTGAGATTGTTGAAATTCAGATAAATGTAATTTCAGAAATAATTTTTCATCTTTTGAGAATCCTAAGAACTTGCTAGATATAGTTATTTGGCTACAAGTTGGTAACTAGATAAAGATTTTATCTTCTGTTGTACCACTAATTCCGTCACCTCACACTGTAAGATATTTCTGTTCTCACAGCTGATATCAATGCGAAAACTAAGGTTGAAAATCAGACCCCTATCCATTTTGCGGCTAAAAATGATGCATGTGAATCACTGAAGATGCTGATCAATCACAACGCCAATTTTGACACTGATTTAGATTTCAAAGGGAGAACACCTCTTCACCTTGCTGCAGAGCTTGGTAAGCCTTCATTGTATAGTTTTCCTATTTTTTTTAAATTCTATATATATGAATACTATATATATATGGTTAGACAATAGAAAGGCAACATCTACTGTCAGTATTGATTGTGTATTGGTACAGTTGTGAAATAACAAAAAAAATATTGTAATTATCGAGGACATCTGATTTTCAAGGTTTGAAAAAAAAAAAATAAAATGAAATAGAAAAATCCCAACAACATAAAATAGAAAATATGCATGATTAAGCTGGATAAAATGAAAAGAAAAACAAAATTAACCATAAGGAGGAAAATAGATCCAGTACAAAATTAATTAATATTTGATTGACAGACCGAAGTGAGAGTGCCCGCCTACTACTAGACAGGAAAGCCAGGGTAGGGAATGCTGACCTGAAAGGAAACAAAATTCTCTCCTGGATGATCAACAAGATGCCTCCTGTGGTCAGTTTACATAAATCATTTCTTTTATTACAATTTTACTAGGAGATGACTTACAGATCCCAGTGGTGTAACATAGTCTTTACTTCAATCAGTTTACTACTGGCCAAATGAAACAACATGAAAAAGTAAATATTAATACTGATTACAAAGATCAATATAGCTTAAGGTGTCCTTGTTTGACCATATCATTCCTTAGCTGGTTGTTACCTCAATGAACAACTTAGGGAAGGCCCATCACATGTTATCCAAAGTATTTAGGGTGAAGTGTCCTGTCTAAGAACACAACCAAAAAAGATAGGTTTCTTTCTAAGCTTCCTGAGAAATACCAACTACTTGTGGGTATGAAGCTTTGAATACATCTTTAACAGATTGTAAAAATCTTCAAAGAATAGAATACACTTACCAACACTATTACAGTTTTGTCGAAGTTTACATACAAGAAATACAAATTTCATTGTTTGAGAAGTTTGTTCGGTAAAGCATTGACCTCAATTAAGTCTGATAGACAACTTCATCCCATTTACTGCATTTTGGGGTTTTCTGAAGTTTACTTTAAATTTTTTTTTTTTCTAGGCTTACGATGCTTTGTCTCAGTATCACTCTACTGACCGTCCCAACAGGAAGCAGTATCTCTACCTCCACCTACTGGTACAGGACAGGGGTAGGTAACTTTTGTGAAAACTTATCAGATTTATCAAAATTTCTTTGTAGTTTGTTTTTTTTTCTTTTTAGAATTTATTTAGAAAGAATATTTGTTAAGCATTTATGTAAAGGAAAATGTGAAATACATCATATTTAAACTTTTCCATAATGCTTATGTTTGTTCTTAAGTTTTATATATGTGACCAAGTAATTAGGTAAAAGTCACAATCCTGTTCAGAAGTATTTTTTGTGATATCACACAGATTCAATACATAATAGATAATAGCTTATTTACCTTGTTATGTTTGTATAACAATATATATAGATGGGCTTATCATCAGGCTGAATGTTATCGTCATTTACTTACTGTATATTTAACTCTATTCTTTTTCCTCACAGTTATTGATCCTAATGGTGAAACCCAGATTCCAGTATGTATTTATTCTTTATATCATCTGATTCATACAAAGAAATTTGTATTTGAATATTTATTGTTTAAATATACTCATTTAGATTCACACCCATAAATAAGCTAACAATCACTGATAGAAAATACATGGTTAGTGCCTTACAATATATAAATGGGGAAGAAAAACAAAATTCTTCAGTCAACCTTTCCACTGTTTGCTTCTGCCCACAGCTGTCACCCTCCCACTGTTGGTTCCCTCCCACTGTTGCTCCCTCTTTCTCTTGGCTCCATCCCACTGTAAATTCCTTCCCACTGTGGCCCCATCCCACTGTTGCTCCCTCTTTCTCTTGGCTCCATCCCACTGTAAATTCCTTCCCACGGTGGCCCCATCCCACTACTAGCCCCCTCTTTCTCTTGGCTCCATCCCACTGTACCTTCCCTCCCACTGTGGCCCCATCCCACTACTAGCTCCCTCTTTCTCTTGGCTCCATTCCACTGTACATTCACTTCCACTGTGGCCCCATCCCACTACTAGCTCCCTCTTTCTCCTGGCTCCATTCCACTGTACATTCCCTCCCACTGTGGCCCCATCCCACTACTTGCTCCCTCTTTCTCTTGGCTCCATCCCACTGTACATTCCCTCCCACTGTGGCCCCATCCCACTACTGGCTCCCTCTTTCTTTTGGCTCCATCCCACAATGCTCCATCCCACTGTACATTCCCTCCCACTGTACATTCCCTCTCACTGTGGCTCCATCCCACTACTGGCTCCCTCTTTCTTTTGGCTCCATCCCACAATGCTCCATCCCACTGTACATTCCCTCCCACTGTACATTCCCTCTCACTGTGGCCCCATCCCACTACTGGCTCCCTCTTTCTCTTGGCTTCATCCCACAATGCCCCGTAACACTGTAGCTCCATCCCACTGTAAATTCCCTCCCACTGTGGCCCCATCCTACTACTAGCTCTTTCTTACTCTTGGCTCCCTCCCACTGTAGCTCCATCCCACTGTAAATTCCCTCCCACTGTAGCTCCATCCTACTACTAGCTCTCTCTTACTCTTGGCTCCCTCCCACTGCTATGGTTTTGCTTGTTTAAAGCTATACATGTGAATCAAAATAGAGATAACCATGTTTTGTTCAGAAATTTGTGGTGTATCATGATTACACTGTCCCAAATATCCCTTTTACTAGCTCTGCTACTTGTGAATTTGACAATTTGCGATAGTTTGATCATGATACATCACATTTCAAGACTTAGTAAGGTTTAGCCCAGAAGTGATATCATTTTATTATTTACAAATTCATTTAACATACCTAGAGGGACAGCTTTGTCATGTCTTATACATTTAAAATTCTTAAACAGCTCATTTACTTTTGATAAATTGATCTGTTTTAATGAGTTAGTTTTTAAAAAATTTTGCTGAACCAATTTAACAATTTTTTTTCTTGCAGCTTCAAGTGGCTGTCAACTATAAACAGTTTGATTTACTGATGCATCTAGTGTTCTCAAGACTCATCAATATTATGTGGGTTCGCTTTGCAAGGTGAGCAATTTTATCAAATTTAATTATTAACATATCCTATTAATCAGTTCCTGTTTTGTTTCATTTTGACATTGGTTGACATTACAACCTTATTTCTTGGCAAATCTTGCCAACAACATTCATATGATAGTTTTATTACTATATGTATATAACTGGATTTTTCATCAATGTGTTTACTTATTTTCGTACTTGTCTGTTCTTGTACTTTAGATGGCGTGCCTATCTCCAATTCTTCTTGAACTTTGTGTACATTTTATTGTGGTCTGTCTTGGGAGTTATGGTCGAGTACAACGAACGTCATCACTACATTCTGCCAGACCATTGGTGGAGAATTGTTCTACTGGTGAGTTTAACTAATATAATCTACCTATAACAAATAGTATTATTTACTGATAAAATGTGTAAAATTAAGTTGTTAACTGATGATGTATTGTTGACTGATGATGTATTGTTGACTGACGATGTATTGTTGACTGACGATGTATTGTTGACTGATGATGTATTGTTGACTGACGATGTATTGTTGACTGACGATGTATTGTTGACTGACGATGTATTGTTGACTGACGATGTATTGTTGACTGACGATGTATTGTTGACTGACGATGTATTGTTGACTGACAATGTATTGTTGACTGACGATGTATTGTTGACTGACGATGTATTGTTGACTGACGATGTATTGTTGACTGACGATGTATTGTTGACTGATGATGTAATGTTGACTGACAATGTTTTTGACTGACAATGTATTTGACTGACGATGTATTGTTGACTGATGATGTAATGTTGACTGACAATGTTTTTGACTGACAATGTTTTGTTGACTGACAATGTATTGTTGACTGACAATGTTTTGTTGACTGACAATGTATTGTTGACTGATGATGTATTGATGACTGATGATGTATTGTTGACTGACAATGTATTGTTGACTGACAATGTATTGTTGACTGACAATGTTTTGTTGACTGACAATGTATTGTTGACTGACAATGTATTGTTGACTGATGATGTATTGATGACTGATGATGTAATGTTGACTGACACTCGTTGTTGACTGACAATGTTTTGTTGACTGACAATGCATTGTTGACTGATGATGTAATGATGACTGATGATGTATTGTTGACTGACACTCGTTGTTGACTCCTGATTTCATTTTAAAATTTGTTTTTTTGTTTAGGTTGCCTGTATAGCATTCACCATCTACCAGGTCGTAGAAGAAATCAATGAATACAGACATTTCATTTTAAAATTTGTTTTTTTGTTTAGGTTGCCTGTATAGCATTCACCATCTACCAGGTCGTAGAAGAAATCAATGAATACAGACAGTCTGTTCGGCGACACAAGGTTGTTATCTCCCTTTGTATCCATGTCCAATAAGATTCAGTAAACTACATCACTTGATTGGCAATAAAGCTGTGTTTATTTGACATTGTTTTAAAGTCAAAAGATCCAACATTAGAGATATTTGTTTGGCAGTAACCATACCTTAATCTAGAATTCCCTGTGTACACCAAAGTGTAATAGTGTTACAATCCCACAGGGAAACATGATCATTTTACCACTAATTATTTGATATCCATGTAGAAAATTCCTATTTTTTTCCAGTCAAAAGTCAAATTAAAAACAAAATTGAGACATATCTCTTAATTATATCTTATTGTCTTCTGATTGCTTGTCATCTTAACAGGCATGGGAAAACAGAAGGATGAAAGATATAGAGCAGGATCTACAATTCTGTCACCCACGCTGGCCTGAGGAAGAACTTTTCTTAAGGAGTGAGCTCAAAGATTTGGATAAAATGTCTCCCAAATATTTCAAAGATTACTGGTAAGTAATCATGTTTCATTACAAGTCAGGACAATTGCTTCCTCTATTAGGATGTAATTGTATGTTTTCAAATGTCTTTTTTTGAGTCATCAAAATTGAATCACTGCAATTTTTGCATGATAGGTCTTATAACATATAAGGATCTGTACCGATGATAAGAATAAAATTCAGTAATGATGTTAATTTCTTCATCTTGTCAGAGTGATATCATGAGATTTTGGAATAAGGTGGGCTCTTCAAATCACTTTTTGTCTATTCCCTAGTTTTGCAATCCACAATTTGAGTAAGATCCAATATTCAAGATGGCAGACAGTGGCCATTTTGAATTTTGGTATTTGAATTATGCGATCACTATTTCTCGAGAACTACAAAAGAGACCTTTTTGAAACTCTATCAAAGCAGTCATTATGGACTTGTGATGAAATATAGAAAATATTTGGAAAAATATAATGTCTGATGTATAATACACTGTACTTCTGAAGTCATCTTAACACGCCTCTTAGTACATATAGAGATGGCGATAACATATACCAGTGTATGAGTTATGTACAAGCTCTTCAATGTATGTATTTTATATTGTAGGAATGTATTTGACTGGGTATGCTACGGTTTCCTATTTTTTGTGATAATTACCCACATCGTAGATATAATACATCACTCTGAAGACTTGGCGCGGTTACACATCAGCGTAATGGCTATCACCATCATCCTGTTGTGGGTCAGACTTGCCAAATCAGCTCGTCCTTTCTCACTCATTGGTAAATTGCTTGTTAATCATTTGTAATTATGAAACATTCTAATGCCTGAATGTGATTGATCCAATATGAAATCTGTCTCTAAAATCATTTACATAAAAAAACAAGTGACAATATAATCAATTAATTTTTACAATTCTCATTTCAATGTTAACTTGTCATGTACATTTCCTTTAAGATAAAACTTTGGTATTTTTCAGGACCTTTTATTGTGATACTGAGTCACATGTTGAATGATCTGTTGAGATTTGCCTTCCTCTACCTCGAATTCTTCCTGCCATATGGTAAGTACATATCTTGAGATGCAATGGTTACACACTTGCTTTTTACATAGACTGAATTTGCTTCCCCAGGGGGGCTTGAAATAATATGGGGGTCACCTGCCCGTCTCTGGTTTCATGGGGGTACCCCCATTGTACAGTATATAGAATAAACAATAATCTCAGTGGAATGGTAATACTTATTTCTGCCATTATAGTGTGTGTTTTTAAAAAAAAACCAGTTAATTTTCCCTGATTTTAATGTCTACCATTGGATGTAAAATTCCTTTTACTGTTAATGTGTGCTGTTTAGGGATAAAACATTCCATTTCCTGATTTTAGTGTGTGCCTTCGGATGTAAAATTCCTTTTACTGTTAATGTGTGCTTTTTAGTGATAAAGTATTCTTTTTCCTGATTTTAGTGTGTGCCTTTTGGATGATATTCGGCGGTACACGTGTGGCATATGAAGACCGGCATGATCCCAATGCAAACGCCACCATAACTGTCTCTGGCTTCGAAGACTTTAATGCTGTTCTCTTCACTATGTTCCGTCTGACACTGGTGGACGAATACCAGTATGATGTTAGTGCAGTGATCTAATTCTTAAATACGCATAAACGGATGGTCAAAAGGAATACTTTTGATCTGGAGTATAAATACTCCAATGTTGATAATTACATAAAAGAATATAAGATTTTCTAGATAATGTTATTTCACATAAACTTCACAATTTTCATTCTGAAAGAAAAGAAACATCAAACACTGAAGAGAACCAGCAATGATACAGTGTACCATCATGTCTGTTTACAGGATCTAAAGTTGATCGACCCCATCATGACAGATATTTTGGTTGGAACCTGGCTGGCCTTGTCTGCTATTATCTGTCTCAATCTGTTTATTGCTCTCCTGTCGGACACCTTCCAGAGGTGAGGATAAAAACCTACTATTACCAATACAAGCTTCAATTATTATTTTGGGCTCAATGGATTTAGCACCAATTACTATTTTGGGCTCATTGGATTAAGCTTCAATTATTATTTTGGGCTCAATGGATTTAGCTTCAATTATTATTTTGGGCTTAATTGATTAAGTTTCAGTAATTATTGTCGGTATTATTAATCTGACATTTTGTGGGTTGTGTTTAGGTAAGACATTATGACATGCTTAGTGTAGTGTTAAGATATGACGTCCTGAGTGTCGTGTTTCAGAGTGTATGACAATGCTCAGGCCAATGCCATTATGCAGAAAGCAATAACATGCCTAGGTTTCTGGGACGGGATGTCAAGTAAAGCCAGAAACCAATTCTTAGACTACATAGCCAAGGAGTGCTCCCCTCTACAGGAGTATTATGATGATGACATGACAGAGGAGGGTGAAGAGGACATGAAAAAAGTCACGATACAGATCAAGGTAGGGTCACTCACCATACATATACAGGTAGGGTCACTCACCATACATATACAGGTAGGATCACTCACCATACATATAAAGGTAGGGTCACTCACCATACATATACAGGTAGGGTCACTCACCATACATATACAGGTAGGATCACTCACCATACATATAAAGGTAGGGTCACTCACCATACATATAAAGGTAGGATCACTCACCATACATATAAAGGTAGGGTCACTCACCATACATATACAGGTAGGGTCACTCACCATACATATACAGGTAGGATCACTCACCATACATATAAAGGTAGGGTCACTCACTATACATATAAAGTTAGGATCACTCACCGTACATATAAAGGTAGTGTCACTCACCATACATATAAAGGAAGGGTCCCTCACCGTACATATACATGTAGGGTCACTCACCATACATATAAAGGTAGGGTCCCTCACCATACATATAAAGGTAGTGTCACTCACCATACATATAAAGGTAGGGTCCCTCACCGTACATATACATGTAGGGTCACTCACCATACATATAAAGGTAGGATCACTCACCATACATATAAAGGTAGTGTCACTCACCATACATATGAAGGTTGCGTCACTAACCATACATATAAAGGTAGGGTCACTCACCATACATATAAAGGTAGGATCACTCACCATACATATAAAGGTAGGATCACTCACCATACATATAAAGGTAGGGTCACTCACCATACATATAAAGGTAGGGTCACTCACCATACATATAAAGGTAGGATCACTCACCATACATATAAAGGTAGGATCACTCACCATACATATACAGGTAGGATCACTCACCATACATATAAAGGTAGGATCACTCACCATACATATACAGGTAGGATCACTCACCATACATATACAGGTAGGATCACTCACCATACATATACAGGTAGGGTCACTCATATAAAGGTAGGATCCATACATATACAGGTACTCACCATACATATAAAGGTAGGATCACTCACCATACATATACAGGTAGGATCACTCACCATACATATACAGGTAGGTTCACTCACCATACATATAAAGTTAGGATCACTCACCGTACATATACATGTAGGGTCACTCACCATACATATAAAGGTAGGGTCCCTCACCATACATATAAAGGTAGGATCACTCACCATACATATAAAGGTAGGGTCACTCACCATACATATAAAGGTAGGGTCACTCACCATACATATACATGTAGGATCACTCACCATATATATAAAGGTAGGGTCACTCACCATACATATACATGTAGGATCACTCACCATACATATAAAGGTAGGATCAATCACCATACATATACAGGTAGGATCACTCACCATACATATACAGGTAGGATCACTCACCATACATATAAAGGTAGGGTCACTAACCATACATATAAAGGTAGGATCACTCACCATACATATAAAGTTAGGGTCACTCACCATACATATACAGGTAGGGTCACTCACCATACATATAAAGGTAGGGTCACTCACCATACATATAAAGGTAGGATCACTCACCATACATATACAGGTAGGGTCACTCACCATACATATAAAGGTAGGGTCACTCACCATACATATAAAGGTAGCGTCACTCACCATACATATAAAGGTAGGATCACTCACCATACATATAAAGGTAGGATCACTCACCATACATATACAGGTAGGTTCACTCACCATACATATAAAGTTAGGATCACTCACCGTACATATACATGTAGGGTCACTCACCATACATATAAAGGTAGGGTCCCTCACCATACATATAAAGGTAGGATCACTCACCATACATGTAAAGGTAGGGTCACTCACCATACATATACAGGTAGGGTCACTCACCATACATATAAAGGTAGGGTCACTCACCATACATATAAAGGTAGGGTCACTCACCATACATATAAAGGTAGGGTCACTCACCATACATATAAAGGTAGGATCACTCACCATACATATACATGTAGGATCACTCACCATATTTATCAAATTTGATGCAAGGATAGTGATATCTCATGTAATTTCATAAAATACATTATGTCATGTACACTGTACTTTTATTTATTTAACAGGAGGACTTGGATGAGTTCAGAGAAATGTTTGCTCAGAAATTCCTCTCTGGAAGCTCAGAGAGTAATTCAGATGTAAGTTGGTCACAGTTTCCTTTACTGAATCATCATTGTTGAGGAAAAAACATTCTGTTTAACCAATGTAATAGAAACCATGATCTTACTCTGATCAGCTTTTGCATTATTTGTTTTTTTTCGGGGGCCAACCAGAAAACAGACCTTGGCAGACAGCATGTCAATGTATTTATACCATACCTTAACATGATTACTTAGTGTTTATATTTCTTTTACATATCTGTAGATACTTAATATTTCATGTGATGTATGTAGGTAAACTGTTATTACATTTCACTCTCGGCACTAAAGCTGTATGTAGGGAAACTGATATTATTTATCACTTTGGGTACTTACTACCGATGAAGGGAAGGTGTGAACAACACACTTACTATAGTATTGAACAAAGTATTGATACTATTGTATTGAAGTATTCAAATAATCGAGTCAAGTATACAACGACCTCTGTGATTGGTCGGGGGCGGAGTTTAGACAACCTGAATAGTTGATCTGACACCCAATTTGTTCGGTAGGCGGAGTTATTGTACACTATCAGTTACATAACAATTACTAAGTAATCGCTGGAAAAATGTCCGACTTAAGTTTTTTCACATGTTGCGGATATGTATAATTTTCGATGGAAAGATAAAAAATAAAATAAAAAATATATGGGACTTTCGTTTTCTCGTTGTACCATCGATGGAAAAGCAAGGTATCATTGGGTGTAGAACGAAAAAAATGGGACAACCCAATTAGGTCTGATCTGAAGCCACCTGTGACTTGGACTCTTCCAATTAACCTCTCGCGACAGTCGAGTGTTTGTAAAATGCCGATGTCTGCACAGTATTTTTTCACCTGGCTCCACCCACAATCGATCTAGACTTGGCTCTGCCAATCAGAGAGCTTGTTGCATAAATTTAAGGAATTCGATTGGTGAAGTACTTCAGTACAATACTATCAATACTTTGTTCAGTACTACAGTACTTGAAACGTTCACACCTTCCCTTCATCGGTAGTAAACTGTATGTCAAGAAACTAGTTAATCAAATGATTGAAAATTATGATCTATCCCGTAAAGAAACAACTAGATGTTAATGTTGTATATAGATATAGCTTTTAAAGCAACATTTGAAAAAAAATTAATTTTAGTGACTTGTATGAAAGATGAACAAAGTATGTGACTTGACTTTTGTGGCCCACAGAGTAAAGAGGACCAAGAGGGTCTGGTGACAACTAAAGCTCTACAGAATGAGGTGACATCACTACAGATAAGTCTAGCAGAACTGAAGGATTCACAAAAGAAAATGCAACAGAAAGTGACAAAAGACATGAACATCATAAAAACCTTACTTCTCCAGATGGCTGGTGGTGGCGGAGGTAACCTAGCAGGGATGGAAGGTAAGATTAATGTCAAAAGGGGAGATAACCTATTAGGGATGGAAGGAAAGGTTAATGTCAAAAGGGGAGATAACCTATTAGGGATGGAAGGAAAGGTTAATGTCGAAAGGGGAGATAACCTAGAGGGGATGGCAGGAAAGGTTAATGTCCAAATTACCATGCGATAGTTTTTTTTTTATCATCTGCATTTCTTGTCATTGAGTAAATAAATTTGAGCCATATTAGATATGACTTACTTTGCTTCCTGTTTTTTCTGACCTGTATAATTAAACATATGAAATTATAAAAAAATGTTCAGGATTTTGTTTTTTTTTTTTATCTTTAGTCAGGATTTGCCTCCTACAAAAGATTTTTGCTGTTTTACAAGTCACATTGTTAAAAGAGTATATGTTTCTTGTTGAATTTATAAAATGGACTGTTTCCTAGGTTCCAATTTGTTGCTGTTCAATTCATCCTAGAAAATTATGAAAAATAAAACCTCTCCAATAAAACACCCTTTACAGTATATGTGTGTGTGTTATACAGGCCTGCTGGAGATTACAGATGAAGACACAGCTACTCTGTCAACAGACACCAGGTAAACTACCAATCATACAGAACTTTGTTGGGATTTCTCCTCCCCTATAATACAAGCTATTGTAGCATTTTTATGTATGTAAGCTTCAGACATGCAGGTCTTAAACTGTGGCTGTCTTACAAAAAGGATAAATAGAAGTAATTATACAAACACTGTATGGAATATTTTGTAACAAAAAATCCTGTCTACTTCAAACCTTAAGTCAACATACAATTTGTCTTGTAATCATAACAATATATCATATCGTTAATTTCTTTTCATATAAAGAAAAATTTGATGTCACAGAAAAAAGAAAATATGAAAATACAAATACAAAAACTGTTGAAAGTTAAATAAAAAGCTCATTAAAATGATACTTTACAATGATGTAATATGTATAAATTCTGTTGCCTAGGAAACATAAAGAAAAATCAGGAGACAAAAAGAAGAAGAAGAAAAAACATCATTCTGATTACAGCCTTTTGGAGTCAGAGACTCCAAGTAAGTCAATCATAAGATACAATATCAACAGTTAATGTGATGTCATCGTTAGACCAAACACTCATAAAATTTTTAGTCACATTAAGCTGTCATGTGAAGATAATTAAAATAGAAATAAATTAGGTAAACTAAAAACATATAATACATGTGTTTTACTATTAAACTGGGTTAGTAATTTAAATAAGGAGCTGCCAAGCCAGACTCAGTCATCTGTGATTTAAGATATCAACATTGAAAAATACCCATCTCATATCATTACTAAAGAAAGATCAAGAAATATTGTGTCTGTTTATTTTCTGACAGTTCCTCCGGTGTCTGATGAACGTCATGTTGACGTTTCTTACCCAGATTTCTCGGCAGGGATTGTTCCTCAGGTTACAACAACTAGCAAGGGAACTTCACAGGTAACTTTTTATAACATCTTTACAACATAACAATACCCTGTCATTTATTTATGTAGGCTACAATGGTAGTTTTTGAAATATACAAGTGTAGTTTTGAATCTCGGTCACCCTCAGCTGCAGCAGGACCTCCTATTGTAAACTTTGGTTCACTTTTTTAATCCTTACATAGCAATGTGGGTGTTTTCTTTGAGATACAATCTTGCTGACAAGATTTGGAGCATCTTGATGAACAGAGAAGCCTGTGCAAGCTTTTCCATTACCTCAGTAACTTTAGGAAATTTCACAGCACGATGGTTGCTTTTGCTTGGTTCTGATCCAGGAAATATACTGTAAGGCAAACAGTGGGGCCCTTCCTGATCTGTCAGTATTCTAGTTACGATAACGAATAAAACAAATTCACAAGTATGATACATAGGAAAGAAGCCTATATTCACACATATACATGTATCTATATCAAAGCTACAAATGTAATCTCATATTCACATTAAAAAATGTCTGCATGCAGTTCCATTAAACCAGGAAATCAACATACAGGGGAATGATAGTGATATTAGATTTAAAGAGTGTAAAATATTTTTTTTAATTTTTTGCAGGATCCAACCTCAGATTGTTGATGTACTTGACCACACTGATGTTTGACCTGTTGTGGTTGATCTGCTGTTACTCCCATAAACTCCAACTATGGATAGTGATAAGGTCTATCATATACGTTGTACCAACCCATCGTTTGTTGGATATATATCTGGTGTTTAGTGATAAGATTTATTTAAATATGATGTTAGATTTACCAACAGTTCAGGGATTGGATCTGACAGCACCACAACTATTGTCCTGACGATCTGTACATAACCATTGATATTATGCAGCACAATTGTTGAGATTGCTATTTGTTAATCGTGTCTGCTTGCCAGTCATAGGCAAAATGTATTATATTCCTGTCTCATAAATCAAAACGATCTGATTTATTTGGTGGCAAGTTTGAATTTTTTTTTCGCTTTAATATTGTTTATGGTTTTTAATTGTTTTATTATGGATTTCAGCAATTCAGAGACTAGAAATTTTTTCAACATTTATTTATATACATAAATAATGAATACAACATTTATTTATATACATAAATAATGAATACAACATTTATTTATATACATATATAATGACTACCTAATGATTAGCTGACATACAAGGTTAACCCAGTGATATCCTACAAAATTATAACTTTACCCATTTCTTTTTATCTGCACTGAACAAGTTGCTAGTGACAGTTGGTTCAAGTGCAACTAGTTTCTCTTTAATTTGATTACTATTTCAAGCTTAAATCAGGCCATGAAAGTATTTGCCTGTCTGACTGTATGTTAGGTTAGTAGTTCCATCATTTTCTTAAGTGAACAACACGGGTCTGATTGAAAGTGGTTCAATATATATGTAGTTTCTGTATAGTAAGGGGAGATAACCAAAGCAGTCCTGGTACTGTACACTACTAGTGCTAACAAATATAAACATTTGATTATGGTCGTTTAATTGTATTAAAAAGTAATTACCAAACCATTGTATTTGTTTAAGTTCAATTTGATTGTTAAATAATTGTCTGATCTTGGAAAGAACTCTGAAAAAGGAGGAAAGATTTTATCAGTAGCTGACCATACTTAACACATTCCTTGGCTGTCCTGTTGAAGGCCAGGAACTTTAAAATAAAATTTCACATTTGATTTTACAGCCAAAATGTTCAAATGTAACATCAATTTTTATTTATATTTTTATTTTTTTGTTGACTTAATGTTTTTTTAATTTTTTGTTGCTGTACTGCAGCTCAGATCGCTGTTCAGTCTGATAATCTTAGTCTATAACTTGATGTTGTATTTTCCTCTTGCGTTGATGACTCTTCAGCTTCTACCTTTAGTGCATTCGGTACCAATTACAGGCATTTTGTATATCTGATTAACCCTGGTGCTAGGTTTCCTCTATCTTTTCAAATATTTATCTATATATATTTCTTCTATGATAATTTTTCCATTTACATTTTAATACATTGAATATAATTCTAGTTATATAGTTTAAAACTTCTTCATCATTGCACCTACACCCAATGAATGCACAGAACATTACAAGCTTTAATGCTTGGAAAGGGCCTGGAACCACCAACCCCTCAAAACTGATATTGACCCCTTCCTTTTTTTTTCTTTGTTTAAATGAAAAAATAATTTGATTGGTTATGAATTTTTGCAAGATTTTAATTATACATGTACAAATTCATTTAAGTGAAAGTCCTTTTTTAAAAAAGGAAAAGGTTTTTCTTCATTTCCAACAGTTTAAAACATTCATGTGGAACTTAAGTTTGTCAACTGTTTATAGATTTTTTGTTAACAGATTGTTGTTGATAAGAGATGCTGTAGTTTATTTTGTTTGTACTTCTGTCGCTTCCTCAGTCATCCACTGCCATGTAGGAATGTATCCTCTAATTCTTGGAATGTCTATATGAATTATTTACCTCTATCTCTACATTTGGCTGGGTCCTATTTATACTAGAAAGCTTTATATACAAATGTATTATATATAAATTTTCTGCTTAAATTGTGTACTTGTCCTTTTATATAGACAATTGTTGTATGTGCCTTACTGCTATATTTTTGTTTAAATTGAACAAGTATCAAAATGTGATATTTTCCCCATATCTATATGAAATCATTTTTCATCATACCATCATTCATATTAAATTTATAAATACTGTGATTTGTGATTACAATCTTGTAATCATAGTTATAAATGTATTTTGATATTTTAATTTCCGTCCTGTAGTTGAGTGTATAAGAACATCCCTATAAAGGCTCCAGCTTGATTTATTTATATTTTGTTGTGATGATAGATTTAGGTACATTTATTGTAGAATACCAGTAAGACTGGAAAGCAGCTGGCAAGTTTATATAGTCTATTATTGTTTGATATTTTATTACCAGTAGCTATCCATACATGTAGTATATTGTATGTGAATTTTGCTTTACCAATATTAATTAGAAGTTTACCTTCAGACAAGTTTTAGTCCTAGCAGTGTCTTCTCCTACAGTGATAGCCAACAATGATTTAACTATTGTCTATGTAGGTAATGTTTACCGGTAGATGCTTTTATTTTTTCCCTTATTCACTTGCTAGTCATTGATGTCCTGCAGCTCAATATATACATTTATGTGTCACTGAATAGTATGATAACTCATTGAGGCAGTCTGATGTGTGCCTAACACTGCTCTATTAGTTGAATCCTGTGTTTGACATGGATGGAAGGATCGGCATTCTATTTATATTGAAGATTATTTTGTATTGAGTGACAAAGTCTGCTTTACAGGCAGGTTAATATTGGATTTTCTGATCTGTAATTTTATACCATCTCTCTCATAGTTGTTTCAGATTAAGATTCAACTTTTAATCAATATTTTAATGAATGATTATGAAAAATATCTTTAGAAGAACAGCTGGGCCGATATGTACAAAGATGGAATTTTTATCTGCATTTAAGAATATTTAAGAATAACATTAACTAATCAGGTTGAATGTAGTATGTTAACATTTTATGATGTTACCATTAATATGTTAACTTTGTAACATGACTAGTAAACAATAGCAGATTCTAACAAATTTATGATATTTATTAAACTTTGATGAAAATAGTTTATTTACACAAGAGTGCCAGGGATGGCTAATTTATTGTAAATACGATCCTTTTACTACCAATGTAAACAATGTGCTGTGATATTTTTAGAGAGGAAACAATGAAATACTAAATGTCAAGACATTTTACATATATTTTGTATGTGAAGATTGTCTTGTTAAATTTGTTGGATAAGATGATATGTATAAGCCATGTCTTCTATAGTGGATATTTGCCTAGATATTAATCAAAGTATTTTCTGTATAGTAGGTAGGAAATAAATAATCTCAAATAAAACAAAAATACTTCAATCCCTTCATCGTTGTGTCATTTTTGGTATTTTGTATAATTGATATCTTTGTGTATCAATATACCTGACAATAAAAGATGTTGTGTGAAGTCATAATACATAGCAAAAAAATACAAATTAGTGTCAATGTTTTACAAATTTCTACTGTATCAATGGTAACTGCTACCCTGACCCATGAACCCTTAAAAAAAAACTCATCAGAGCTATTGTTATAGTTGATGTATGAAATTTTATCAAAATCTTCTCATAATATGACAAGGCTATAAAAACATTGTTATAGCAACTTTGCACAGGAAACTGTGGGTGAAGTTTAAGAGGGACAAGAAGGACAACTCAAAGTTGTACACAACTCTGTGAGCAGAGACAATAATTATTGTATATACTTTTAGAGGGTTAATAAATGATTTTTACAATGGCCTTTGCTTTGGACTATCAAAAAGGTATTCAAATTGATATCGACCTTTTCTTAGATTAGATAATTGGAAAGTTTTAAAGAAATATCTGCAAGCACGAGTAATATTTCTGATGCTCAGCAAATCAACTTTCCTCTGCTGGTGACCTTGACATTTGAAACTTGATCTATACTAGTCACTTCGACCCTGAAGTAATCCTAGAAAAATAGTATACTGCTTACTGATAAATATCTATTGATAGGTTATAACATTCATTTAACCATTACAATTTTCTTACCAGTGAAAATATGTTGTTGACAGGGAAATCAGAATTTTTAATTTGATATTAATTACAAGAGTCCAAAATACTGATGTGGGTGGCTACCAGTTGGTATTCTGTAAAGTCTGTCTGTCTGACTCTTCATTATAAGATCCATTATGCAAGGCACTACGAGTGTCATAAGAAATAATTTATGATAATACATTTTCTGAAGTGTTATCATTAATTGAAATGCTCAAATAATAAGTGACCAAAATTTGTTGAATTCAACTGTTGTATTTTTTTCACTAAAATATGCTGAAATGCATGTTCATTGTTATTTTCGGTAATATGGCACATCCTTGATAATTATGAATACTTTCTGTGTACTGTTTCAGAAAATAGTTCATTTTTCTTTATTTCTAGCCTCTCTCAGAAGTATTGATTTCATAATGGTATCAAGGATGTACTATTAAATGTTTGATAAACAAATCAGTAGATTTTAACACAAATGTATATTAGATTTAAACAAATGATGTATAATATCTTATAATTCATAAAATAAATTATTGAAAAGAATACATTGTAAACAATGACCAAATACCAGTGGTTTAACAAACAGTAGATATGAAAGTTCACCAACAGTTCACATATGTTAAACAACTATACTTTTCCTGTGATCAAATAACAACAAAATATACAGTATAAAAAATTTCACATCTGAGATCACAATATAAGGTATACACAATTTAGAGCGGTAATCACATGATCATATGGAAATGTGTTTCTTCAGATATACAATGAACAATATTTCCAATTAAGATTTTCAAAATTTCTTAAAGAATAACTGATAGCACCCAGATGAACACTAGTTAACCAGTTTTTTGATGTGTGTATAGAAAGATAGCATAAACCTAATTAAACTATAGTTTCAATAAAGAAGACCTTACAAAAACAGTCACTTTTTATCATACTTGCACCTTTTCACTAATCAAATAATACATGTTGTTTTTTCATGTAATCTATTTTTTAAAGTTATTTTTTTCTTTAAATTGACATTTGAGATTTATAGGACATCATGATTTCTTGACAGAAAAAATGTCATTTTCGTTTTTATAATTTGATAATATTTACAGTAACTACTTAAGTAAAGTGTGTAATTCCTATCGATGGTATAATCTGTTGTAAATAATACAGTATTACAACTAAAACGATTCACTTGTTCATCTTTTCACAATGTTTCTGTTTAGACTGTCCGGAAGCAGCACAGAAATTTGTCCCAGGTTCCCAGCTCCCTTTTGCTGCCTGTAAGTGACTTGCAAGACATTTCCTTGTCTGCTACTTCTGCCTCAGAAATATCACCACAGTAGTCAATGACAATCTTTGGAATGATGTCCTTTAGGTCTATAACCTCAAACGTGTTCTCCAAATTAATTTTCTTGTTCTGCAAAATTTAGTGTAATGCAGTATTTAAAATAAAGTACTGTAACATTTAGCTTTAGTTTTTCACACAAGTTATGAAATTTTAACTTCAGAACCTGGTAACATGTTAAACTGTAAAAAGTATTTAAGCTGAAACTTATAGGAAAGAGAAAAATCATGCAATACTCAGCAATAGGTCTGTCTGATCCAGTCTGACTAATAGGTTTGTATGATATTAGACAAAAAGTTATGCCACAAAAGGAAGATATCTTAATCAAATAAGAGTATAGGAAAATACATCATTCAATCTAATATTTGAATAAAAGAGTTTGAGATTGTTTTGTCTCATGTCTCTGCCATTTTGTAGTGCAATCGCTCATAAATGACTTGCTTAAAAATGTAGTTCTGTTGCAGAAGATATAGTCTTTATTTTTACATTTAGATTAATTCTTTGGTGACAAATAATACAAGCTAATAAACCCTGATTTCAGAGGAAGGAATCCTATCTCTTTCAAAAAGGAATGTATTAAAACATGGCAGCTATATGTAACACATGTACAGGTTTGTAATGTTGTTAATTTGCTTAAAAGTTTGGACATTAACATTTCTCCAACTTACTGGGTAGAGGAAATCCAACAAAGATTTGGTGGCTTTGTATCTGAACACACATGGATGATACGTCTCTGAATAGAATAGAATAGAAAAAAATATTTCATTACAATTTACCTACAGGTAATATGTTATTGGCAACAGAAATAATTGGAAAGTTTAATACTTTTGACCCCTGTATCTTTCAAGAGAGGCCATTTATTTGAACATTGTCATTCTCCTTCACCTGAGCAAGTTAAATGAACATACTATTCTGACTATCTAAAAAATGTTTAAATATGTCAACATTCCCAAGTATTGGAAGAGGGCGGGAACTATCACAATTATTTATCAGTATGTACATACCAATTTTGTTGTTGGTAATTGGCAGTGGGCGAGAACTATCACAATTATTTATCAATATGTCTTACCATTTTTTTTGTTGGTAAAGAGAGTTCTCCATAAATTTACACGTTCTTTGTGTTTCTGACGGAGCTCTTGGTCCTCCATTTCAGGTGAACAGTCTTTCCAGTTCTTAGTCAATGACACATCACGCATGTGTAGAATTGACAAATCATAGTCTGCTCAGTGTGGATGAAGAAAACATAAATGTTGTTATTATTTCTAAGATTTTAAGTAAATTGATGGAACATATTCAACAATCTCAAGGGACAAATATCCCCAGAAAAAGATAACGATGTAATGTTATAGCATGGATATAGATTAGATCTGTCTATAGGTTCATGAGATATCTTGTACATAGTCTTTACATGTACAAGGAGTGATCACTATTTACAAAGAACAGTCATCCTAGTTAGATGCAAGATGGTAAACAACAAGATTAGACATTTTATACTGGTGTATAAAATCTGTGTTTAATCTAAACTGTTTTATTTCAGGAATTTGGACTTAATCATTTAACAAGAATTGCCAATACAAATGTTTGGGCAGGTAAAAACTTACATACAGTTGTAAGTATATCAATTACCTGTTTTACATGTCCTAGGTGTGGTAAGGTATTGTCTCCACTTTGGAGTTAACATTTCAGTCCTGTTGGCCATGGCATGGCATGGCATCAGCACTGGTAGCTTCCTGCGACCTGTGAAAAGTTTACTTCAATATCAGTTACAGAACTGCCAGGTTTCTTAAATCATTGCAGCAATTATATTTCATATGGAAATACATGTTATCTTTCTTATATCTATGCATACTGATGTCTTCAAATACATATATTTAAATAGCTTAAGGGTGAAAAAATCTAGATTATGTTGTATTAGCTTAATCATAAATTGCTTGAGCCAAAAGTAAAATTCTTATTATTTCATTTCATTGGTGGAAATACGTATTGAGATTTACCCAAAACAAACAGCTGTACACTGGAAGACTCCTTGTCCTCATCCTTGGTATCCTCTACAGAAAGTAAACAATTACATATTGATAAAGATAAATCCAATATTGATATGTGTTATTTACAGTATGAATTTATAAAGTAAGTTGATGTCTACTTCAATAGCACACAGATCACTTGAACATTTAAACTAATGGATGATGAAGAGAGTTTGATAACTACAATAAATCCTATCTAAAAAGGCCGATTAGTGAAGCAGAGAAAAGTGACTACTAGCAGGTGGCATTTATATAGCTGCATATGGTTCACTGGATTACAATGAGAACAAAGAAAACTGGCTTTATATATTTGTTTTTTATTTTGTATTTGAGTAGATTTTATCCTATTTTTTATTTCAGAAAGTTGTAGTCCTGAATAGTTTCTGATAAATTATGTATTTCATTCAATATAAGTACAGATTATATCCATTTCTTCAGTGAAATATCCTAAATGTATGAAAAACCTACAAGATGCTAAGATTTTTTCACATTCATTTGCATGGCTTATCTAAATTCTAAAAGTATATTTGCTCACCTCTAGCTATTTCTGCAAAAGCGTCTCTAGTTACGTCCACACACATTTCATGTACTATGTCTTCAATAGTGTCTGAGAAATCCATGGTTATGCTGAAGAAAACAGAAAAAATATCACAATAATATAATACATCACTTTAAAATATGGTCAGAGTTGTAGACTTTAACAAACACAAATACTGGCTCTGACTAATTTTGTAGATAAGTATCAAAACTGGGGAGGTTTTTTTATCGAAAATGGACGGAACTGAAAATCTAGAAGTACAAGCAGCGTTACTATAACTTCGTAAAGTTGGACCTACAGTGTGCGAAATGACAACAATATTTATAAAGCTGTTACGGAAAGCACATTGTTAACCAGTACACGTGCATACTTACAATTTATCAAAGTAACAGGTTTCGATAAAATCCCGCTCTGCAACTTCAGGCACAACTTGGCGGTCCCAAACAAACAATGGTTACTATAAACACTTAGTGACGTCACTTCGCAACACAGTTGGGCCTCCAATCGGAACACCTCGGCAGATTCCAAGTTAGTCATTAGAATGGGTTACCTGCCTTAGTTACAACTTTTTTTTCAGATCTGATTTGTACCCCAACTCCTCTCAAGTTCTCGATCATTTTGTTTATTCACTGCCTTCGCTAGGATCGGACACGGTATTTCTTGTCTTACTAGTTATGCCAAAAAAAGAGTTCTGTTTAGTCGAGCGTTATCTAGGCCTACTGACTTGCTCTACGTTGCTTTACCATTGGCATACCCATCGGAATCAACTGCGCCCCCTGTTGGCTGACTTGTTTTTGTTTTCATATGAGGTTGGATTTATTGAAGAGTTTCTCAAAACATGTCACAAAGACCTTGCGAAGTTGTTTAATTTCACCTTCAGTTATATTAATTGTCTTAAAATAACAAGAAATTTACTGACTACGTCCATCGTATAGATACAAGAGACAGATACATCAGCTGTTTATCTCGATCTTTTCCCACTACAAAACTAACGTAGACAGCTTTCCATCAAGCTGTATGAAAAACGTGATGATTTCAATTTCCCTATTGTGAATATTCCGATTTCTGGATAGCAAATTCCCAGCATCTCCAACCTATGGTATTTACATGTCACAGTTGATTCGATATGCACGGACCTGTCCCCATTATCACGATTTCATCAACTGCCTGACAAACTCTTAACACAAAGTTCAAAAGATGAAGGTTGATGAAAATTATAGGGAAGTTTTATGATCACCATAGTGATCTCGTTTCTTTGTGCGACACGAAGCTGGACTTATTTGTTAGTTTGCCTGTTGTTTCCGTTGTTATAAACCATTTTCTCATTTGAGAACGTGGCATTACTTGGTTTTGACCAAGGTTTACATGGCGGGTGTAGTCAACGAAGCAGGAGATGCTTACTCTTCCAGAACACCTGGTCGAATTCTCCGGCAAAATACATCCAACATTGAAAATTTTCAATTTGAAAGTTCGTCTTCAAAACACATAAACTTTAAATAGGCGTTGGAGCACTTGCAAAAGTTTGTGGCAAAGACAAAATGAAAGAGATAATTCCAAGCTTTTCTGTTCGCGATTTGAAATATAATGTAAAGTTGAATATAACGTTCATTGGTCTATCCACGGAGTCCGTGGTCCATCTGAACGGTTTGATTTCTTTATATATTCTTACATTTTCCCCTGTCGGTCTTCCCTCCCCTTCCATCAACCGACTATGGGCTAATCTTAATGTCATTCATAGTGTCATAACCCTGAAGTGTTTATTTTGACTGTGACGTTTTATCTACATTTGAAAAAAATAACACTGGCAATAACTGTTGCACCATAAGAGGTATGGCTTTCATATTTGGCGAGTGTGACAAGATCTTTCTAGTGTTACCAAAATTTATAACCGTGTGACCTTCATCGTGACCCTTGACCTACATTTGAAAGTAAAGAAACAGCATTACCACAATGAATGCATGAATGTTTCCCAAAGTGTGCATGCAATTAGCAATGCCGTACACACTACAGGATTGAAGTCGTACTTCAGAATTTTGTCGGACCAGGGGCATTGTGTTTCATAAACACATCTTGTTTATCATGTTATTACTGTATCAAAATCAGTATCAACATGGTACTGATACCTGTAAGCATTGCACGATGGCATATGTTGTACGGAGAAGACATAATTAAGTCGTGAAAACTTGTATCCTAAATTTGATCATTTTACAGGGAAACGCGTTTTCAAATCAAATAAAAAGAATTTCTTCGTTAGCTCTACCCTCATAAAGTATTCTTAGCAGCCATTTTAAAATGTCAGGAAAAACAGTTAACTATTTACAACAGGAAATCTTATATCCCCTCTCCCCCCAACCCCTTCCCTTTTTTTATCTATTTATTTATTTATGTCTGTGCTTCCAAAAAACTCATTTTTCAATGAACATTATGCGTTCTGACGGAACAGCCCTACAATATCGAGACAGCTGATTCCTATTATTAGTCGGAAAAGGTTGTCAAACTTGGCAATAACCGAAGTTTAAACATCAATTTATGTTTGCAAGACAAAGTAGGAAATACACATCGGAAATGTAAATATATTACTATAAGCTTACATTAGATACGCGGAAGTCATTTATTCGTGCAAGGTTCGCCAATGCGGACATTGTGACAAATGACATATAGCAAATCGATGGTAGTTTCCTACAGATAGTAATATCTCGCCAGCCTGTTCAATCTCCCAGGTTTCTTGTTTCCTAAATCCCAAAAGATTCGCATTCGTCTGTTTTCTTTCTAAACTAAAAATATTTTGTCCTGTTTGCTACATTTTATTTGTGATCATTCTGGCCAACTTATGTAAATACGATCGATGATTCCTGAGGCTATAAGTTAAACACAGCATCCTCTGTTTCGATTACCTCTTCATCCTTATCCTTGTCTCTGTTATTGGCTTACTGTTCCTTAAGACAGACCTCGTCTTTGTGACTGAACTCAGTTATGCTGTCGAAGTGGTGCCATGTAGTGCCACCGAATTTCTTCTATTCATAATGTTCCATTTCTAAGAGTATTGTCGAACTGTTTCCACAGAAGATATGACATTATGTTTTTTTAAAAGACGTTAAAAATGCCCTGTATATATTGGAGAGTGGCTGTCGAGTGGATAGAAGGCGGCAGTACGTTCTACGTTCTCACAGTAGATAGGAAGAACCAGAGATGTTATGTATCAATAGTCATGCTCTCTAGATCCGTGTCCGATTATGGGCGTACAGGTGTATTATGGTGGTGTAGTAACCTTTATCTCGACAGGGCATTCCATAAATGTCCTCTGTAGAAAGCTTTTACAAGTGGCATTTGTGTGTCTGATCTCGTAAACCATGCGTCATCAAAGATACTGTAGCTGACTGTCTACCAATGCGAGCATGCAGGAAATGGTTATCAGAAGGGATATCCATATTACCTCACATTTCCTATTTCATCACATTTGTCACTTCTAATCCTGTTTCTACAGTCTACCCATGCCCCGTTGCGATTTTACAATCTGTTCGTTGCCATTTTAAAATCTATTCCAATCCAGAACAAGGACGCGAAGAACCCTACGTTACGTGCTCATGCACCATTTATATACGCTTCCTCTTTGATATCCAACATTTTTGGCAACGTTCCAATGCAGTAGTTGCCGTCATCGAACTAATACTTACAAACTTTCTGTAATGTATGGTCTCCATTCCTCTAATAGCACCTAATTCTTCCTCACAAACTGTCAATAACGGACAGACTCCAATACACAGAATTTTCTCTATAAACTGTCAATGATTGAAGGTCTCCCTTCCTTCAATACCACACCGAACTATTTATTCCCTATGAAGCGCCAATGACTGGATATCTCCCTTCTTTCGATACCACAACAAGTTATTCCCTATAAACGGTCAATGTTTGAAGGTCTCTCTCCCTTCGATACCACACCAAATTATTCCCTATAAACGGTCAATGTTTGAAGGTCTCTCTCCCTCCGATACCACACCAAATTCCCTATAAACTCGCAACAGCAGGGCGAAATAATAAATTTAACTACATTTTATAGCTGTTTTGTACTTTTTGGCTGATCAATGATGCTAAGGGTCTATCTTTTATCATTTGTCTCTTTAAAGTAGAAGGCCTATGAGGCAAACCAGGTGAGGTTCACTTGCCTCATAATTCCATAATTTTCATAATTTTCTGGTAGCCGATCAGTTTAAAAGTATGTGAGGTATATTGAGGATATTCCTAATTTCTAAATGAATAGTAATTATATTTCATTGAGTTTGGTGGCAACTGTGACACCAATGTTTCGTATTAAAAGGTGCTATTCACTTACGTCTTTTTTTACAATTTTATATAAGATACAACATTTTCAGTTTTAAGTTCTGCTTGAATGACTTAAAACAGAAACAAGATTAAACAATTTACATAACAATTCATACAATTCATCCTTCAATATCTAACTTCATGATAATTTTATTGTTTGACAACAAAAGGTAACCAATTTCAGTCAGCACAGTGTGACATTATTATTTTACATTAAAGAAACTAATATAGTAATCAGTACAATATCATTACCACACATAGTCTTGCATCATCACTTTGATATGATTAATAAAGAAGGCTTCAACTTTATTTAATAATAATATTAATTTATTAAGTATAAGTTATTATATTATGCTAATGAATAAAACATGAATGTAGTTGGCAATAATGTATTGCAAACATAATTTTCAGGTTCATGATCATTAAATACTATTGTATACAGTGAAATATTTGCCTAGCGTTTTTTTACCCTCCCACCAAAATATTTGTCTTCACTTGTTTAAAATCGTCCTAAAAAGTTCATTACAAATACGTTAGCTTTAACTTAAAACTTTAGGGGCTATTTCATATTTGTGTTATTGACAAAAGGCAGAAATGGACAAAAGTAAATTTCTATTAAATGTAGACATACATGTATCGGTATTTGTGTTTTCTCATTCAAAATCATTGCAACCTCTCATTTAAATATATCAACACAAGAAGATGTAACTTTGAATCATCATAAAATAATAAATTTCAATACATTAAGTTTAAATTATGGTACAATATGAATCTAGATAAACAAGAAGACTGGTTCTATCCTCCCATTAATTTTGATTCCAAAACCTGTAAACAAAAGGTGATCCAGGTTCACATTAGACAGGTAACAATGAGATGTAACAACCTTAGGAATCCATAAGTGAAATAGGAACTTTTATATCGGGTATCCTGTGTACAGACTGTACACTGCAGTGATTTTTGGGACTCCGATATTGGAGTCCTGAACTCATCATTTTCTTGTACGACTCTAATTTTGATGACCCATTTTTTCTTTTCGTAATGGGACTCCTCAAAGTTCTGGTCTTGCCTTAAATATTCCCACCAAAAATCACTGTTATACATGAAATTATCCTGATTTTTGTCATCAATTGTTATACTTGCCAGATTGTGGTCCCAGAGAAATTTTAAATGTGTCAGAAATTTGAATAAAAAATGACATTGGCATGTAAAATTCAGAATTTGCAACAAAAATCAATTAAGAAATGGGCATACAACTGATTGAGAGGTGGGTGCATGGATGTGTTTATGCTGTGGTTATTTCATTGTTGGGCATATAAAACATATTGTTTAGATAATTAGAAAATCAAAATAAAATTTCAATACCTAATGAAGCCAGATCAAGAGGAAAGTTTGATGCATATGCAAAGAACACATACTGATATTACACAGTTCACAAGTTCTGTTCACACCTACAACACTTGTGTATATGGTCCCGTTGACACACTGTTGCTCATGCACTTTACATTTTAACCTGTCTTGACTTGGTTCTGATTTAAGATCTTCCTTACACACCAAAGCTCTTTGCTTTGTTACGAGGTTTTTCTCAATAGCACCAGAAAGCCAGAAGGCAAATAAATAAACAACCGTATGTTTATAATATAAATTATCCCACCATGCCAATACAGGAATCATATAGCTTGTCTGATAAACTCCAACATCTGGTCGAGGACCATTTCGTACTCCACATACCAATATCTGTCTAGTCAGACGTTATCACAGAAAGTGTCATGTATGGCTTGAGTCTGTAAATCTTATAATCAGATCAAGTAATATCCTTTTGAAGTGGAGGTCTGTTCACAGTGTTTCTTTTGATACATTCTGTCAGCCATTCAATGCCCTCGTGTACACCATCACTAAAACAGACAATAAAGTCAGAACTTAATAATTAATAAGGTTTCCTTTTACTGGTGACTGGCAAAATATCACAGTTCTTTATTTAGCTGGTGTAAATACATGTATACAAAAGAAATGTCCTATTTGGTTGTCATTCATCCTGTTAGGATAAAAGTCAAGTGAAAGCCACATCACTACATCAATGTACTTTGTAATTTCCACTTTCTACAAAACAAAAATGGAATCAACTTGACAGTAGCCATTACTTGTCAAATATACTGATAGTCTAATATAGAATCTGGAGAGAATGCCATACCTTACACAGAGAAATGTGAAGTTGTAAAAGTTGCTATAATCAATGGAGAGAGTTTGGGTGTTGGTGGCAATGGGGAAATTATTATTACTTTACAAAACAATAAATAAAACTAAAAAGACCCAAAGTAAATTTCGTATCAGAGATTAAGTATGTTCAATTCTCAAGTTTACACTCCCCTCCTCCAATTCAACTAAAGTCACAAATACAACTGAGAGTAAACTAGAATGTTAAAATTATGTCACAATCTTGTCCTCAGATTTCATTTAGAATTAATTGAATTTCACATGGTAGAATACAGATGCTCCAGTTTTGAATCTAGTCACTCAGAATAACTATCAAATCCCTTTTTACTCAAAAACCATACCATAACCTGTACATACATCCATTGAACATGTATGATACCTAAGTAGCCATTTGTTAAAAAAATCACAGTTGATTTGTACCTTGGTGCTATAAAAAAGCTATCAGAGCTTCAGACCACATAGACTGACATAGACTAACAGGTAAAAACAGCTTCATACAACATAGACTGACATAGACTAACAGGTAAAAACAGCTTCATACAACATAGACTGACATAGACTAACAGGTAAAAACAGCTTCATACAACATAGACTGACATAGACTAACAGGTAAAACAGCTTCATACAACATAGACTGAACATAGACTAACAGGTAAAAACAGCTTCATACAACATAGACTGACATGGACTAACAGGTAAAACAGCTTCATACAACATAGACTGAACATAGACTAACAGGTAAAAACAGCTTCATACAACATAGACTGACATAGACTAACAGGTAAAAACAGCTTCATACAACATAGACTGACATAGACTAACAGGTAAAACAGCTTCATACAACATAGACTGAACATAGACTAACAGGTAAAAACAGCTTCATACAACATAGACTGACATAGACTAACAGGTAAAACAGCTTCATACAACATAGACTGACATAGACTAACAGGTAAAAACAGCTTCATACAACATAGACTGACATAGACTAACAGGTAAAAACAGCTTCATACAACATAGACTGACATAGACTAACAGGTAAAACAGCTTCATACAACATAGTCTGAACATAGACTAACAGGTAAAAACAGCTTCATACAAGATAGACTGACATAGACTAACAGGTAAAAACAGCTTCATACAACATAGACTGACATAGACTAACAGGTAAAACAGCTTCATACAACATAGACTGACATAGACTAACAGGTAAAACAGCTTCATACAACATAGACTGAACATAGACTAACAGGTAAAAACAGCTTCATACAACATAGACTGACATAGACTAACAGGTAAAACAGCTTCATACAACATAGACTGAACATAGACTAACAGGTAAAAACAGCTTCATACAACATAGACTGGCATAGACTAACAGGTAAAAACAGCTTCCTACAACATAGACTGACATAGACTAACAGGTAAAAACAGCTTCATACAACATAGACTGACATAGACTAACAGGGAAAAACTACTTCATACAACATAGACAATCAGGTAAAATGAGCTTTAAACAACACTGTCTGGTATTAACAGGAAAAAACAGCTTTATGTATAGGAAATAGAGTAGATGTACTTACCCTTTTAGAGCTGAAGTGCCCAGCATTTTACAGTCCCTATGACCAATGAGTGGAGCACTAGTGTTGAACACTTTTTTCACCTCTATTACCCGCATACATCCCTGATAATGGAATGACATTATGAGTACAAGATGACTACGTAAATATTCAATAACATCACCTATAATCTTAGTTAAAGAGGACCTTACAAATACATGTACACATCACCAATAATCTTAGTTAAAGAGGACCTTACAAATACATGTACACATCACCTATAATCTTAGTGAAAGAGGACCTTACAAATACATGTACACATCACCAATAATCTTAGTTAAAGAGGACCTTACAATATTGCAAATACATGTACACATCACCAATAATCTTAGATAAAGAGGACCTTACAAATACATGTACACATCACCAATAATCTTAGATAAAGAGGACCTTACAAATACATGTACACATCACCAATAATCTTAGATAAAGAGGACCTTACAAATACATGTACACATCACCAATAATCTTAGTTAAAGAGGACCTTACAAATACATGTACACATCACCAATAATCTTAGATAAAGAGGACCTTACAAATACATGTACACATCACCAATAATCTTAGATAAAGAGGACCTTGCAAATACATGTACACATCACCAATAATCTTAGTTAAAGAGAACCTTGCAAATACATGTACACATCACCAATAATCTTAGTTAAAGAGAACCTTACAAATACATGTACACATCACCAATAATCTTAAATAGAGAGAACCTTGCAAATACATGTACACATCACCAATAATCTTAGATAAAGAGGACCTTACAAATACATGTACACATCACCAATAATCTTAGTTAAAGAGGACCTTACAAATACATGTACACATCACCAATAATCTTAGTTAAAGAGGACCTTACAAATACATGTACACATCACCAATAATCTTAGATAAAGAGGACCTTACAAATACATGTACACATCACCAATGATCTTAGATAAAGAGGACCTTACAAATACATGTACACATCACCAATGATCTTAGATAAAGAGGACCTTACAAATACATGTACACATCACCAATAATCTTAGATAAAGAGGACCTTACAAATACATGAACACACATAAGTATGTCATAATGAATCTATAAAACTAGTCCAATACATGACCTCTTAAAACAATGGATCCCCAACATCCATAACATTTGACATTTTGTCTACATGTTGCCCAGCTAGACAGTCCTTATTAGAACAAATTTGATATTGGTAAGTTGATATAACAACAGTCTTGGTACATGAAATAATACATACATCTAAATCCTGTTTATTGGCTAAAACAAGTATTGGTACTTCTTTCAAGGCATCATTGATCACCATTTTATCTGGAAAAAAAACAATAATAAATTTGTAAACATGGATCTTTCACTGGCATGTGACTGCCTGACTGACTTTCATTTTTTTGAATTTTTTTTGTTGCATGTAAGAATATGATGACGGAGTATCATACCACTTATAAAAACATATTTTAAAAAAGACAAATCTTTTTCACCTCACTCTGCTTTTCTTCAAATAAATTCAATAACATACAGGACATAATAGACTGTCTAGATAAGAAGTAACATAAATGTTTCAATAGTAGGACTGAACATCAGTTGGGATTTCAATCAGAACTAGGGACCTCTCCATGAAGTTGGCTGCACTGAATGTAAAATAACTACATGGTACATTTAACTTGATTCTATGATTTACTTACCAAAAGCCTCTTTTGATTCATCGATTCTCTCAAGATCAGATGAGTCAATGATATATATGACAGCATGTGACTCAGCATAATACTGAAAAACACATCAACAGTATTGTATATTAAACATGTATCATCATTAGAGACAATCAAAATAAAAAATGTAAGAAGGTAAAAACAATGACAAGAAAGTATATAATAATGCATTATAGGGGAACAAACCATGTTTTATACTACATCATAACCAAGATTCAGTCTAAGAATATCTGTAATCAGAGAACGAGTCGAGGTCGTTCTCTAAGGTATCAATTTTCTTTCAATTTAAATATTTTTAAAGAAGGTCTGGACAATTATTATAATCCAGTAATTTTTAATATTTATATCAGCTGTATACCCTATGATCTTATCATATAACAAATTTAGTTGTTATTGTTTTAAAAAACTTTAATAACTTATTAGATAAAAAGTGATCTAAACAATTTCTTAACACTGATGTCAATGTTTACAATTTCTCGATGTCAACAGTGACAAAAAAGTAGACTTTGGTCTTCATTCTGCTCTTTTGTCAATTACAAAAAGAAAGCTATGTCTCTGATGCTGAAAAGAGAGTTCTATACTGCATCTTGCCTCGGGAATACATTAAAGATAACCTATTATATACCTTGTCCCACAGCGATTGTAATTCCTCCTGTCCACCCAGGTCCCAGAAGTTCAGACGTACATGTCCAATATCAATTGTTCCAACTGAAATGAAAGTGACGTAAAAATTAAACTGTTGATCAATTTAAATAAGCATATTAATTTCAAGTGGAAATATTTTCTCTATATATACATGTGTGTTGAACTACTTTATACATTTTCATGGTATGGCACCTGGCTATAATTACTGAAATATAAACGTCATGAGTGTCATGTTTGTCTTCATTATATCATCTTCTTTTCAATTTCCCTGTCAATGGTGTTGTTGATTAATTCTTCTGTTCAAATATAAGAACTTTACTTACTATTTAGACCCACTGTTGTTGTGATTTTAGACAGGGAGAGTCCTTTGTAATTTTTTGTAAACTTTGTCTTTGTCTGCTCCAAGTATGTCTGTTGGTAGGAAATAACAAGTACATATATTAAAACTGATTGATTGTTTATCACATACTGGGTAACAGTTCAACTAGGAAAGTTTTTCACAACACAGAGGAAAATTTTAGAATGTTTAGCCTATGATTACTATCTCATAAAACTATGCTGATTTATAAGTCATTAAATACCAAAAGCAATACCGGGTAATTAATCATCTATTGGTAATATGGTACACAGTCCTTGTCTGGTTTTAGTTCCCCCCCCCCCTTTATTTAGTCAAACTATCACTTTAACTGTAAGGTAATTTGATCTAATTTTATTACATGATCATTTTCCAGACTTATAATACAAGAAAATTACATAAAATGAGACAATGTTACTTTCCCATGAATGACACATGCATATAATAATAGGTCTCTGTCTGTAAACAGATGCTGGAAAAACATACTAGGTAAGCTAAGATTTTTCTTTCTTTTTTTTGTCAAACTTACACTTTTTCCTGCATTGTCTAGTCCCAAAATTGAAACATTATATTCATCTTTTTGGAACATGTATTTCCACAGACCAGACAGTAATGTGTACATCTGAAAAATAAAATTACATCTGTCAGATATATAGCAATACAATGATACACATCACACTGTTAAAATGGCCATGTCTTCTCCAAGCTTATACATTATATATATAAACATAGATATAGACTTCGGTAAGTAACTGTAAATCCTGTGACTTATGCAAAGATGCCAGATAATATAACTTATAACAGTCGAGGTAAGAATGAAGCTCATGATCAAAATACAGATTGATTTGCAGAAACTCATTCAAAACTAGTATGTGTTTATAGGTATAACACAGTCCCAATTTCTTCTTGAATGGTGCATTTATTAACAAGACATCATTTCTTGTTTAAGGAATAAAACAATACCTTCATCTTGAGAATTTTAGAACTGTATACATTAATTGTAAACAATGCAATGCAGATTTGCAATTACTTAATAATTTTGTTCATGGTTAAATTTTCTTTTTTGTAGTCCTACAAAGGGTCATATGTTGGCGAAGCCGCAATCATAACCGGTGTAAGGCTGTAGATAAACTTAAGTTCTTTACGTATTCTAAGACTTAGTTAGGATTCATAACAACTTCATCTAAAGCATTTATGATTTCAAGTTTGTGAAATGACCCTGAGCACAGGGATACAAATAATGCGATATGATAGAATTCAAAATAAATACCTACATATATATATGAAGTCTATATTGGTTGTTATTCTTAATTTATCATATAAGACTACATGAGTCCCTGTACCTGGTCTAGGAACACCATACAAGATATCGGGTTATTCTGACCAGGTCTATTCGTCTCGACAAGATATCACTGTGATCATGACTAGCCACTGAATCACAGTGCTGAGGCAAGAAGATTAAAATCATTAAATACTACGTCATATAATGTGTCTCTGTGATCAGACGTTGGATTGAACCATCAATTACAGGCATCATTATTATTTTCCTTCTCTTATCTCCTCTTCCTTGGCCAGGAATAACTATATACCAGTAGGTATATATCAACTGTAGTGTATACATAGGAGGCATATACACAAAGTAGCTCTTGTACATAAAACATGTAATATAAGAATATTGTAAGATTAAATTGTCATAACTTTACCTTCGGTTTGAGATGAATAGAGAGGCCACAGAAACCGTAGGGTTGACTAACACAGTTATTTCGGCAGATGACAGATCGTATAACAGTATAACGTCAACCACGTATGGAGGTGGCCATGTTGGATGCCCGGATGGAACCAAGGGAAACCACTCTCATATGCCTCTACTTTTGCTTTCATTTTACCAGCTGGCCAAAGACGAATAATTTCTTTTTTGTTATACGGATTTATTGATATTTCGACATTGGAACTTAAGTAAATATTGTCTGTATAAATAATCACTAATCGCGATAAAAACGATCCAGCGATATGGTTTCAAGGTGTCCTTTCGCGAAGCATGTTAACATTATTCTGTGAGGTCATTACTAGCTAATACGAAAAGACCCCATTTCAAATTAAGTCTGTTCATGGGGAGATAAACCCAGCACACGAGCAAAAAAAGTCCAAACTTAACCAGTTCGGGTATTACATCTAAACACCGACGTTCATGTTTAGATTATACCGTTTGATTTTTATACATGTATATGCTAGTTAATTTCTCCGACTTTAAATTGCATTCGGCGTTAAATAACGTTTCTTGCGTGTGAAATTATAGACAATTAACACAATTTTAGTGTGCATGGAATAAATATGACATAGTTATTCATGGTAAAGCATTGATGTACTTTAGAAATTACATTGATTAATTCTGTAATACGAAACAAAAAGGAGGGTTACGTGCAATGTTCCTTGGAGAAAAGGAGGATGGGAGGGAACATATAAAAAGATTGATACCAAAGACACCATAAAGCGTATAATTCGAGGCGTTCATCAATGACCCTTTTCATGAGTTTTGGGTAGCTCTGAAAAGAGCTTTTTTTATTGAAAAGGGGTTAAAAATCAACCCGATTTCAGTGTCTAACTTATTCCTCCGCGACAACCTCCAAGTCTTGTCCGTACAGGTCCTTTCGAAGACTGACCACATCATCTGCCTGTTTCTTAGCATATTCGTAGTACATGTTCCTGACGCCCTCCATCACTGCCAGTCGTATACGAAGATTGTACTTCAGAGCGTTCATGCCATTCTTCTGGGCGCGATCGTGACGAATCGTGACATTTTTAATCAAATCAGCTATACTGTCCAGTTGCTCAACTGCTCTGGAGAAGTTAGCTTCTGATTTGAAAAGTCTCTTCTGTTTTAAGATTCGGTATCGTGTGACAGTAGACATGTCGATGTTCTTCTGTACGTTGGTTTTCTGTAATGTATTCTACAATGAAGTTTTCTTTGTTGTGAAATAGGATAATTTGCTAGATCTAGGTCTGTCTTGAGTTGACGCTGGTGACAAATATGTGCCTGGGTTACTGAATGACTTACGTGATGTAAGTTCTTTAGGTAAATCCAGAATGACTTACAACTGAATCGGCGTGTTTTATAACATCTACAACAGAGAAATACTCTGTTTTGTATTGTAATTATAATTAAAACCCAATCATAATGGACTTCCTTTAATCGTTGTCATAGATAGATGTTTACATAATTAACACCAATATAGGACTCCGCCGATAATTATCGCCTCGTGTGTGTTTTACCTGCAGCGGTATTAGTAGGCTTTACACAACCATACACAGTGCCACGGGCACTTTACTCATTTAGACTCAAATTTGCACTAAATAACTATATCAAAGTATTGATAGATAAAATATAAAAAATATGCAATAAAATTTAATTAACCGGACTTATATACAGATATGGCTTATGACGTTTTGCTGGATATCAAGTTAATTCAATATTGTGATAGGCGTACGTACGTATAATTGAATTGTACATGACTATAAAAACGACTATCACTAACGACACCTGGTCACATTGACAGAGGGCCAGACGTGATCGTGTGGTCCCTAAATAACCATTTAATCTATTTTACTGATAACAACTTAACAACTTCTGGGCCATATTCGTCACCGATATATTCCGAAGTCTTCTCAGATTGCGTTGTGTTAGCTCTCCTTAATCACTTTTCGAACAAACCTCCACGACGAATGAAATATTCAACAGGTTTTGATGAAATCTTGTTCATCGCTTCAAGACTGTCACAAGCTCTTAAGATATTGTAAAGAATCGGGCACATGAACATGAATACCGGTAGTAAGGACCCAAACTTTGAATAAATACAATCATATCTCTTCAGACTTTTTATTCCACAACGACAGAAAATATATACATAGTCAGAACCGTTCCACCGGTAATCTTCCTTGCAACGCCGAATAGATATTATACCGAAAAGATTCTACGTTCACATCCACGGACACAATTTTAATATCACAGACTTACAGAATATGTTATATATATAACAGTATTAAAATATTAAACAGTATCGCGGTGAACAATTTTTACAGGAAAATTTGCCAAAAAGACGGTGAACGATACGAACAGTGTTCGACAACCTTTGCCTGTCACTGACAGTATTTTGGGACACATACTGTACACACGTACTACATGTTATATACTACTTCATTGTTTGTGTAATCTGTTACATTGTCATCGACATACACATCCTGTAAGGAAGTTTAATATCAAGATCATGACGTCAGTACAGATGATTGATAATCACGATGTTTTGTTATATATATTCAAGCCCGTGTTTACATCCTCTTCTTTAATACAGAGACATTGTATTGTTGTAGTCATATTTGACAAAACACAGAAAAAATCCGTCTTCAATTGACCATAGTTGCTGATAGGACGTAAAACAATAAATAAATAATAATAATAAAAAAAACTAAAACCAGTCACCGACAAATAGTTTGCGGTCCCTTATAGAGTAATAGACCTCTATTTCCCAAAATATAATCACGTCAAAACACAGGGGAAATAGATGTGACGTTATTAACACCGGTTTGATGTCTACCAGTCATGTGAAACTAACGTTATTCAATATTTGAATCATATAACATTGGTAGATAAGCATGTTTGTCTACCGAACAGGGAAGGGGATTGTAATTCCATTGACAGACCGAGATACATGTACAGTGAACGCATCATTGACTCGGTTCATCACAATGATTTACTTAACTGCCATGACTCTCGCAGGACACCTCTCACGTGACTGTTAATTCAATCACCTACCGTTCGGTCTGTGTCAACTCAAAAGTGATGGTCTATGTGAGAAAGAGTAAAATGGAAATCGACATTTTCTAATGTCAAATTGGACGAGATGACCATTTGAAAGTTGTTTCGACATTTTTTCCAAAGTCAAAGTGGACGAGATGACCATTTGAAAGTTGTTCGACGTAACCATGTCGTCTAGTTAACGAGATGACTTGTTATCAGATTGTCCAACATGATAAAAAAAAAAGTTAACGAAATCGATTTTGAAATGACATAGATGTGTATGTGTCGAACCGTATTTGCTGCTAGACAAACGAGCCTTTATTCTGGATGCCTGATATCAAATCTGTATTACATGTATCAGATGTCTGATGTAATGTTTTAGTAAATTTCACTAATTAAACAAGTTTATTGTTTGTAACTTTAGTAGTGTTAGATGATGCATATACTAACAGACTTTATTGTACCAATACGCCATCGAACAGATGTGTTCTTCCCCGGTACCGAATGTCTAACTACCTGTTAGTAGTTCCGGGGCACCCCCGCCCATATTATTACCAGGAAGCTGGAAGTACGGGAATAGAAGGCAGATGCTCATTAGCGATGGCAACACCTGGGTTTTATGTATATATACCGATGTAAGTCACAATCAGCTGGATTAATGTCTTCAGAATCATTACAAGTTAAACACACTTTTCCTGTTGAACTATGGCACACAACCTGTTGTATCTATAAAAGGTGCACACAGGTACCTGCACTTGCTAATATGTATTGCGCACGTGGTGCCTGGGACTTTGCTGTTGTTGCCACCCATACAGGTTATTTTCGGACCTGTAGAAATCGCTTACGCTATCTTTTATATAAAATTGTATTGATCTAGTCGAAAATGATTGCCGTTTGACCCAGGGACTTGAAAGCTGTACCAATGTCACGCCGTAACCACCAAAGGCAGAACCGAAAACGGAAATAGGGGTAAACAAAGAAAAAAGAAATACATTACTACCCCTTTAGTAAATATATTGAGGGTTTGTTTTCGAGTTTTCGAAGTAATCGGTCATGTCTAAAAATATAACATTATGAATTATTTCGGAACGCATGAAATCGAAGATGACTGTCTTGGTCTCTTCGATTTGCCCAGGTTATGTGCTGATACAGCCGAAAAGGCCTATATAATGTGGTGAAGAGAAACAAGCCACGCTACCACGGGCTATTTCTTATACTATGACATCTCCAGATTTGAATATGATACATGGAAGAAAACGAAGATTTATATATAATCTTAACACTGGTCTTAATATCATCATTAATAACATTCCCGCTTCATACAGTATGCTGCCAATTTCTGTAATACACTTTGTAACACGAATCGATCGATGACTCGCTGAAATGTGTTTTAGAGTTTGTTATCATGAATCTCATGCAAGATGGTTAGATATGTATGGGAACACTACCGAGGTCCGGTCCGGGAGGTGTCGAGAGTACCTGATAGTGTTACAAGAGATGGGTCGATAAAATGAGAAGAAAGCCACTGGATTCTGCCGTGTCGTTTCTGGCGTACGGTTCATTCTGATACCGGAAGTCCACACTGGAAGAGTTTGCCACGACTGTCCCAGAAATGGAAATTGGAGATTCTATTCATTCGCAAAGTATCGAAAGCCATTTAAGATATTGGCACTCGGGATATAGTATACCTTCAATTAAGTGAAGGGCATGCAGTGACCATGAGTGTTTCATGTCATATTGAGAATTCACATACTGTAAAATCCCGTTCTCTGGCGGTACAACCCAAATATATACTCCATATACTCCAAACTGAATGATCTCGTTCGTTGGTGTATACTCCAAACGGAATGATCTCGTTCTTGTACAACCCAAATTGAGTAATCCCATTCTTTGGCATTTACACAAAACTAAAATAATCCATTCTTTCGTGGTATGCTAGAGCTGCCATCCTATTCATGGATGGAATGCCATAATTGTAAGGATGTATCTTTAGCTTTGTTAAGAAGTTTAGCTTTACTAGACATTGAATTCTGGGACATATAGTAGTATAACATTCAAGTCTGAAATCGCAAGGCCTAGTTTTACTACTTTATGTTCAAGGTGGAAAATGTTGACCATAAAAAGATAAGTCAGCAAATGTTAACTACGATGGAAAGGCGTTTGCTCAACAGAATTCTGCTAAGGATCGTAAATCATTCACTTGACAAAGAATCTCAATCACTTGTTAATGGTAGACATAGCATGGTCAGGAGTGTCGTTAACACTCCACATCTAGAAGGTCATGGTCATGAGTGTCCTTAAAACTCCTCATCTATACATGTCTGGGTCAGGAGTGTCATCAACACTCCACATCTGTACATTTCATGGTCAGGAGTGTCTTTAACACTCCTCATCTAGACATGTCATGGTCAGGAGTGTCCTTAAAACTCCTAATCTAAAATGTCATGATAAGGAGTGTCCTTAAAACTCCTTATCTAGACATGTCATGGTCAGGAGTGTCCTTAAAACTCCTTATCTAGACATGTCATGGCCAAAAGTGTCCTTAAAACTCCTTATCTAGACATGTCATGGTCAGGAGTGTCCTTAAAACTCCACATCTATACATGTCATGGTCAGGAGTGTCATTAACACTATTCATCTATACATGTCATGATCAGGAGTCTGTTAACACTCCACATCTATACATGTCATGGTCAGGAGTGTCGTTAACACTCCACATCTATACATGTCATGGTCAGGAGTGTCGTTAACACTCCACATCTATACATGTCATGGTCAGGAGTGTCGTTAAAACTCCACATCTATACATGTCATGGTCAGGAGTGTCCTTAAAACTCCTTATCTATACATGTCATGGTCAGGAGTTTCCTTTACACCCCTCATCTATACATGTCATTATCAGGAGTGTCGTTAACACTCCACATCTATACATGTCATGGTCAGGAGTGTCGTTAACACTCCACATCTATACATGTCATGGTCAGGAGTGTCCTTAAAACTCCTTATCTATACATGTCATGGTCAGGAGTGTCGTTAACACTCCACATCTATACATGTCATGGTCAGGAGTGTCGTTAATACTCCACATCTATACATGTCATGGTCAGGAGTGTCCTTAAAACTCCTTATCTATACATGTCATGGTCAGGAGTTTCCTTTACACCCCTCATCTATACATGTCATTATCAGGAGTGTCGTTAACACTCCACATCTAGTACGTCATGGTCAGGAGTGTCATTAACACCTTCTTGTCTATACATACTTTTTGTCTAGATTAAATTCAGAACATTTGGTTGCCGTGAGCAAGATGTAAAATTACATGAAAAAGTCATTACATATCCTCTGACGACAAAAGCATATGTCACAAATTACTTATGTTTCTACAAAGACAAGATAACACATTGATAGATGTTTTGATGAAAATTTCACATTAGACTTCACAATGAAATTTTCTTGGAATTTATTCTTTTCTTAATCCTCACACTTTAAACATTGTATAGAAAGAGAATTTGATTTCATACAAAAATACAATACATTCGTTAATTGTCTAAGGTTAGGGTTCACACAATATTTTAAGTGATGACAACGACATGAAGCTTATTACCCCTCCCCCAATACCTTAGTGTCATATAAAGATATCATATACATGTATCACTAATACACTGTCATTTTATCTTGTGACAAATGATAAAAAAAGTTTTGAATTTGTTTTTACAATATTGCTAAGTCAGTGTACACCATATAAATGTGTATACATGTACATATAAATGTACATGTACCAATAAATATTTGATTGTAACTTTAATATTTATACTTTTACATGAAAATAATATTTGGCAATAGATCTATTACAGTAGTTCAGTTCATCCATCAAGTATGAAATTTTTGGAAAAAGCGTCTGGTTAAGATAAACTCTTAAACATTATTAAATGTGACAGAGACTTGCTTTAAAAAACGTAATTTACTCAGATAGGGACTAACTGGATAAGCAAAAATCTGACGGACCCGGTGGGAAAACATGATGTAATTTGGAAGAATCACTGTAAAAGCACAACACCTGACAGGTATGACAGCCTGGGATCTAGAACTGTTACTTAAGTCAGAGCTTAATATTCTCTCCCACATCAAAGTAATTCAATTACTACTCATCACTGTGTTTAACAATAAGCACATAGGATATTCAGCTTTCTCCTTAGTAACCTCAGGACATCATGGACAGTGACTATATATATATCAGGTATATCTATAAAGCAAGGACACAACTTTTGTGATCATGTCCACAAAGTTTCATAAAAATATGGACTATCAAAATAAATCATTAAAGGGGAATATCATTATATCATTTTATCTCTCAAGTCATCAGGTTGTTAAACAAATAAGTAGACTGTATCAATGAATGCCACATGTGTTAATTTGTCCAGAAAGTCAGATACTATACACAGACTCCAGTGTGTACATGACCCCTTCATTTACGGGTATGTGGGAGGGACAAATAAAGCATAATGGTCAGATAGCTGACACAAAAATCAATTTTCAGTACAAATTAAAAACTAACTTCTTTCAAAATTCAAAAAACTTCACAGGTGAAGACAATTAGTAACAGTGCAGTAGTTTACAAAAAAAAAATCTTGTTTTAAATACAAATACATAAAACATACATATCTTGTGTGACCTGGGTTTGATTTATTGATATCTTTAATCAGTACTTTAACTGGTTAACTCCGACATTATTCATTATGTGTACTGAATGACTTTCACATCATACTATTGACATAATTAGATGAATTTAAGTGTAATGACCAGTATAGATGTCTCAGTGCAATATCATATAATTACATGTATTTTCACACCTAATATATCGCAGTAAATTTTCCTGTAAAATAACAGTGTATATTATACATATCATATTGGTATAAAAACTCCCTGACTAGATCTCTAAATGCTTCTATCTGATTTCCTTACTACTGTCATTATCATGGAGTCTCAGGACACCAAGTTATCTACTTATGCCATATATGGACATAAGATATATTTTTATCAAATATAGAATAATTAGCTACTGTACTTCTGAAATGCACGGCAGTCTTGACTGACTGTAACAGTAATTTAAGTAATGTATGTTATGTCATATGCATACAGAATGACACTTACTTGCATCATGAACTGAAATCAAACTTAAGCATTCTGGAAATGAAAAGCAATTATTAAAAGAACCAAAAGCTGAGCTGAACACACTAAAATAAGATTATGGAAAATACAAAATTAACAGTTGTTCAGTGGTCTTAGGGTTGACAAGTTAAATCTGGACATAAGTTATCTCCCTTTTTGCAAGAATGACAAGTGGTTAAATAAAAAACTATGGCATAAAGCTCTGGGATTTATTAAGGAATGTTGTAAAGTACAAAATCACTATTTTTGGTAATGATGCAATAAATCAAAACAAAACATATAACAGTCATTTAAACTATCAAAATAATATATATATATATCTTACATAAGGGATTTCCAACAAGTCAGGTTGACAGGAATTTCAATCCTCTATTGGTCCATCATCAAGTATGATAACAACTGGTAGATCGTACTTGAGAACAGACGTATAAAAGGATAAAAATTGTAATCAATCTGCATGATTTAGATATCGGATTCATCCCATAACCGATACAATCACGAAAAATTTCTTCATATCAAAACTGTGGTTTTATATCTCCTATTGAATGTAATGGTAACTCTAGAGTGACATCAAAATAGATTTGATGGTCTCATGTTATCCTGTACCGCGAGACTGAAAACCTTCAGTAGTTATGGGATAAAAGAAAATTTGTGATTAACCTGAATATAAAAAAAGTGTATTCATTTCTTCTAGAGATTTTCGGGTATGAACATCATTATAAAGCTATTACAAACACTTTTATCACTAGTCCTAATTGGGACCATATTACAACATGTACACATAAAATTTAAGAGAATGCATATTTGTTTAACAAAAACAGACTCAGATTTTTTCTACAAAATAATAATTAACACAAAAACAAAACATTCTATCTGATTTACAGCATCTCAGTTTGTAAAAAAACACAAACTTCCTAACTTACTCCTGTACAACCTCATCAAGTCAGCGCCTCACATTACTTGGTTTGAATTTTTATAACATTTCTAAAAACTAGCATTATAACACATGATACTTGAATGTAGGTGATAATAATATTTATAAATTGGTAAACCAAGTAGTTTGAGTCTTCTGAATTACAACCATTTTAATAATAGAATATACATCAGTGTCAAAAGTTGATGAGTTTTAAATACTACTCTGTCAGACACAGTTCATGTGCATGAACATAGATAAGTGATCAGGATAGGATAAATAAATACATTTATTTTCAAAAATCTCAAAAAATAGTCCAAGTGACAAGTATCATCAATTACTTTGTGGAAAGAGCATTTGGAAATCTACCTGTATTTAAAATTTACATTATATACATAGACGTATAAATTCAATACATATAATAAATATACTTATTTCTCATGACCAATTAGGTTCAGAACAACAATCAGTTTAACTTAATAATTCATCAAATGATCAAGACAACTTAAACTAGATCTTTATATTAAAAAATGAAATATTTCAAAAGAGTATCAACATTGAATAATACCCATTTTTTTTTTATAAAACTCATTCTACCATGTCTCAGAAAGAATGTAAAGTTTTATAATGCTTTTCTAATACAACATAGACTACATTGTTTCTTATTGCAATAAGTCTGGGTTTTCTTCCTCATTTAAATCTAAATAATAAATGTAACATGTACAAGTAAAAAGGAAATTATATGGCTCTTTTATCTTTACTTTTTTCCCGAAACACCTTTTTAAAACTTGACATGTTTTTAAGTCTGGCTAATTTTACATCTATATATACTGGTATATACAGAAATATCCTTAGAACAAGGAATGCTACAATCACCAAATGACCAGCCATCTTCAACTCTTTCATCCTAACAGGTCTGAATTTCCTGTACATATAGGATATCACACAAATGTATATAAATGTATTTATGGTTACTTTGGGGTGTGCAAAGTATCATAATTCTATTTTAGCTTTTTTTCATTTTTACAGTTTGAATATTAGAGAAACTATATTGTTACACACTGAATGAAATCCAGGAATGTAAAAATAAAAGACCAGATTATCAAAAACGATTATAAAATCTCACTTATGGTTCATTTACCAGTATACTAGAGAGTCTTCAGATGTTCACAAATTACGCTAGGTGAATAGTAGGATCCTCTACATATCACACAGAGATTCAATACAAAGAGTTGAAAATGCACTTATTTTTCAGGTAATGATATCTTTTGTATATGTGTATGTAAAAATTACTTACGGTACCTGCATGAATAAACCTTTCTACTCCATTACACAAACCTGACTATGTTAAACAGACATGTAACGAACCAAATAGTACTGCTGTTAAAATTCTGACCTATATACCAGTGTAAAAATCAAACAGAGTAATAATGTTACAACTATGTAATGTAATTGTCAGCTCTATATCAGCTCACAAACCTGACTATGTTAAACAGGCATTTAACAAAACAAAAAATATCGCTGTTGAAAAATCTGACCAATATCCCAGTTTAAAATTCAAATGGATTAATAATCTTACAACTTTGTATTTGTCAGCTCTATATCAGCTCTTAACTACAATTTAAATTTGTCTCTGTACAATAACATACAATTTTCACTAAAACATGAAAAAATAACGAGCATAAAATTAAAGCTGTTTTCAAAATAACGAATTCTATAAAAGATAACTCTACAACTTATTACCTGTAAAATTTTCATTAATAGCACCCAAGAGGATGTTACTTTAGCAAGATACAAAACCTTCGAAAGTCAAATAACAGGGTTTCAGAAACACATTGAGATGAGAAAGCATTGATTTTACAGCACTCTTACCACTGTCTGTCATCATTACAGTAAAATAAAATTACACGTGCTTGTTACAGAAAATTATTCTGTATAAATGTTGAAAAATGAGTCCTTAACAGCTATAACAGTATGATATCTAACCATATGATAGATTCATATTTTTAAAACTTCTTATGCTTTCAAATTTTCATATATGCACAACAGTGCTAATTTGTCGAAAAGTTGAAGCTAAAATTTATCGGTGGTAAATTAAATACATTTACAGTACTTTGTGACCCAACTATCCATGTTTTCTGTAATCAGGAGAGAAACAAGAATTTTGGCATTTTCTAGTTTTAGACTTAACATAATGTAGTTAATGCTCTTTCATTTTTTGTCAATTCATTATATGAAATACAGTACCAACAAAACATTGTATAATGAAAGACAAATTATCAACACAGCAGAGACGAAACTTCTTCATATGGCTGAGCCTCTTACCACTAATACTGCAATAATTTACCTTGATGAAAATCATCAACAAATAATGAAGTATTCAAATTATTCCAATGCACAAATCAAATCATAAAGACAAATAAGTGGTCCCATTGGATTTTCTACGAGACCAACATATGAAAATGTAGGTATCTAATGCCTGACTCGGGGAAAACTCCAATATCAATGAAGTCAAAATCACCATAGCAACACCACAAAGGGAAGATAACTCATTTCTTCAGCCATCCCAGATCTCCTCTGGATGACACTCCTTGGGGTGATACATGAATCACAGGTTGAGTGTGGGATATACCCTACAACTAAATATAAATTTAAATTATGGTATATAGCAGCACAAATACTAGAATTCTACTGGCTTGCTAGTGGTCATGTGACCATATCCAGGGGTTTCTCTAGTAGTTCTCTCAGGTAGTGGAGTTGAATGGGTTTGTGGGAGAGCTTCGCGTGGGCATCTGCTATACTGAACCATTCTCTAGTGCGACCTGCAAAACACAAACACAAAACATTTTCAAGAAATGACTCTACGTTTCATTTTTAACTATAATCACAAATTTTCACAGGTTATTTGGGTATGGATAATTTCAAGGCTAACTTTATTTTTAATAATATTTTATACCATAATTAGGGACCTTGAGATGATCCAGCAGTAGCTAAATAACTGTTAAAAACATTTCAGCCCTAACTCTTTTGATTGTAAACCCTGTTGGTTGAAGAAATATGGCATTAATATTAATGTCTCTAGATGCACAACAACTAGACATAATGCCATATTGTATAAGCCTGTCCAGAAAACACTATTTCTTGGACAATTGATACAATGACATGATGGGGTAGAATGTAACCTTAATCAGTACACATGTTTTATCAGTTTCAATGCTATCATTTTTTTAATCAAATGCTGCTACAGAAAACAAATGATTGGCTAAATGTGAAAGTCAGAATTTGTCATACATGAGTCATCAACTTGTAGCATCCTTTTGGGTGTTTAAAAGACATACTCCTGGATTGCAATTTCATCCTACAAGTTTGATCAATATCCATCAAACAAGCACACATTAAACCAGTACCTTTTAGTGTTATGTACATGTATAAGAGCATTAGGTGTGAACGCTATTGACCCAGCTGTATTGTAATGCCTAACATGTGTTGTATCTGCACCTGTTATGCATGTTTCCTTTGCAAGCCTTTAAATCATTCAGACTTCAGGTCATTACCTTGTGCAAACAATAGAAATTACCAACATATATCAATGACATACAGTCTTCCCCAAAAACAAAAGTTGGCCAGTCCTAAAGCCATGAATCAGGGGGTCCCATTTTGAAATAGCAGGGGTCTTAGGTTCAATCAGTGTGTGCAGATATTAACATAGGAAGCTGCCAAATTATTTAAAGCCCAATCATCTGCCAAACTCTCCTGGGAAAGTGATGTGGTGGCCAACCATGTTTTATAGACAACTGGTGTTACACCAAAATCAATGAAAAATAAAACACTGTGCAATCATCTTTTTTATTTATTTATTCACTTTTTAAAATTATTTCCTATTCCATCCAACACGTTGGTTGACAAGCACAAAACTTAATCATACCTGATGTAAGAAAACGTATAAATAATAATGCTGTGTCTGGTGTCTATACTTAACAAAGTTAAGTAGTATTCAGCTGTCTAAAATTCCCAAGCTTTAATTACCAGAAAAAACTTTACTATATCGAAATCCTACAACACTACCATAGATAAGAACACATCAGCTATATGTTTTTATGTATGCCACCAGAGACCTTGTCGAATCTCTATAGAAATATCTCCAGATTTAAAGCTAAAGAGAATGAAAAGTTGGATCACTTAATTTTTTCTGAATTTGGAAACGAGTAACTTGATATTTGGTCGTTTCGCTGTCAATCAATAATGTAAAGTACAGTAACCATTAAGAGTGCATGTACTAACAAGGACACTTGTGACGCTAGGGCTGAGAGAGTTGTCTCCCAGCTGAAATTTCCAATCCTTTAATAAGATATTTTAGACACTGAATTACATCACTGATAATCTTGGGACTTCACTACATCACATATACACCTACACAACATAAACCATTTGTCAGCATCCTCCAATGTCACGGTAACACTTAACAATCTTCTTCCAATATATTTCATCCTTACCTATACCTTGGGAATGACAATCCTTGAAACCATTTCAAATATTTGTTGGGTACAATTCAAAAACAAACAACGCACCAAAAATTCTGAAATATTTATAATCCTAACCGTTTTATTTAGAATCCATGTTTAGAAGAAAGGAAAATGTAAAAAGAAATTGTGACGGAGAACTAATCAATGACAGAAGGTTTAAAATAAAGAACTTGTTATATATGTATCACAAGAGTCTGTCTTTACAAGAATCCGATTCAACCTACTCTGAATAAATCACAATACACTTGAAGTGACATAAACAAGATCCATCTTCTACATAATTCACTTTAACAATATAAAAGGTTCATATTATATGTAAGTTTTTGTTGTATAATTCATATAATTCATTTTCAACTCAATTTTTGGAAAAGTTCAAGAAACCCTCTTATGAGTATAATGGACACTTGTTATAATCAGAAAACAAATAGCCATTTAACTGTTACAATTCCCATTTAAAATTTAAAAAAAAATTTCAAGTTGCCCTTTGAAGATGTTTACATTTTACATAATTTTGTTATTTCTCATAATGCTGCTGATGCCATTACCACATACATGATAAATTAGATTGCCTAATAACAATATATTTGTTAAACATCTATATCAATAAATATAAATATATAAAACCTGATAGAGGTACCAGAGTCTTAAAGGACAACATTTAAAGTATAATGAAAGAAAGTGAATCTAAAAAACTCATTTGTATGTCTTTAAGTAATTGTTTACAGTGTAATGTAAGCTTTGGTATTTGAAATCTAATCTCAGGAACAGTGAATTAAATTCGACATGTTACATTTTATTGATCAATTCCTGGCAGAAGACGAAAGGCAAGGTAATTAAAATCACAAAACTGACATGACCAAAACACACATTTAATGCTGTATAGGTTTTATTCTTGAGGAGTGACTGTGATCTAGATATCCAATATAGAAGGCTATCAATGTAAGCAAGCTCTCCTCTTTGAATTCTAACATACTGGAACTTCAGAAAACATTGTTCAACCATGCATAATTCATATATAAACCTGAAGGACAGAGGCAAGTGTTTTTATAACATTAGCAATAAAACCAGTGAAAGCTCAGTATATATGCATTGTACACATGTGTTACAGAAACATTGCTATAGTGAAAGACCATTATTGATGGCATCAGACCAGCATCCAATACATGACTCAAGTTTCCATTTGATAACTATTGCAACAGCTATGCATGCCATAACTGTACATCTTCATCAATTCCTCCCCCACCTCCCCGCTACCCCACTCCCTCGTTTTTTAAAGAGCAAACAACAAGCAATGTATGGTAATGCTTGCAAAATATTACACTTGTAAATTCAAACACTAAGTCCCCTCAGGACTTTTTTCCATGAGTCAAATTAATCAGGTTGATTTGATAGTGCAATCACACAATGACTAACTAGAACACAAGAATGATGCTTCTAAGTACTTGGTCAGGGTTTCCTCTATTGAAATAAAACTTTGATGATAAACAGGTTCTAATAAATCTATTATTAGGGATTTATAAGCACTGAAACACATGTCTATGGAATTTACCTGATATCTAACAGATTTTTTCATACCTATAACATATATCTCATAAAGCTTCAAGTATTCTACATCTGTTTAGGACCCATTCTACAACTGGGAATAGCTGGCGTTGTTTTAGAAACTGCTTCCCTATGAAATAAACTGAACATGTTTTGATGATAAACAGCTGATCAGAAAAAGTCTAAATCATGAGCCATTCTATGTTTATAACTGTATGAAGAAATGCTTGTAAATGAAATCTGGATTGTAAAGTTTGAAGTTGATATGAGAATATGTATTCAGAAAAAAATCTTTTTCCCAATTAAACATGGTCTAGAAAGTATGACAATTTGCTGAATTAAAGACAAAATGATAAAGATGAATTCAAAGATCAACACATTCTTCATGTGATTAATTATGACACCATGATATATATATATCTAAATCTAATATGTAAGCTAGCTATTTGAAGAAGTAGTTAAAATAATTTGTGAATAACTGCCAAGAAATGTGCTTCGTACTAAAGTTCCAAGTATAATGCTATACACATGTATACAATTAATTTCATTGCCAATCTTAGTTTATAGCCAAACAATGTACAAATCATGCCAAATGTTTTGGGTGGATTTATTTCATTTGTTCTGCTATGATTTTTTAAACACTTCACTCAATCATCTCTAAACATTAGCTTGTTGACTTCAGGATCAATTTGAAGAAACTAGATATCTACAATTTGCCCTTGGTAATTATTACAACTACAGTACTCATATATCACGCCTGTTCAACATAGTCAGCATGGTTATTTTTAAGATAACTGCAGTTTTATATTTCTTTATACCCAAATTACCATGTAAGTTTGTATCAGGTAAATACCAAAGATAAGCTGTAATTAAATATTGCATCTGATGCTTTCAAAAACAAATACTAACTACACCAAAAGAATATTACTGTTCCCTAAAAGAGACAGCACACCCTATCTGAAATGTCGGTCAGTACTTTTTACCAACATATATAATGAACTCAAAAGAAGTCATGAATACTTATACTTTATGTGGTCATTTTTCAACTAATAAAAACATAAAATATTAAAAATTCATGTAGTCTATTACATGGGTTTAGATGGGCATACTTTAATTGATCAATATTCCAATTTTCATTGGAATAGAATTTGTACTTGATGTGAAACTAACCAAAATGCAAAACTTTCAAATCAAGCTTTCAACATCCCGAATTTTCAGAACTGCTGGACCATTAAATCTGGTAGATATTCTGTAAATGATAAATTTGTTGAGGTATTCACAATGTGATCTAGCTATATACTAAGTTTGATTAAACAAAAAAGTAGAGTGTGGATACCGGAAGGTGTGCAGGCTGATGAAATTTGAGTAAGTTTCAATTACAACACACACCAGGCATCACATATTTAAAGTTAGATTTCAATTTAATGAGCAGCTGATCTTAACATTTAACTTTAAAGAGAAATAAAATGTTTGTGACCACAGGGGGAAAAGTAAAACCAAAATAAGCTTAATAAACTTTTCATCACTGGCAAGACAAAAACTAAGAATTATGCATCCTATTATTCTGCAGTATAGTAGGCAAGCATGACATTTCATCAAATCAATGTCCATTTATTTGGCTTATTGCTCCTTTTTAAAACACAGATCATTTTAAGGCAGACTCTACCATTAGAAGCTGGTGGCTACCTTCCAAACAATATACTGGAGGCCCACAGCATGCTGTAGTAATCACAGCCATTGTGGTAAAGTGTCTTGCT